CCACGGCCGCCAGGAGGGGGCGGGGGGCGCGGAGGGTTGTGCAAACGGGACGCGGCCTTCCTTGGGCAACTCCCGCCCGGACCCGCAGGCACAGGGCCGGCGTTGCACAGGCGCCAGGGCAGGAAGCGTTTCCCAACCGGGGACGGCTCTGCCGCCGCGGGGGCTGGCGGGGTGGGCGGGGGCCGCGTGGCCTGTCATGGGGTTCGGGGCAGTGACTCAGGGTCAGGGCGCTGCCCCCCCCGCCCCCCGAGGGGACAGGTGACGCTGGCCCAGCCCTCCCACCAGGGGACAGGTGACGCTGGCCCGGCCCCCCCGCCCCCCGAGGGGACAGGTGACGCTGGCCCAGCCCTCCCACCAGGGGACAGGTGACGCTGGCCCGGCCCCCCCACCAGGGGACAGGTGACGCTGGCCCAGCCCTCCCACCAGGGGACAGGTGACGCTGGCCCAGTCCTCCCACCAGGGGACAGGTGACGCTGGCCCGGCCCCCCCCCCCGAGGGGACAGGTGACGCTGGCCCGCCCCCCCCCGACCCCCGAGGGGACAGGTGACGCTGGCCGTGCATTCCGGCAGCAATATCTCTGTGGCCGTGACCGTGACCGTGACCGGCAGGAACACGCGAGGGGGGGCTCCGCGTGGCTCCTCCAGCCGGAACCACGCTGCCACACGGCCCCAGGCAGGAGGGAGCCGATCCAGCTGGGACGCTGACTGGCTCCCATGAAAGAGGCACAGACAGGCTGGAGGCTTCCGCTCGGCTCAGCGTTGATAGGAAATCAGCTGTCAGCCCGGCCGGCGTGGCTCCGGGGCTGAGCATCGACCTAGGAACCAGGAGGCCCAGGTTGGGGGCTCCATCCCCAGCGGGGGGCATGCAGGAGGCAGCCGATCAGTGATTCTCTCATCATTGATGTTTCTATCTCTCTAAAATAAATTTTAATGTTTTATTATATGCTAGAGGCCCGGTGCACGACATTTGTGCACTGGGAGGGGGTCCCTCAGCCCGGCCTGTGCCCTCTCGCAGTCCGGGAGCCCTCAGGGGCGGGAGGTGGCCCGGCCATCAGGGGAAGGCGACGCCCCATCACACCTCGGCTGCTGCCACTGCCGGCAGCGCAGGCCTCGGCCGGCCCTGGTTATCTGAGCTTTGGGTGGCCCTGGGGGGCTGGGCAGCTGCCATCCGAGGCTCACCTGTGCCTGGAGCCCGGCCTGGCCATGCGCCTACTGCCCCAGCAGGGCTGAGGGGACTGGTGCCGCCATCTTTGAGGGCGGGGCAGTCAAATAGCATATTCCTCCTTATTGGCTGTGGGCGCTGCCATCTTTGCGATGGCCCGAGGGTCAATTAGCATATTCCCCTTTATTAGATAGGATGATGAGAATCATTGATCAACTGCCTCCTGCACACCCCACACTGAGGTCCGAGCCCCTTAACTGGAATCCAACCTGGGTCCCTTCAGTCCACAGGCCACCGCTCCATCCACTGAGCCACACCAGCTAGGGCTGAAACCAATTTCTTAATAAAAAGATCAGCAATTATATTAATAAAAAGAAAAACCATGAGTGATTCTGTCGTCAACACTGTCACTGTCTGTACAGCTAGGAAGCTCTCGGGTGGGTTTGCTGGACTCCGCAAAGAGCAGTGGGTGGCGTGGCTGGGTCAGGAACCGGCGCAGACAGAGGCAGACCCTGCGGAGCCATAAACACTCGAACCAGCTGAACAGAGGCGCGAGCGAGCGCACCGCTGACGTGGCCGTCGGTCACCTGAGCCCACGTCCGGCGTCCCCTGCCCTCGGACAAAGGCCCATTGAGCCCTCGGCCTGCGGCTGTGGCCTCGCCGGCCGCTGTCTGCCCTTTCCTGGTCCCGGTGGACCGTGTCAGGGGCGGAGCCCGGAAGGGTTGGGGACGCCATGCAGCCACCCGCCAGGCCTCCCCGGCTCCGCGTCAGCGAGTGCCCCTCCCCCTCCCCCTCCGGCCTCCCCCTCCCCCCTTCGGCCTCCCCTCCCCCTCCGACCCCCCCTCCCCCTCCCCTCCGCCCTCCCCCTCCCCCCTGCACCCTCCCCCGCCCCCTCGCAGAGCTCCCCGTGCGGGGCCGCTGTCCTCATCGCGGCATCTGACACACGGACACAAACCCGCCTCCCGCCTGGGCCGCCGCCGCCTTAGAGACGTGTCCTCCCTGCCTGTCCCCGCAGACCGGACACCGGAGGCACAGCCCGGCATCAACCCAGGAGGAACCGGCGGAGGGGGCCCGGGGAAGGGGGAACCGGGGGGAGGGGGAACTGGGGGGAGGGGGCCCGGGGGGAGGGGTCCCGGGGGAGGGGGAACTGGGGGGAGGGGGCCCGGGGGGAGGGGTCCCGGGGGAGGGGGAACTGGGGGGAGGGGGCCCGGGGGGAGGAGGAACCGGGGGAGGGGGAACCGGGGGAGGGAGCCGGGGGGGAGGGGGAACTGGGGGGGAAGGGGGCCCGGGGAAGGGGGAACCGGGGGGAGGGGGAACCGGGGGGAGGGGGAACTGGGGGGAGGGGTCCCGGGGGAGGGGGAACTGGGGGGAGGGGGCCCGGGGGGAGGAGGAACCGGGGGAGGGAGCCGGGGGGGAGGGGGAACTGGGGGGGAAGGGGGCCCGGGAGGGAGGAACCAGGGGGGAGGGGGCCCGGGGGAGGGGGGCCCCGTGGAAGGAGGACCTGAATGAAGGACAAACAGGACACCCAGGGCGCCAGGGCCCACAGACCCTGGAACAGCAGACGGCGGGCAGCAGGGGGCCGGGAGGGGGGGGAGAGACAGCGGGCAGCGGGGCGGGGGGGGGTGGGGGAGGCCGAGACAGCGGGCAGGGGGGGCTGGGGGGGAGACAGTGGGCAGCGGGGCGGGGGGGGGAGACAGCGGGCGGGGGGGAGATGGCGGGCAGCGGGGATGGGGGGTGGGAGATGGCAGGCAGCGGGGCGGGGGCCACGGGCAGTGGGGGGTGTGGCGTTGTGGAGACAGGGTGGGGTGAGCCTGACACCGGGTGTGGGCGGATGCTCGGCCCCGGGCCCTCTTCACCCCGTAAAGAGCGCGGCCAGAGCGTGGCCTGGAGCCCTGGCCGGGCAGAGACGGCTGGGCCGGGGGACCCCCCCCCCTGCCCCCCGAGCCTCCAGCAGGGCTCAGGGCTCCCTCCGACAGCTGACCCTGAGGAAAGCGATGGCCCCACACGACAGCCTGCCCCCACCCGTGGGGCCCGAGAAGCCGCCGGCCGGTGAGTCACCGCCATGGGGGGCCGGCAGGCAGGCCACGTGTCTAACACCTCCACGCGGACACAGGGACACGGGGCCCCGTGGGCGGCTCGGGGTTTCCTCATGCCCAGGGGCCGTTTCTAAAAATATTTTTAATTATTTTTTCCCAGAGAGAAAGGGAGAGGGATAGAGTTAGAAACATCGATGAGAGAGAATCATCCATCAGCTGCCTCCTGCACGCCCCCCACTGGGGATGTGCCCGCAACCAAGGTACATGCCCTTGGCCGGAACCGAACCTGGGACCTTCAGTCCGCAGGCCGGCGCTCTGTCCACTGAGCCAGACTGCCGAGGCTGGTGTGCACCGAGTCTGACACCTGGTAAATCACCGGGAAAAGCCCTTCTCCGCGCCGGATCGCACACCGTGGGAAGCCCGGGGTGGCCAGCAGGAGACGCACCTCTGCTGCCACCTAGTGCGCAGCTGGGGAATGACAGGAGCGTCTGCGGGGAGATGAACACCCTGTGCAGGTCCCCGGGGAAACTCACAGCTCTGGTGCCACCGAGTGTCCAAGTTGGGAAGAACAGCCATGTGGTGGTCACCAGGGAAAGGTCTCTCCCTACCCCCCTCCAATGAGTGCACATTTGGGGGAACCCCCAGGGCAAGTCCCAGAAACGCTGCTCTCTGCCCTCGCAGTGTGACCAGAGCCAGGACATGCTCCTGGTGCCCTCGTGTGCCGTCAGGAGTGACACCCAGTGGGCTCGCCGGCAGCCCTCACCGGACACCGCCCGCCCGGCAGCCCTCACCGGACACCGCCCAGCCGCCCGGCTGCCCTCACCGGACACCGCCCGCCCGGCTGCCCTCACCGGACACCGCCCGCCCGGCGGCCCTCACCGGACACCGCCCGCCCGGCGGACCAGGGGCCCGCACGCTCTGGCCTGCCCGCAGGACTTAGCCACACTGTTTTCTTCCAAACGCTTTTATTAGTGGCCGTGGCCGTGGCCTGTGGCCGTGGGGTTGAAGTTAGTGGTTTCCTCAGGTGAGCCCACAGATCCGTCACCGCAGACACGGCTCCGGTGGGAGAGGTTAACGAGATCCCCTCCACCCAACACCTCCCTTCACCCCCCCTTCCCCGCGCCGGCCACACGCCCCCCGGGACAGCACGGGCACGCACCGCGCCCGGGCCCTCCCGGGGGAGAGCGGAGGCCGAGAGCCATTCCCCGCCGTGAGGGCCAGCCGCACCATCAGCTTCACCTCCGCCCGGGCAGCCGGATCACCGAGGTCCTCACGCCTGGAAGCTTCTAGTCCGTCAGCGAGGGCCGGCCTTCCTTAGACACGTCTGCCTCCCAGGTCCTTCTGAGCGGTGGACGCTGGACACTGAGCGCTCAGCCCGACCTGCCCGTCAGCTCCTCGGCTCCTGCCGCTGTCAGACGCTCCCGTCCGCGGCTCTTCCCACGGCCTCCGGGCTGCCAGGAGGGTCTCCGATTCCAGCCCCGGGCCCGGTCATGGTGGGGTTGGCTTAAGTTAGGTCAGTTCCTTTCTCACCCGAGACCAGGGGCGGGGGCAGCCCCGGAGCCAGCCCGGCCTCTGGCATCCTCGCTCGTGGCACTGAACTCTATGGGCACTTCTCCCAGCGCTCAGATCCCCCCCCCCCCCCGCCAAACATTGGGGGGGGCACTGCACCCCCCCTCGCCAAACATTGGGGGGGCACTGCTCCAGGGGCAGGCGGGCGGACGGGAGGGCGCCCCCGGGTCTAGCTAATGGTCGAGCTGAGCCTCCGGCGGTGTCACCGGCAGCCGCGCCCGGAAGCCCTCCGGCTCAGGGCAGGTCGGTGACCCTGGTGTCACCCAGGTTGACGCCGACGTGCAGCTTGCCGTCCTTGGCGGCCGCCCAGGCCATGGACTCCGAGGTCCAGCGGGCCGCCCAGGCGCCCGCGCTGTCGAGCAGGATGACGCCCCCCAGGCCTCGGAGCTTGGACTGCATGTGGCCCAGGGCCAGCGCCGCCGCCTCCTCCAGCGTCTTTCCTGAGCGAGGACGGGAGAAACGCCCGTCACCGCCACGGGCCGTGGGCTGTGGGGGGAGGACCGAGCCGGGGATGCGGGCGGTCGCTGGCGAACGGAGTCCGTCCGAGAGCCGCAGGGACGGCCCACACAGGCCGCCCCGCTCTGAGCCGGCGCCGGCCCTGCCCCTGCCGCCTGCCCCCCCCCAGCTCGGAGCCGCTGCCTCCCAGGACAGCCGCACGCACGCGAGTGCAGACCCGGCAGAGGTGGCACAGTGTCACCCTGAGAGCCACACCCGCAGCGCGAAGAGGGCGAGGCCCGCCCCCCGGCCCACGTACCCTGCTCCACGTGGAAGAGCGCCAGCCGGGCCAGCGTCACCTTCAGGATGCTCTCCCCGTGGCCCGTGGTGGAGGCGGCCCCGACGGCGTTGTCCGCGTAGCCCCCGGACCCTGAGAGAGGCGGAGGCGCCTGCCTCAGTCCCGAGCGGAGAGCGTGAGTGACCTGCCTGCAGCAGCAGGTGCCCCTTCGGTGCCGCCCAGACCCGGGGCCTGCCCCCAGCTCCCCAGCGCGCTGGCCCGCGCCCGGAGGGCTCCGTGTGGCTGACCCTCAAACTGGAACTAGAGACGGGGCGGCGGGCAGCGTGGGGGAACCTCCGCGGCCTGATCTCCTGTCCCCCCCACGCCAGCCCAGCAGCACGCCCACAGGAACAGAGCGGCACTGCCCCCGCCCCGCCCCCCGGGACTGGGTGCTGGACAGCGGGGCGGGAAATGGGAGCGCGGACCAGGCCGGGCGGAGGGCAGGAGCCGCTGCCAGCCTACCTACGCAGGGCGTGTCGCCCACTCGGCCGACCATCTTGTTCACGATGCCCCCCGTGGAGGTGGCGTACGCCACGTCTCCCCTGCAGTCCAAGGCGACGGCGCCCACGGTGCCCCGGTCCCTGCGGCAGGCACAGAGCAGAGCGGCGCGCCACTCGGTTAGCGGGTCACACGCAGTGAGCGGTCACTCGGTTAGCAGGTCACGCGCAGTGAGCGGCCAGTGAGTGGTCACTCGATTAGTGGTCACGCACAGTGAGCAGTCAGTGAGCGGTCACTCGGTTAGCGGGTCATGCGCAGTGAGCGGTCACTCGGTTAGCAGTCACGCGCAGTGAGCGGAGAGTGAGCGGTCACTCGGTTAGCAGTCACGCGCAGTGAGCGGTCACTCGGTTAGCGGGTCATGCGCAGTGGCGGTCACTCAGTGGGTCCTCCTGCATGCCCTGGGATCAAGCCAAAGCCCGGGCCTGTGCCCTGACCGGAGGGGGGATCAAACCGTGACCTGGTTCAAAGGTCGACGTTCAACCCTGGAGCCACCAGCCGGGCCGAGGGGCACTCACTTCTGCTGGTCTGAGTTCTGAGCCTCCTGCTTCTCCCTCTCCAGGCGCTTCCTGCTTCTCTCCGTGACCAGCTGCTCCCCCGGCACCGTGGGGACCCCCATGGCGGCGGCGAACTCGGCGGCGCCCTGGCTGGTCAGGAGGCAGTGAGGCGTCTGGGCCGGAGAGAAGGGGCAGGGGTTGGTGTTTTAACCGGAGAGATCGGGTTAACTGTGCGGCTAAGCCCTCCTCCGCCCTGGGTACCCAGCCTCAGAAACGCCGGTCAGCGGCCCGCCTCTGTACGAGGAGCCTGGCTCCGAGCGTTCCGTTAGACACAAACCCAAACGAGGGCCTGTGGGTGGGAGGGGACTTACACGTGGCCTTTCTCCTCATCCTCCCGAGGACATTTACCGATTGGAGAGAAACACGGATGTGAGAGCGGCCATCAGCTGCCCGCACACGCCCTGACCAGGACGACGGGCCAGCGGAGCCACCGCCGGGGCCACGTGGGATCCCTGGCCCTGGTTGGGGCCTTGTGGGAGGCAACCAATCGATGTGTCTCTCACATCAGTGTTTTTCCTCTCTGTCTCCCCCTCCCTTCCATCCTCTCTAAAGATCAATGGGAAAATATCCTTGGTGAGGATTAACCAAAATATATATATATATATATATATTTTTTTTTTTTTTAATTAAAAAAAAAAAAGCGAGGGAGAAAAAAAGCAAGATTTTTATGTTCTACGTGTGGAGAGAAAGCCACGCAGGACGGTGACATGGGAACAAAGTCCTCGCCTTGTTCTTATAATCACACCATCTGGTCAGCATCCCGGCTCACGGGAGCGACGCAGCCCCACTCCCGCCCACATGTGACTTAGACGTTATCCCCCGATGTGTCCCTGCAGCCAGATCACGTGACCTCAGGTATGTCCCTGCAGCCAAATCACATGACCCCCCAGTGTGTCCCTGCGGCTGGGCCCCGTGGTCACCCCAGGGGCAGCGGCGACGGAGCCGTGGGGAGGGCGCCGGTCACACACCTTCTCCATGACCAGCCGCGCCAGCCGGATGGGGTTGGCGATGCAGCGGACGGCGGACACGGCGCCCGAGGACAGGTCCCTCCCACTCATGATGCTGGCGTCCATTTCCACGTCCCCGTTCGCGTTGAGGACGGATCCGCAGCCTGGGCCCAAAGGCGGGGAAAGCAAGAAAGGTGAGTGTGGACGTGGCTTCAGGGTGTGTCAGAGCCGCCTACTCCCTTCCCCTGCACTCCAGAGCCGGAGGAACAGGGATCCTCACTGACTCAAGAGGAAGGGAGAGAACACCAATGAGGAGAGAGCATCATGGATCAGCTGCCCCCTGCACGCCCCCCACTGGGGATGGAGGCTGCAACCCAGGCGTGTGCGTGTGTGTGTGTGTGTGTGTGTGTGTGTGTGTGTGTGTGTCTGGATCCCCAGCAGGGGGCGTGCAGAGTCAGCCAACCCATGTTTTTCTCATCCAAGCTTCTCTCCCTTCCTACTCACTTTCTCCCTTAAAAAATCAATAATCGTATTTAAAAAAACAAAATGAACCTGTCAGAATGGCCAACATCAACAAATCAACAAACGACAAGTGTTGGCGAGGTTGCTGAAAAAAAGGAATCCTCGTGCACTGCTGGTGGGAATGCAGACTGGTGCAACCACTGTGGAGAACAGTGTGGAGCTTCCTCAAAAAACTAAAAATGGAACTGCCATTTGACCCAGTGATCCCACTCCTAGGAATATATCCCAAGAAACTAGAAACACCAATCAGAAAGGATATATGCACCCCTATGTTCATAGCAGCACAATCTACAATAGCCAGAATCTGGAAACAGCCTAGGTGCCCGTCAGCAGATGATTGGATCCAAAAACTATGGTACATCTACACAATGGAATACTATGCTGCCATAAAAAAGAAGGAATTCTCATCATTTGCAGCAACCTGGATGGAAATGGAGAACATCATGCTGAGTGAAACAAGCCAGTCAATGAAAGAGAAACACCACATGACCTCACTCATTTATGGATAATAAAAAACATTATAAACTGATGAACCAAAAGATAGATATGGAGACAGTAAAGCAACAAGCAGATTGTCAAATTACAGCGGGGAGGGGAGGAGGGTCTGGGGGAGATAATAGATCAACCCAAGGACGTATACATGCATATAAGTACAACCAATGGACATAAAACTCTGGGGAGGGAAGGGATATGTGGGAGGGAGGGAGGGAGGGGGGGGGCAAAATAAAATCAATAAAATATGTAAAAATAAATAAAATAAAATAAAATAAAAATTTAAAAAAACAAAATGAGCATAATAAGGTACCCTAAGTCAGAAGCCCACAGCGCAGACTGAGTTCACCACCCAGACTTCTCGGACGGCTGTGTGGCCCGCGGCTGGCAGCCACGCTCGGAAAGAGGGCAGACACACACACACACACAAAAAACCACTCTGCATGGGAGTGACTCTGGCCTGACAGAGCGGGCCGGCAGATGCCGGGATCTGGGGACTAACGTGGGATTAACCCCTGGGGGTGATGGAAATGTTTTAAATCCTAAGAAGATGTCATAAAAAGCCTCTGGGCCCCAGCCGGTGGTGCTCAGTGGACAGAGCATCCACCTGGGGACGGAAGGGTCCCAGGTTCGATGCTGGCCAAGGCCACAGGCCCAGGTTGCAGGCTCCATCCCCAGTGTGGGGCGTGCAGGAGGCAGCCCGTCCACAACTCTATCATCATTGATGTCTCTCTTCCCGCTCCTCTCTGAGATCAGTAAAAACATGTGTAAGGGCTACTCATTCATATATTTAAAAAGCCTCTTGCGGTGTGAATGCCAGGAAGCGGGTTAAAGGGGGAAAGATTTAAAAATCCCTGAAGCCGCTCGGTCCACAGGCAATGGGGAGCGCGCAGCCCCCCTCCCCGGGCGCCCGGGTCCCGCACCCCGGAGGCCGCCCGCGGCGCACGCACCGGCGTTGAACTCGGGGTCGTCCTCCAGCGCGGCCACGGCGGCCTCCACGGCGTCCAGCGCGCTGCCCCCCGCCGTCAGCAGCCGGTAGCCCGCGGCGGCGGCCCGCGCCACGCCCTGGCGCACCCGCTGCTCGCGCTCCGGGGAGACCCGGCTGCCCGCGCCGCCGTGCACCACCACCACCGGCTCCATTCCGGCGGGCGGGGCGGAGGTCAGGCCCGGGCCCGGGCACCTATGCAGGGCGCAGGGGACAAGGTCCGGCCTCCGCCCCGGAGGAGGGCGGGCGCCGCCGGGCCAGCAGGGTCCGCGGCGCGGCTGGTTCCGCCGGGAAAGCCTGGAGCGTCCCGCCCCCGCCCCCGCCCCCGCCGCCGGGCCCCCGCCTCCAGGGCCCCCGCCGCCGGGGCCCCCGCCGCCAGGGTCCCCGCCGCCAGGGTCCCCGCCTCCAGGGCCCCCGCCGCCAGGGTCCCCGCCCCCAGGGCCCCCGCCGCCGGGGCCCCCGCCGCCAGGGCGCAACCAGCCCGGACGTGCGGGGCCCGGACGTGCGGGGCCGGACGTGCGGGGAGAGCCCACTCCCCGGGCCCGCAGGGCGCAGGGCCACAGGCCGGGCTGACGCTGGGGACCCCTCCGGGCCCCGCAGCCATTTCTGCGCGCACCCCTTCCCTCGCCTTCCCCGCAGGGTCTCTCCCGGCGCCCGCCCGCTCCGCTGCCCGGGGAGGGTGCTGCCCGGGAGGGGAAGGGTGCTGCCCGGGAGAGGAAGGGTGCTGCCCGGGAGGGGCAGGGTGCTGCCCCGGGAGTGGCAGGGTGCTGCCCAGGGAGGGTGCTGCCCGGGGAGGGTGCGCCTACCTGGGAGCCCGGCAGCAGGCGGGGCCCTCGCGGCTGCGCAGAAGGCGCGCTGTGAGCTGCGCACGGAGCGGGCGGCCGCTCCCTTTATAAGCCCCACCCACGTGACCCGTCCCTCCTGATTGGCGCGCAGGGAGCCGCCTTTCCCGATTGGCTGGCTCAAAGGGAGGGGCCGGCCTTTGCCCATCCAAGATGGCGGCCCCCGGGGGCGCCGCGGGTCGCGGGCTGGTCGTCGTTGGGCAGGAAATGGCTGTTTTCTCTCCGGCCCTTCTCTGTCCACACGCTTCTCCTCAGGGGCCGGCCGCCATGGCCTCCGGCCGCTCCGGGGCGGACCTGGCGCCTCTTGTGAGGCGGCCGCTGAGGGGCTCCGGGTCGCCGTGGCCGCGGCGGGCGTCCGGACGGAGAAGGGCGCCACAGGGGCTGAGGGGGCGGGAGGGTCCCCCTGGTGACGGCCGCCGGGGGAGCACACGCACTGCGGGCGGCGATGGGGGACGGGCCGGCCGTGTCCCCGCGGCGGAGGCGCCCGGAAACCGGGCCGCCGTGGACCCGACTCTGGGCCTCAGGCCGAGGCGCTCCAGCGGCCACGGCCACGGCCACGCGGGCTTTCTCCGCCCGCCTGCCCCCTGCCGCCCTGTTGTAGGCGAGTAACGGGCTGCGCTCGGCGGTTCGTGTTTTTAACTCCGCGGCTGCGGCCTGTGGTGATGGGACCCCACGGCGACGGGCGGGTGGGAGGCACCGGCCCTGCGGGGACCCCCTCCGGCGGGGCCTGCCCTGCGGCCCTGGCCCTCGTGCCCGGAAGTTCCTGGCTCTCCCTGGTTAAAAGAAAAGGAACCGTAAGAATTCCTGTTGTTCCTTTGATTGGGGAGTCTTAAATGTTTTTCATTTATTGTAAAACCAAGGACAGCCGAAACCGGTTTGGCTCGGTGGATAGAGCGTCAGCCTTCGGACTGGAGGGTCCTGGGTTCGATTCCGGCCAAGGGCATGTGCATTGGTTGCGGACACATCCCCGGTGGGGGGGGGGGGGGGCGTGCAGGAGGCAGCTGGTCGATGATTCTCTCTCATCGATGTTTCTAACTCTCTATCCCTCTCTCGTCCTCTCTGTGAAAAATCAATAAAATATATATTAAAAATAAAAAAACAAAACCAAGGACAACAATTGTATCACTTTTGACATGCAGGGCAATCTGTCTTTCGGGGTAAAGTACTCTAAAAATGAATCCTACAGTGTTCCCTTCAGGTCAAGTGTCTCGTTTAAATAAACTTGTTTAAAATGAAAAAAAAAAAAACAAAAAAAACACCACCACAAATACACACACACACACACACACACACACAAAAAAAAAACATTTCCTAAAATGTAAACCCTAGCCCTGACCAGTTTGGCTCAGTGGATAGGGCATCTGCCCACAGACTGAAGGTCCCATGTTTGATTCCGGCCAAGGGCATGTACCTTGGTTGAGGGCACATCCCCAGTAGGAGGTGTGCAGGAGGCAGCTGATGGATGATTCTCATTGATGTTTCTAACTCTATCCCTCTCTCTTCCTCTCTGTAAAAAAATCAATAAAATATATTTATTAATCAATAAAATATATTTTATTGATTTTTACAGAGAGGAAGAGAGAGGGATAGAGTTAGAAACATCGATGAGAGAGAATCATTGATCAGCTGCCTCCTGCACACCCCCTACTGGGGGATGTGGCCGCAACCAAGGTCCATGCCCTTGACCGGAATCGAACCTGGGACCTTTTAGTCCGCAGGCCAACGCTCTATCCACTGAGCCAAACCAGTTTTGGCTAAAATATATATATATATGTATTTTTTTAAAAAAGTAAACCCTAGGAAGGTTGTCAAACCCATTCAACCAAAGATTACATAGCAAAGTGACAAAGGGTATTAAAGACAAACGTAAGCTAGTGAAACTTCAGTTCCCATAACTAAGTTTCTTTGTAGCACCTGGTTAATATAACACACAATCATTTATAGATCGTTCGCTTAAGAAAAAGACTAACCAAAATAAGGTTCATCTTCTAACTTCGTTTGTCCTCGGTGAGGTCAGCAAAGGACACTAATTGGGTTTCCACGTTCACTCTCCCTGAGGTTGACATAAGCCATTCACCCTCTGGTTAGGGAGGAACATGCACATCATCTGTTCTAAGGGCCCCTGGCTTAGGGGAGACAGGGGTTACCAGATGGCTCCAGATCGCTGTTTAACTATTTCAATTTCCCTATTCTACTCATCCTGGCTTACTGGCCTGTGCCACTTACTCAATTTTCTTTTCAACATTTTTCTTTACAAACATCCTATATCTTTCACAATTTTTTTCTTTAGAAACCTTATAACTTTCAGAAATATCCAGCTTTAGAAACCACTTTCTTCTTCAAAATGCATTTTCAAGCCTCAAATTGTCTGTTATACCAAAACCATAATTCCTTTTCATAATTTTTGGATTTTTTAACCCTTAGAAGCCTTATAATGTTTAGGTGGCATGTAATTAACATTCCTCAGGTTGGCAATACATTCACATTTTAAGAGATATTTCAAGTGACATACAGGACTTATCCATTACTACGTTCAAATCCACCCTCTATATTTTCCCCAAGAGGCAACCTCAAACTAACGAATGTTCCAGTATCCTGTTACTTCAAAATATTTAGATGTTTATTCTTTAACCCAGCAAGGATCCAAGCCTGTATGCAATCTCTGACTTTGGGAAGTTAGGTGTCGGCCTAGGAGGCTGGAGGACAGGGAGGGAGGAGGGAGCAGGCCCCACAGCCTGTTCCTGGACCTCCAGCTGCTTGGGTTCAAAACTGTCACCTGGCTGAAACCGGTTTGGCTCAGTGGTAGAGCCTCGGTCTGCAGACTGAAAGATCCCAGGTTCGATTCCGGTCAAGGGCATGTACCTTGGTTGTGGACACATCCCCAGTAGGGGGTGTGCAAGAGGCAGCTAGTCGATGTTTCTCTCTCATTGAAGTTTCTAGCTCTCTATCTCTCTCCCTTCCTCTCTGTAAAAAAACAATAAAATATATTTTAAAAAAACAAACAAAAAAACCCTGCCACCTGTTTCCGTAGCGATAGCCTTCGAAGGTGTGGGCGACGCTGCTGTGGCCTCTGCCGGGCCCTGGGCCACGTGCTCTGCTGTGGTGAGCACTATGTCAGCCTTCGGCCTCTCTTACCTGTATGCACAGACCTGCTGAGCCTCTTCCGTCAGCAACTCTGCAGTTCTCTGACTGTCATCTTCTTGAGACGTCAGGCCAGCTATTGGTGACAAAATGTAATGTTTAGTATTTCTTGGCCCATCAGGTCCCTGGGGTCTGGCCCAGCGAATGTTCTCATTTGGTCTTTTAGTCTCGGTAGAAGCCGGAAGGCCCTGATGAACATGGGAGGCTCGGGGAGGGGCTGGGCAGAGGCATCAGCTGCAGGGACTGCGCAGGAGCCTGGCGTAGAGATTGGACTTGGGCCCCTGCACCTGCCCGGAGCTGGGCCAGGCAGGTGGGTGCGGGTGCGGGGGTCTCAGCCACGGTGCCCCCTGCGGAGCGGCTGCTCCGCCCCAGGCCCAGGCTGTGGCCTCACTCCACAAGCTCCAATGGCGGGGGGGGGGGGGGGGGGCGGGAAGCACCCCGAGACGGGCCAGGCTGGGACCCAGCTTGTGTGCAGCTGAGCTCACAGGGGCCTCAGCCAGCTCCCTGTCTAATCTGTCTGTCTCTCCGTGGGCTTGTCTCTCTCTTTCTCTTCACCTTTCTTGCTCTCTCTATCTCTCTATCTCTGCCTTTCCCCCTCCCCACTATGTCTTTCCCCCCTCTCTGTCTCTCCCCCTCTCTGTTTCTGCCCCTCCCTGTCTCTCCCCACCTCTGTCTCTCCCCCTCTCTGTCTCTCCCCCTCTCTGTCTCTCCCCAATCTGTCTCTGCTCTGCCTCTCTAGGGCTCACACTGGTGCAGTCTGCCAGGCCTGGGGCACAGAAGGCGGGACGGGGTGGGATCTGGTCACTCGGGCCAGGCCCAGCCCACAGACCACCCTGCCAGGGACGGAGCAGCGAGGACGGTTCGCGTGCATCCTGCCTCCTCCCTCAGCCCCAGGGACAGCCCCTGGGTGAGGTGGCCGCTGCAGCAGCACCCAGGAATGCTGCGGGCCAGGCGGCACGGGTGGCACGAGCGGCATGGGCCTCCGCAGCCTCCAGCTATTTCCTGGGCGGCGCCTCCCGGGAGGGCTAAGCCGTACCCTTGGGCGCCGCGCCGTGGACCTGCCGGTCCCTGCACCCCCTTCCAGGGACATGGAGGCCCCCGAGGAGAGGAACTGTCTGTGGGTGGCCCAGGGGGCCTCGGGACCATAGGGGGCACACGCACCCCAAACTGTGCCAAGAAGTCTCTCAGGAAAACAAGCTTATTGGAAATGTGCTGACCCTGAGAGCTCCTGCTTCAGCCCGTGCATTTGTGTGTGCCTCCCCCTCCCCCTCCCCTTTCCCCTCCTCCCCCTCCATCCCCCTCCTACTCCCTCCTCTTCCCCCATCTCCTTCTCCCCCTCCCCTCCCCCTCCCCCTCCATCCCCCTCCTACTCCCTCCTCTTCCCCCCCCTCCTTCTCCCTCTCCCCCCCTCCCCTTTTTCCTGCCTCTCCTCTTCCTCCCTCTCCCCCTCCTCCCTGCCCACCTCTTTCCTCCCCAGTCTGGGATCCACGCAGAGGCTGGCCAGGACCTGCTGGTGCCGCCTGGTTGGGGTGGGGTCCTAGCAGCCACTGGGCCTGTGGGAGGGGCTCCAGGAAGGTGGGTGCAGGAGGAAGGCCGTTCTGGGAGGAGTGGGCTGGGAGCCGCAGCCGCTGCACAGGCCGGGGACCTCCCCGCCCCCCACCTGGCTGCAGCCCCAAGGCCGGTTCTCCGCCCTGCGGTGACCTCAGGGGCAGCCACCTTGCCCTGGCCAGGTCCCGGTCCAAGGCCCACACCCGCCTGGGGCCCCCCTCTCTCTCGGTGCCCAGGCCCCCTTCCCGGGGCACAGCCAGAGCCCTGGCCTGGCCGCTCCACCCCTGCCCGGCTCCGGGGTCAGGCCGGGAGGTGAAGCCTGCGCCTGGGTGCTGAGGCGGGCAGCGGGCGCTGGGCGAGGCGTAGGCACGAGGTGCCCTCGGGCCTGTGGCCTGGCTGACGTGTCCCTGGAGCAGGTCCCGGTGCTGACACTGCCCGTTGGCGCGCGGATGGCGCGGGTGGGTGGGCGGGGAGGAGCTGCCTCCAGCCGGGCCCTGTGTCACCACCTGCACCCCCTCCTCCGGCCCCCGGGTCCTCCCTAAGGCTCCTCTGGGATGAGGGCAGTGAGGGTCTCACTACCTCTCCAGGACCCCGTTCCCAGGGGGCGCTCTGCCCAGCTGGGGCATGAAGCCAGGGGCGGTTTACAAGGGGAATGTGAGGGTCCGGGGTGTGCAGGCGGTGAGTGGCCTCAGGCTGGGGCAGAGCAGCGGGAGGGGGAGCAGAGTAAATGGGGGGCTGCTGGCGGGGGCGGCGCCAGGGGAGGCAGCAGTGATGGAGGGTTCGTGCCAGGTGTCACCAGGAGCCCCACCCTCTGTGGACAGAGCTGCGATCTCGCTCACTGGGGCAACCACGGGGGCAGTGCCACGTCCCTGGGACCCCCACCCCGACCCACCTTCCTTGGGGGTGTCTTGCTGAGTCAGCTCTCCTGATATGAGGAGAGATGGGGGGTGCCGTGGGCGGGGCGTCCGGTCCAGCTGGAGCTGCCAGCGGGGCCCAGGGGCCGGGCCATTGTGGGGCAGCTGGGCCAGCAGCCAGCATCCAAGCTCCTGCTGTGCGCCGGGCTCACAGAAGGGCTGTGGAACCCTGTTACAGGCGGCAGGGCCGAGCTCAGAGGGAAACGTGCGCTGGCCGCACAGCAGTGGGGATGGGCGGCCTGCGTGCTGCTCGGCCTGCCTCAGGGTCTGAGCCCCGAGCGGCTCATGCATAGCCGCGCCCCCGTCCCCCCAGCCCCCGAGAGCCCGGCTCTCCTAGCCCAGGGACCCCAGCGCCCTCGCTCCCTGCTTCGGGGAAGGAAGAAAAGATACCCTCTCCCTGTGGTGACAGCTGCGGGGCCACCAGGCGCCCCTCAGTCTGCCATCCGCGGCTCAGCACTTGGGGCCTTCCCGGCCAGGCCCCGGCCACACGCAGGGTCCGTGCAGGATCCGGGCCAGGCCCCGGCCACACGCAGGGTCCGTGCAGGGTCCGGGCCAGGCCCCGGCCACACGCAGGGTCCGTGCAGGGTCCGGGCCAGGCCCCGGCCACACGCAGGGTCCGTGCAGGGTCCCGGCCAGGCCCCGGCCACACGCAGGGTCCGTGCAGGGTCCCGGCCAGGCCCCGGCCACACGCAGGGTCCATGCAGGAGCCGCCGAGGGGCCTGGCCGGGGTGGGCCCGGTGCTGTGCTGCCCGTGCCAAGAGGCAGGCCTGGGCTGTCACAGACGGGGGAGCCCCCCGCCCGCTGTGCTACCCACCGCAGGGCCAGTTGGCAGCGGCAGCCGAGGCCAAGGCCAGTGGCAAGGCCGTGCCCAGCTCCTGCGGTTATGGGGGAGGGCCGTGGGGCAGCCCGGGGCGCCGGCCGGCACAGATGGTTCTCATTGCCGCCGCCTCTTCCTCAGAAAAACAGGCCGCCCGCCGCCCGCCGCCCGCTTTATCTCGGGTTCACGCCCCCCCTCTCCGCTGCCTCGGCCTGAGCTGGCCTGTGGGCTGCGTCTGCCCGCGGTCTGGCCATGACCCCGGCGCTCTCCGGGGGGGGCTGGGTGAGGGGGCAGGAGGGGGCTGAGGGGGGAGCAGCCCATTTCCCCGCTCCTGGACCGTCTCCATCCCGCTGGGTCCCCGGACTCTCCGGGGCTTGGGGTCTCCTGGCTGCACCAGGAAGGGTCAGGGGGTGAGAGCCGCGTGTGCCCGCTGTGCCCAGGCCCTGCCCCGACTGGAGGGGAGGACGCCCTGAGCGGGCAGAGCCAGGGCCAGGGCGGGCGGCTGAGGCCCCGTCTCACAGTCCGGCCTTCGGGGCGCTGGGGATTCAGAGCAGGAGGTGGCTCGGTGCCCACACCAGCCGGCCGCTCAGAGGCGGCCCTCCCTGCATCCTCCCAGCCCTCGTGTCCCCCCCTCCCCGCAGGGAAGGCCCAGGGCAGGAGGGAACGTGGCCGCTGCAGGCTCCTGTCTGGGTGGTGAGGAAAGCGGGGCCCGGCTGCCTCTGTCCACTGCGTCTGGCCAGGCCCAGGCCCTCCACACCCTCCTCCTCCTCCCTCCCCCCGGGCCGGGGTCACGGGGCAGCGCTGCTGTTTGCGATCCGCACCCCCAGGTCTCTAACCAGGGCTCCCGATGCCCACACCCCCAGGTAAGGGGGGCAGGGCCTGGGCCGGAGGGGGCAGAGGGTCACCAGGGGGCGGGTGCGAACAAAGGCGGCCGGCCTCCAGCCGCCCACGTGGGGCGGCAGGCGGGGGCGGCCAGCGGGCTCCGGGGCGGGGCCCTGGATCCGGGTCCGAGAGCAGCAGCGCCGCCGGGTGCCGGGCGCAGGAGGTCCCGCCGCGCGGCCCGCCGCCGCCGCCGCCCTCCCCTCCCCGGGGGAGGAGGGACGTGACATCACGGCCGCGGGGAGGAGGGCGGCGCCGGCACATCACTTCCTCGGCGCCCGGCCGGGCCGCGGGCGGACGGACAGACAGACAGACAGCGGACCGGCCGCCGAGGGCGCGCGGGGACCGGCGGGCGCGGCGCGAGGAGGGCCCGGCCCCCGGCGACCCCGGCCCATGGCCAGCCCGGCCCCGCCCGCCGCGGAGGAGCTGCCCGGCGCGGCGCGGCGCCTGGGCTCCAGGTGGGGGCCGGGGGGGCGCGGGGCTGGGGGGCGCGGGCGGGGGGCCGGAGGGCGCGGGGCCGGGGCGGGGGGCGGCGACCCGAACAAAGGCGGCGGCAGCGGCGGTGGCGGGAGCGGCGGGCGCGCAACGTGGCGAGGACGCGCCTCCCTCCCGGGGCGCAGGGCTGGGGGGCGCCGGGTGGGGAGCGGGGATGCGGGAGGGGGGCCCCCGAAAAGCGGGTGTGGGGGTGCTGGTCCCGCCCGGAGAGCTGGGGACCCCAAAGGCCCGCAGAGGGGGGCCGGGGGGCGGCTGGGATGGGCTGTGCCCCCGGACCCCCTCCCGGACTGGAAACTGGCCGCTCCTCCCCGCGGGGGCTGCCAGCCACTCCGCTCAGCCTGGCATCCCCCGCACAGTCGCCTGCTCAGGCCAGGCTGGGTCCCGGGCGGCCTCTGCCCGGCCTAGCGGGTGGCACTGGGAGAGCCTGCAGCGCCAGCCACCAGGTGGGTGTGTGCCGCCTCCAAAGACACCTGCCTCCAGGCAGACGCACCGCGATGGCACGGCCTGGGCTCGGCCCCGTGCCCGGCAGGGACGGCAGGGTGGCCCTGCCCAGGGCGGCGTGCCTGCCTGCTGACTCCAGGCCTGTGCAGGGTGTGCCACAGGGGGAAGCCCGGGGCCGGTGTCCAGACCAGCGAGCAGGCATGCGAGCTGGCAGCGCGGCTCTCGGTGGCAGCGCCCGGGGGTGAGCCCGACAGCACCTTCCCGGCCCCGACCTGAAGGACATGGTCACCCCTAAGACCCGGCCTCCGGCTGCGGGGCCCTCAGGGGGCTCGGGCAGCCCAGCAGCGGGAGCCTCTGCCGGCGCCCAGGGCAGCGTGAGGGCGCCGTGGCGGGAAAGGCCCTGCCTGCTGCCTTCCCGCTCGGGGCTAGTCCCGCTGCTGCGGAGACACAGCCCCATTGTGTGGCTCCGGCGCGGGCTGGGCCGGCTCCTGGGCCCCTCGCTGGGGGGGCGTGGGGGGGGCTTGCTGGCAGCTGCAGCAGGAGGCCGCCCTGAAGGATCCCTCCAGGCCCCACGAGGGAGGGCTGTGCAGGCAGCAATCGCCCCTGGTCGTGCTTGACGGAGAGCCGGTGTTCGGTCCCAAAGAGCCGCAGGAGTGAACACCCGGCTGCACCAAGCTGTGTGCAGTCCCGTGTGTGCGTGCGTGCGTGTGCGTGCGTGTGTGAGTGTGTACGTGTGAGTGTGTGTGTATGTGAGAGAGAGAGAGAGACCGGCAGAGGCTGGGAGACCACGCACAGCTGGAGGCCCACAGCCTCCTGGTCACCCCCGGCTTGCGATGGGAGCGAGGTGTGGGCGGGTGCCGAGCCCAGCGGGGGGACCAGACGGGACTCCGGCCCGGGAGGCAGCGGAGGGGACGCGGGAGAGGCCTGGGCCCGGCCTGCATCCTGGGACCCCAGGCCGCGCGGAGCTGCCCGCGGGCGGAGAGCAGGCCGCAGGGCCTTGGCCGGCGGCCGCCGGGCGGGGTGGGCAGCAGCTCCTGGGCGCTGGCGGCCGCAGGCCCGGGCCGTGTGCCTGGGCGCCTGCGGGTCGGGGAGGAGGGGAAGCCCCGGTGATACAGCGAACAGGCAAGAAGGCTGGCCACTGGGGAGCCATAGCCACTCATCACCGGGACCAGCGGCGGCGGGAGCTTGGCAGATGCCGGCCGCCGGGCCACTGCGGTCTGGCTGCTGGGAAAGCCGCCGCCAGCCCCGGCGAGGAGAGGCGCGCGGTCAGGCTGAGAGCAGCTGCTGGGCTTTGGGCGGTGAGTCTGGGGGCAGCTACGCCCACAGCCCCGGGTCCAGGGAGCCCTGGCCGGCTGGGCCCGTCTCCTGCCCCGAGGGTGGGCGCCCTGGCAGCCCATGGGTGCACAGGCCTCGGGGAGGCCCTGCAGCCTTCCGGGTAGGAATCCGGCAGCCGGCAGGAGGGCTGACCGGGCACGCGGGCACCTCGCCAGGTGGGGGCAGACACCCACAGGCCTGGCTGTGCTGGGCGGCCTCACAGGGCCCGAGCGGGTGGCCTGCAGTGCATGTGCCAGGCAGCAGCCTTGGGGGCCGGATCGGGGCCTGGGGGTGGTGTGAGCCTGCAGGGTTTGGGGGTTCAGGTCCTCAGCAGGGGCTGGGCATGGAGGAGATGGTCTAGGCCTCACCCTATCGGCTGAGCTATCCCGGGGGTGGATGGTGGCCTCAGGGCGGGTGGGGGGTGCCCGGCCGGACACCCTTGGGAGCAGCATCTGGTGTGGCAGGGGGGCCTGGCCCCCCACTCGGCATGCACCGCCCAGCTCCCCCTAGGGCTCTGCCCTCCGGACTCCACCCCCATGTGGGTCGGATCTGCAGCCCCTCGTGCTGGCCCCCGCTGTGTGGTGGAGCCTGAGCTGACCTCCCCCCCCTGCTCTGCAGAACCCCCCACCCCAGGGCCCACCACGGAGAAGGCGTGGGGCTGGCAGGAGGGGTGCCCACGAGGGGGCAGAGGGAACTCTGGGTGGGCCCAGGGGCTTCTGGGAGGGGCAGTACCAGGACGGCGGGAGGGGAGGCCCCGGAGACACCTGCCTGGCCCCCATGCGGCTCCCAGCGGGCCAGCTCTGCGCCTCCCACCCCGCTCCTCCCCGCTCCTCCCTCTGAGGGAAGGTCCTCACCGGCCGCGCCGGGGGCTGGCACGGTTCAGAAAGGAGCTGGGGGGAGTGTCCCCCGCCCTGGAGCTCCTCTTGGGGGTCAGGGCAGGGAACTCTACAGCCCCGGAGGGTGGGAGGCACCAGCAGGATGACCTGATTCGGGGCTCCCGTCTGTGGGCCTGCTGCGAGCTGGGCGCCGTGGCTGCGAGCCCGGCCAGCCCGGGGCGGGGTGTGTGTGCGGTGTCTGGCTGGAGCAGGGCCGCCTGGAGGAGAGGTCGGGGTGGGTGAGGCGGGTGGGGGCCAGGTGTGGGCCCGCCCGGAAGGAGCAAGCTGCCCTCGGGGGCCGGGGCTGCCCTGTCCTCACGCGGAGGGAGGGCGGTGTGAGAGCCGGGCTGGGGCCGGGCGGCTACACCACTGCCTGGCTCCTCCCTCCGCTCCTCTGGGCTCCGGCACCCCCACCCGCCTGACCCCGGCCGCCCTGTGACGGGCCGTCCCGCTCTGAGCTGCCCTTAGCCTCCGTCCGCCTCGGCCTGGAGCCCCGGCGACCCGCCTGGGGCCTGGGTCTCCTGAGGCCCCAGCCTTCAGCACACCACCCCGGGGCGGGGAGAGTCAGGGGAACCCCAGGACCAGGGCGGGGAGGGCAGACTGGCCGAGAGGGAGGCCGGGAGCCGCAATGAGAGGGCCAGCCTGCGCTCTGAGCCTGGCGGACACGGCCTTGTGCAGAGTGGGTACGGCGTGCCCCCTGCTGCTGCCCGAGGGCCAGAGCCGTGGCTGCTCCAGCAAAAGATGCCCGACCTGCAGAGGCCCAGGAGTGGCGGGCGCCTGGGGCACCGGGAGGGCGCCTGGTGCTGGCGGGAGGTCAGTGCCATCGGGGGTTTGCGGTATGGGGGGGCTCCTAGCCCTGTACCCTGTCGGGCGCGTCTCCAGGTGACCTCCCTGTGTTGCTGGGGCCCGTGTTAGACACCCCCGTCTGCATGGCGATGACCCCACCCCCTTCGAGTCTGGGGCCCCTGGCTCCCAGGCCAGACGCCTTGGCCCTGGGACAGGTGGGCGGCCGGGTGTGCCGGAGCGCAGGGCCTGTTCCTGCTGCGGTGCCCACGGCTCAGAGCCCACGTCCCTCCGCTGTCACTGGGACTGGGCAGCTCGCCCATCAGATGGCCGGCCGGGCGCTGGGCAGGGACAGGCCGGCCTCGGGGAGCCCCCCAGGCGGGCACCTCGGGCTGCTCGTGGGCGCGAGGGCCGTGGCCCTGGCTGGCTGTCTCGGAACACACCGCGGGGGCTGCCCGGCATAGCGGGCGGGCGGGAGGCCGGCGCAGATTGAGGTCAAGGCCGCGTCCCTGCCCCCGGCTCCTGCAGAGGTCACACGGGCTCTGCCTGGATCTCGGGAGGCAGGGGGGCCCCAGAGCCCAGGCCCCGTGTTCACGGAGGAGAAGAGCCCGCTCTGACCGGGTGTTGGCGAGGGGCCTGCGAGGTGCGGGCTTCCCCGCGGGGAGCTGGGTCCTGTGGGCGCGGCCTCTGCGGGTCCCCAGGCCGGCCGCCTGGCGCTGGGAATGTGGAGGCCGTGGTCAGCGCCGCCGGGGACGGCCGCTAGGGGCTGGTCCGCGTCCCCGAAGCGCCGGCCCAGCAGCTGCTAATCTCTAAGGAGAGGTGGTTTTCCCGAAAAACTGCCCACAACACGGGGGCCGAGGGCCGAGTGTGGGCACGTCTGGCTGCTCTGGATCCACGGGCTCTGGGACCCCAACAGGCCACGGGGCGAGACAGGATGGGAGGGTACGGGGGGGGGGGTGGCCTGACCGTGTGGGACACGCACCCACGTTCCCGGGGCCTGGGGACAGGGCCTCCTGGGCTCCCCTGCTGCCTGGGTGGCCGCACCGAGCCCCCCCTCTTCCCCTGCCCTCAGGGGTCCCCTCTCCCTTGAGCCTGGGAGCCACGTGACCCATCGGAGCCGCTGGGAGAGGCCAGGCCCCGAGGGACTGTCCGGCCCTGGCCACACCGCAGGCAGGGCCTCGCCGCCGCCGGGCTGTCCCACCCGGGCTCCCCTCGCCGCGGCCGGAGTCCTGAGGGCGCTCAGTGAGCGGCGCCTGGGGTGCTGAGCGGGGCCGCTCGGGTGCTGAGCGGGGCCACTCGGGTGCTGAGCGGGGCCCCGGGTTAGGCCTCTTGTCTGAAGCTCTTCCCATGACCCAGGGGGCGGAGGGGCCGGGGGCCGGGAGCCAGTGCAGCCTCCCGAGGGGCTGGCGGTCACCTGGGCGGCGGTGTCCAGGGCTGGGCCTGTCCTGGACGTGGTGCTGTCCTCCCTCCCGCAGCCCCACGGCGGGTGGGGACGCCTGGCGGCCATGGTTCTCAGGCCCGTCCTGGACAGCAGCCTGCAGAGCGCTTCTCGGCCGGGGGTCGGGGCTGGGGCCGGTCAGGAGGGGGCCAGGGGCTGACCACTCGGCCCAGGGGCAGCCATGGCCATGAGGAAGGCGGTGGGCACTGTGGTGGCTGAGCCTTGAGCCCAGGGTGTGGCCTCGGGCAGCTCGCTCGTCCTCGGGGAGGTGTGTACGGGCGGCTGTGCGGCCGGGGGTAGGTGTGTGCGGGAGGCTGTGCGGTCGGGAGGGGTGTGCGGGCGGCTGTGCGGTCGGGGGAGGGGTGTGCGGGAGGCTGTGTGGTCGGGGGAGGTGTGTGCGGGCGGCTGTGGGGGAGGGGGAGGGGTGTGCGGGCGGCTGTGGGGGAGGGGGAGGGGTGTGCGGGCGGCTGTGTGGTCGGGGGAGGGGTGTGCGGGCGGCTGTGTGGTCGGGGGTAGGTGTGTGCGGGAGGCTGTGCGGTCGGGGGAGGTGTGTGCGGGCGGCTGTGGGGTCGGGGGAGGGGTGTGCGGGCGGCTGTGGGGGAGGGGGAGGGGTGTGCGGGAGGCTGTGCGGTCGGGGGAGGGGTGTGCGGGCGGCTGTGTGGTCGGGGGAGGGGTGTGCGGGCGGCTGTGTGGTCGGGGGAGGGGTGTGCGGGCGGCTGTGTGGTCAGGGGAGGGGTGTGCGGGCGGCTGTGCGGTCGGGGGAGGTGTGTGCGGGCGGCTGTGCGGTCAGGGGAGGGGTGTGCGGGCGGCTGTGTGGTCGGGGTAGGTGTGTGCGGGCGGCTGTGCGGTCAGGGGAGGGGTGTGCGGGCGGCTGTGCGGTCGGGGGAGGTGTGTGCGGGCGGCTGTGCGGTCAGGGGAGGGGTGTGCGGGCGGCTGTGTGGTCGGGGGAGGGGTGTGCGGGCGGCTGTGTGGTCGGGGGTAGGTGTGTGCGGGAGGCTGTGCGGTCGGGGGAGGTGTGTGCGGGCGGCTGTGGGGTCGGGGGAGGGGTGTGCGGGCGGCTGTGGGGTCGGGGGAGGGGTGTGCGGGCGGCTGTGGGGGAGGGGGAGGTGTGTGCGGGCGGCTGTGGGGTCGGGGGAGGGGTGTGCGGGCGGCTGTGGGGTCGGGGGAGGGGTGTGCGGGCGGCTATGGGGTCGGGGTGGGGGGGGAGGGGGAGGTGTGTGCGGTCGGGGGGAGGTGTGTGCGGGCGGCTGTGGGGTCCGGGGGAGGTGTGGGGGTGCTGGGCAGGCTGACCCCCTCCCCCCGCAGGATGGAGGCCTCGTGCCTGGAGCTGGCCCTGGAGGGGGAGCGGCTGTGCAAGGCGGGCGACTTCAAGGGGGGCGTGGCCTTCTTCGAGGCGGCCGTGCAGGTGGGCACCGAGGACCTGCGGACGCTGAGCGCCATCTACAGCCAGCTGGGCAACGCCTACTTCTACCTCAAGGAGTTCGCCCGCGCCCTGGCCTACCACCGGCACGACCTGCTGCTGGCGCGGTGAGCGGGGCGGCGCGGTGAGGGGGGGCGGGGGCGGGCGCAGGAGTGGGGGTGCGGGGTGTGGGCACGGGGAGCAGGGAGCCTCAGGGTGCAGGCCCTCAGGGCCTGGCTGTCAGTGCCAGGTGGGGGGGTGGGGGGCCAGCTCTCAGGTCCACGGAGGCCTGGGAGGGGGGCCCGGATGCAGGAAGTGTCCCCAGCTGAGACTCGTGTGAGCATGTCTCTCTATGTCAGTGGGTGAGAGCCCGGGTGAGGCTCAGTGTCCCGTGTGCATGAGCACATGTGTGTGTCCGTGTGTCGGTGCCAGTCTCCGGGGCTGTGTGGAGAGGGTGGCCACCCTCCCTGCCTCTGCTCTCCTCCGGCCTCCACTCCACAGCCTCCCTCCCGTGTCCCTGCCCTCCTGCCCCTCCTGCCCTCCTGCCCTCCTGCTCCTCCTGCCCTCCTGCCCCTCCTGCTCTCCTGCCCTCCTGCCCCTCTGGCCCCTCCGGCCCCTCTGCAGACTGCAGCAGCCCCTCCTCAGCGCCTCAGCGCCGGGCCCCAGCAGGCAGCGGGCCTGCCTCCTGCCCCGCCCCCGCCCCCTCAGGCGGCCACACTCCCTGCGGGTCAGAATGCTAGTTCTCACTTCGAGCCCCCCCCCCCCCTCGATCCGGGGCCTCCCTGAGCCCGGCGGCTGCGGGCGATGCAGGGCTCCCAGACCTGCCCACGGGAGGTCACCCTGAGGTGTGCGCCTGCTCCCCGCCTCCAGGACCATCGGCGACCGCATGGGGGAGGCCAAGGCCAGCGGGAACCTGGGCAACACGCTCAAGGTCCTCGGCCGCTTTGACGAGGCTGCAGTCTGCTGCCAGCGGCACCTGGACATCGCCCAGGAGCAGGGCGACAAGGTGGGCCGGCCAGCGCCCCTTCCCCGCCCCGCCCCGTTCCCCCTCCCGCCCCCACCGCAGCACGTGGCCTGGGGGTGCCCTCCCCAGTCCTGGCTTCTGGGGTCCCGGGACAGCCTGGAGGGACGGGACGTGCCTGCCGGGGCGACACCTCCCCCAGACGTGGCTCCGGCCCCGTGCCGCCCGCAGATCGGAGAGGCCCGGGCGCTGTACAACATGGGGAACGTGTTCCACGCCAAGGGCAAGCAGCTGTCCTGGAGCGCCGCCCAGGACCCCGGGCACCTGCCCCCCGACGCCCGCGCGACGCTGCGCAGAGCCTCCGAGTTCTACGAGTGAGCGGGGGGGGGGGGGGGGACGACACGGCGGATCTCACACACACTCACACACACAGAGACATACACACACACACACACACACTCAACATATACACACAGAGACATACACACACATACACACATGCATACATGCACGTACATTCAAATACACAGAGACATACACTCATACACACACACATACACACACATACACATTCACTCAACATACACACAGACATACACACACTCACACACACAGAGACATACACACACACACTCTCACGCATACATGCATACATGCACGTACATTCAAACACACAGAGACATACACTCACACACACACACACACACACTCACACACAGAGACATACACACACACACACACACCCCGCCCGGGCCCTGCCTGCCCACATGGCCAGGCACAGCGCCCTCCGGAGACCCCTCACAGCGGCAGCCGGGCTGGCCTTCCCCCTCCCCCGCCCCTCTGGAGCCTCCCTCGGTGGCAGGGCAGGTCCTGTGGGTGCCCACCGCCCGGGGAGGAGGGAGCCGCTCACCAGGGCCTGTGGCCCTTAAAGCTCAGCGGCCGGCCTGGCCAGGCTGGCACCGCCGCAGGGTGAGGGTCACGGGTCCGGTTCCCGGCCAAGGGCACACGCCTGGGTGCAGGTTCGGTGCCAGCCCGTTCTGAGCTGTGCAGGAGCCAGCGGGTGCCTGTCCCACCGCTGCTTCTCCTCCTCCTTCCCGGACGAGGATCGCCAAAACACGCCAGGCCGGGGCTGGCCGAGCCTCTGGGCCGGAGACGGCTTCCCTTAGGGCAGGTCAGATCCGGCCTCGCACTCGGACACAGCGAGGGGCCGGAGCTGTGGGGCTGCTCGGGGGCGTCCGGGGCCCCGCCTCCTCCGGGCGCCGGCTCTGACGGACTCGCCCCCAGGAGGAACCTGTCGCTGGTGAAGGAGCTGGGCGACCGGGCGGCCCAGGGCAGGGCCTACGGCAACCTGGGCAACACCCACTACCTGCTGGGGAGCTTCGTGGAGGCCACGACCTTCCACAAGGAGGTGAGGGCGCGGCGGGCGGGCAGTGGTGGGGTGGACGGTGGCAGGGCTGCCCCTCGGGGGCGGCCTGACACCCCCCCAGGCCGTGCCGGGCTCGGTGCTGGCTCCGGGCTGCCCCTCTGGACGCAGACGGGGGCGGCCACCGCGGGCGGGAGGCACACTGTGGTGGGCTCGGTCCCGGCTGCGGGGACCACGGCTGCGGGGACCACGGCTGCGGGGACCACGGCTGCGGGGACCACGGCTGCGGGCTGACCACGGCTGCGTCCCCCAGCGCCTGGCCATCGCGAAGGAGTTCGGAGACAAGGCCGCCGAGCGGAGGGCCTACAGCAACCTGGGGAACGCCCACATCTTCCTGGGCCGCTTCGACGTGGCCGCCGAGTACTACAAGTAGGCAGCGGACCGCCGCCGAGAGGGCTGGCTGAGCGCCGGGGCCGGGCTGCGGGGCTTCGTGAGCGGGCAGAGGGCGTGGGCCGGGCACAGAGCCCTGGCTGAGGGCCTCTCGGTGCCGGTCACTGGGGGCCCGGAGCCGGCACAGTCATGCCCATGTGGACTTGGATACTCAGCACCGTTGGCTCTGGGCGCCCTGATGGGGCCAGGACACTCGCTGGCCATTGGCCTCCTGTTCGGGGGGCTACACGGCGGCCCCGGGCAGAGGCTGGACCACACGCACTGCCCCGTGGGAGGCGGGGACTCGGGAGGGGGGCGACTGGCCAGTGTGGGCAGAGCCTGTGGGGGTGCTGCATCCTGACCGAGGGGGGCAGCGCGGTGGCCTCCTGAGAGGGGACCAGTCAGGCCTGGGGGGACTGCTCGCCTCATTGCCCACTGTCCACCTCAGGGCAGGAGTGGGGGGCTGTGCAGGGCCCTGCCCCGGGGAGGGGGTGCTGGAGCCTCAGGGTGACCTGCCTTAGAGTGACCTGCCCCAGGGATGACCCTGCCCCGGGGAGGCGGGGCAGGGGGTGCTGGAGCCCAGGGTGACCTGCCCGGGGTGACCTGCCCGGGGTGACCTGCCCCGGGGAGGGGGTGCTGGAGCCCGGGGTGACCCTGCCCCGGGGAGGGGGTGCTGGAGCCCGGGGTGACCCTGCCCCGGGGAGGGGGTGCTGGAGCCCGGGGTGACCCTGCCCCGGGGAGGGGGTGCTGGAGCCCGGGGTGACCTGCCCAGGGTGACCTGCCCGGGGTGACCTGCCCCGGGGAGGGGGTGCTGGAGCCCGGGGTGACCCGCCGGGGTGACCGCCCGCAGGAAGACGCTGCAGCTGTCCCGGCAGCTGAAGGACCGAGCGGTGGAGGCGCAGGCCTGCTACAGCCTGGGCAACACCTACACGCTGCTGCAGGACTGCGAGCGCGCCGCCGAGTACCACCTGCGCCACCTGCTCATCGCCCAGGAGCTGGCCGACAGGTGGGTGCCCGCGGCTCCGCAGGCCTGCTCTGCCCGACCACCGGGACCCTGGCAGGGGCTCTGCACAGCCGGCCCCCGCTCACCGACCCTTCAAGCGCCCCCCTGCCCCCCATCCACATAACACTCACCGTGGAGACAGACAGACAGACCGGGGGTCCCTGACCACAGCCGCGCCCACGGTCTGGGGTGGGCGGAGGCCGGGACAGGGGGCTCAGGGCCACGGGCCACGGGCTCGTGCGGGTGGGGGAGCAGAGGGGCCCCTGGGCACTGTCCCTTGTGGGGAGAGGTTGGAAACAGATGGCAGAGGTCACAGGTCGCACACACTGCCACCCGATCGCGCTCCAGGACAGCAAAGCTTGGTTTAATGACCCAGGGGCTGGTGGAGGGAGCCGAGGGCGAGAGCCTTGCCGGCCACTAGGGGGCGAGCAAGCCACGCCGGGAACCTTGGCAGCGGCGCGTGTCCAGCCCCCCAACTCCACTCCTTGTGGCTGCCCTCCGCTGACCCCCCTCTGTCCTCCCGCTCCTGGCAGGCTGGGCCTGGCCACCTGGACGCGGGGGCCTGGGAGGCTGGGCAGGTGGGAGGGCGGCAGGCCTGGGGGGGGCGTGCGGATGTGGACTCGGCTTCCCCCTGGCAGAGTGGGCGAGGGCCGGGCATGCTGGAGTCTGGGGAACGCCTATGTGTCCATGGGGAGCCCGGCCCAGGCCCTGACCTTCGCCAAGAAGCACCTGGAGATCTCCCAGGAGGTGAGCCCGGCCGCCTGCCCCGCCCCCGCCCCGTCCCTGCCCCTGTCCCTGCCCCAGGCCGCCCGCCCCCGCCCCCGCCCCAGCCACTGCCCCAGCCACTGCCCCTGCCAGCGGGGAGGCCCCGGCCCACTGCCCAGCCCACTCCCCTTGGCTGGTGCCCCGTGCATTCCCGGCTCCTCCGGCCTGTCCCCGTGTCCACTCCGGCCAGTCCCCGTGTCCGCTCCGGCCAGTCCCTGTGTCCGCTGCGGCCAGTCCCCGGTCCGCTCCAGCCAGTCCCAGTGTCCGCTCCGGCCTGTCCCCGTGTCCGCTCCAGCCATCGCCGCGTGCTGCCTAGGTGGCCTCCCCGTGCTCTGAGGCTGAGGCCAGGACCCAGTGTCTGCTGCAGCCAGGCGGTGGGGGTGGGGCCTCTGTCCCCAGCGGGACCGGCCAGGCCATCGCCCCGGGATAGCCCCTGCCCGGGAGCCACAGGGGTCTCAGGTGACCTCTGCTCCCTGGCTGACCTCTCCTGACCTCACCCCTCCTGTTCCTGGCCCCCGCCTGCCTCCAAGGAGCAGCCCCTTCAGAGCAGGGCCCTGCCTCCTCCCCTGGCTCGCCCCAGCGCCTGCCAGACCCCACGGCCCTGGTCCAGGGGCAGGTGCGGGAGCAGGAGAGCTGGGGCTGGGGGGCCTGGGCAGAGAGCCTGCCCCAGAGCCGCCCTGTCCATCTGGGCACAGGCCCTGGCGCTCCTGCGGAAGCCCGCCCGCCCGCCTGCCCGCGGGTTCGCTCCTGGCGCTGCACGCCCTCTGCCCCCAGCTTCTCCTGGAGCCTGTCCCAGCGGGAGCCGGGGGAAGCCCGGAGCCGGCGGGCACCTGGAGGAGGCAGCCTGGCCGAGCTGGCGAGACCCATGGAGGGTGCAGAGAAGGAGGGCCCTCGGGCACAGGGCCTGCTGCTCGGGCCCCAGCCTTCGGGTCAGCGTGGGAGGTGGCCTGGGCGTGAGGCCCCACCCAGGGACAGACCCCCACCTCCCGGCCGGCCTGCCCCTGACCGCCCCGTTGGCCGCAGATCGGGGACCGGAACGGGGAGCTGACGGCCCGCATGAATGTGGCGCAGCTGCAGCTGGCGCTGGGTCGGCTGAGCAGCCCGGCGGCTGCCGAGAAGCCCGACCTGGCCGGCTATGAGGCTCAGGGTGAGTTCCGCTGGGCTGCGGGTCCACACCGCCGGCAGCCTCGGCTGGGCACGGGGCCTGGGCGGGCGGGGCCTCGGCGGGCAGGGCCGTGCCCGGAGGCTGCCTGGGAGGGCCTGGCTCCTGCAGGGCGGGTGTGCGGGGGGGGTGTCCCCTCAGAGAGGTGGGCTCTGATCTCAAACAGGGGAGGGGCTCCGGAGGTGGGGAGCCCCTGGGCCTGGGGGTATGGGCGTTTGAGCCCGGGGTAGGGGTGAGGGCTCAATGGGCTGTTGGGGCAGGTGCTGGGGCACAGTCGGCGGCCCTGCCTCCCCAGGGCAGGTTGGGGCAGGGAGCTGGGCGCTGGGATAGAATGAGGCATTCAGGGCTGGAACAGCATGGGATGGTGTCTCCGAACTCCTTCAGGGGCCCAATACGGGCATCGGGCCCTTCTTCATGGTTTCTGGGCAGCAGGAGCCTGTGGTCACCCTCGTGCCCCCAGTGGCACCTCGGCCGGCAGGAGGGTGCGGGAGGGCCCTCTGCTTCCACCTCGCTTCCCCCCTGCACCCTCGCTGACGTGCTTCCAGGGGACCAGATGGGGGGCGGGAGGAGGAGGCTGAGTCAGCAGACGGGCACCGGCACTGACCGCCGGCCAGTGTGACCTCATCGCTCACGGCTGCGTCCCCGAGCGGGTCAGCGATGTGTGGGGACAGAGCGTTCCCGCGGAGCGAACAGATGGAGACGGGGGGGGGGGGGGGGGGAGGTGGCCACGGGTGCTGGGTGGCCTCCGGCCAAAAGGTGGCTGCCCTCCCCGCCCTGCGGGTCTTCTGTTCAGGGTCTGGCCCCGCCCTGGTGGCTGTGTCCCCGGCAGCCCCTGCCCTCACCTGGGCCGCTGGGAACCAGGCCCGGAGCGGGTGCTGCTGGGGTGGGTCCCAGGGCTCTGACAAGGCTTGTCCTAGGAGTGGGGTACCCGTCACCCCACCTCAGATTGCTGAAGAGTGAAGGGAGGGAGCAGAGGCTTCTGGGAGCCGCAGCCTGCCCGCTTTGGGGGTGCTGTGTCTGAAGGAGACGAGGTGGAGTGGGTCCCCGGGAAGTATCAGGCTGGGATCTTCTGAGGATGGCAGCTCTGGCGGCCCTGGCCCTCAGGGGCCACCGTCTGGGAGCTGGGCAGGAGGCGGTGGCAGGAGGCGGGGGCAGGGCTAGCTGGGCCGGAAAGGCCCGTCCTCCAGGGAAGGGGGGCCGTGGTGGTGAGCAGCCCGCTGAGCCGAACAAGGTGGCTTCTGTCCTCCCCGCCAGCTCCTCGGCCGGCCAGGCCCCCAGCAGAGCCCCCCCTTCCCCCTCAGGCTGGCGGCCAGGGGAGCGGGGGCCCTAGGAACAGACCATCCTGGGGGCGGGGCCCTCCACTGCCCAGGCCGGAGGACGGGCCTGGGGGCTGCAGCCTGGAGGCTCCGGCTCTGAGATGGGCCTACGGGCCACTGGAGGCAGGAGGAGCGGGCGCCTGAGTGTGGGCGCCTGGAGGACACCCCCTCAGTGAGCCCCACACGGCTTGCTGCAGGCGGGCAGCGTTCATTTCCTCACCCCCCTCCGTGCCTCCTGAGCCAGGGGGTGGGGAGGGCCCAGGTCCCAGAGCCAAGCACCTACTGGGAACTCCCTTGGGGGGTGGGCAGTTTCATACCCAGTCTGTCTGGCGGGGTGGGGGGTGGAGGGGAACGGGAGACCTGGGAGGGCAGGGGCGCTCAGTGAGGAAGGAGGCCCTGGCTGGGCCAGGGGGTGCAGGGGATTCAGTGGGCGGGAGCAGAGCACGGAGCGTGGTCTGCAGTGGGCGTGGCTCGTGGCTGGTGGCTGGCCTTCTTGTCTTGGAGGAATCAGGGCCCTTCCTGCAGCCGGAGGACCCAGGGCCTCTCCATTGCTCCACTCCACCCCCTCCTCCCCAGCAGAGAGGCCTCCCCCCCAGCGAGTGTGTGTGGGTGGGTGCCGTCCTGCCACTGCGTCTGGGCCCCAGAGTCAGGTGTCCTGGGTGCCCGCTGCCTTCCCACGAGGCACCTGGCAGTGGGCGGGCTGGACGAGGGCCGGGGACACCCCTGGCGCGGCTGCTGCTGGGTGCAGAGCGGAGGGAGCCAGCGGCCGGCCCGCTCTGTGGGGCGTCCCCGGTCGGTCCCCCCAGGCCAGGCTGACCGGCCCCACAGGCTGCACTGCTCTGCGGCTCCCTCCTCCGGTCCCTGCTGCGGAGTCCAGGGTGCGGAGCAGAGGGGCCCGGGACGGGCAGCCTCCTGTCAGGGCTCACAGCTCCATGGAGGTGCCCCGTGTGGAGGCGCACACGAGACTGTCCGGGGGCCGTTCACTGTGGGCTCTGGCCCCACTCTGCCGTGTCCTGGCTGGCTGAGTGCCTCAGTGTTCCCATCTGGGAAGTGGGCCCATGGTCATCCTGGCAGGAGGGGAGGGAGCAGCAGGGCTGACCGGGAGGAAGGAGAGCTACTGGGGCCTGAGCGCCCGGCTCTGCGTGGAGAGGGATTTGGGCATAAGGATGGGGGGCAGGCGGGTTGGGGGGCAGGCGGGTTGGGGGGTAGGTGGGCAGAGGGGCATGGGACTCTGTCCGTCCTGGTGAGGTGGCCAGGGGTCGGCTGGGACAGGATGTCGGTGGCTGGCGGGCAGACGTGAGCACCAGGGAAGGAGGGGGGGGGGACGCGGGAAGTTTCCAGGCCTTGCCCTTGGGTGGGAGGGGCGGGCGGGGCGGGCCGGCGGTGCCCGGCCTGAATGCCCCCAGTCAGCCAAGGTGTGGGCGCCGGGCGGGCAGGCGGAGCACGGGCTCCGCACACAGAGGACGCATTTAGTGGGCCGAGGCCGCGCTGGCCACGGCACCCGCCCGGAGCCGGCCGCTGCTGCCGGGGCCGGGGCCGGGGCCGGGGACGCGGAGGGCCAGGCCGGGCGGAGCAGCCGAGGGGGACCCGGAGACAAGGTGGGGAGCCCGAGGGGGCCCTTAGGGGGTTGGGACCGAGTGCCCCTCCTCCCATCGGTGCCGAGGGCAGAGGCGGGCAGTGCCCCAGTGCCGTGGGCGGGGGTGAGGCCTGCTTCTTCCTCGCGGCTGGAGGAGGGGCCCTGACCGCTCTGGGCCGGGCCGCCCGCTCCAGGGCGCTCGGGGCCACTGTGCTCCCGCCGGCCGGCTCCTTCCCGCTCCTCTGGAGAGCGGGCGGGTGTGGCTCCTCCGAGCCCGGGGGCCGGACGGGGAGAGGGCCCAGCCGCCCAGCCCCCCTCCAGCCCCCTCTGGACCCGGTGGCTCCGTCCCTCGGACCGTCCTGGCGGGAGGCATGCATGGCCGGAGCTGAGGGCGCCCGCTGTGGCCTGCAGCCGGGGGGCCCGCGTGGGGCCAGGGCGGCCGCAGAGGGGGCGGGCGAGAGCGGGGTCCAGAGCTCGGGAACGGCCCTCACGGGGGACACGAGTCAGACTGGACCCGGGCCTGCAGGGCGCACCGCCTCCCCTCCCCACGGCCACGCACGTGCCTTCGCCTCCCCGTGGGCGGGAGGGGCGAGCTCGGCCCGGGGTCCGCCCCCCAGCCCCGGCTCCCCCGCCAGCGCCCCCCGCGGGCGCCCTAGCGGCCGGCGGGGCTGACGCCGCTGTCTGGCAGGGGCCAGGCCCAAGAGGACGCATCGGCTGAGCGCGGAGACCTGGGACCTGCTGCGGCTGCCCCTGGAGCGGGTGAGCGGGCGGGCGGCGGGCGGCTGGGACACGGCGGGGACGGGAGGAGGTCAGAGGGGTCAGCGCGTGGGCTGCGGGCTAAGGGGCCGCTCGCTGCCTGTCTGCTGAGCTGCACCTCTGCCCGCATCATCCCTGCCCGGGGTCCGAGGCCCCCAGGCCCGTGGTGCCACCGCCCACTCCCTCCCTCCATCAGGGCCCTGCCCGCGTGACCCCTCACCCCACAGCCCCCCGGCCCTGCCCACACCTGGCCTCCCGCCCTCCCCAGGAGCAGAATGGAGACAGCCACCACGCGGGGGACTGGCGGGGGCCGGGCGGGGACCTGCTGCCCCTCCCCGTGAGGAGCAGGAAGTACCAGGAGGGGCCGGACGCTGCTGAGAGGAGGCCCCGGGAGGGCGGCCACTCCCCGCTGGACAGCGCCGAGGTCCGGGTGCAGATGCCACGCACGGTAGGCAGCCTCTCGGCCCAGCATGGGGCCCGGGGCCTCACCGCCCAGGACCAGACGGGGCAGAGGCCACGGCCTGGCTGTCTGGGACCTGCAGGGAGCGGTCAGCCGCACCCAGCCAGGCCGGCCCCCCGGACAGAGCTGCAGTGCCAGCGAGGACAGGGCAGCCCACCTGGGGACGGGCAGCCACAGTGGACGGGCCGCGGGGGGCGGACGGACGGGGTGGCCTATAGCCTGGCAGGTGTCCCACTGTGCCCTGAAGCCCCCCCAGGCTCATGGGAGCAGGTCAGGGTTCAGAGGTCAGCCTGAACCCTCTCCCCCCCCAGAACCTCTGGTCCAAGCCTCTGGAATCACCCTAAACACAGTTCCCTCCGAGCCGTCCCCGGGATTCTGCTTCCCACCCCTCCCCCTCTGCCGACCCCGTCTGACCCCGTGCTGCTCAGCGGCCAGGGCCTGTGCCCGTGGAGCTGAGGGGACCCCTGCACAGGAGGGGCACTGGTCCCCGGAGATGGGCTGTGTTGTTGGGGACCGGGCAGAGGGCCTTGGCCCACGGGAGGGCAGTGCGGTCCGAGGGCCTGGAACTGGCCTTGGGACCGGGCATGGGGACAGCGCTAGCCAGGCCCAGGGGGGGCAGGGGAGCCCTGGAGCGGCCCAGCCAGAGGGGACCGGATGGGGAGGACCCCCACCCAGGCCCCAGAGCCACGCGGCCGTGGCACAGGCAGGACCGACAGGGCTGCGAGGGGGTGAAGCCCGGCTTTGCCCGTGGCCCCGTCCCCGAGCTCCCCACCCCGTGCTTCCCAGGCGGCAGCACCCCGTTGTCATGTGACCCGGGCTGATCGAGACGGGGGCAGAGCCCGAACCCCACGCCCTGAGTCGCCCCTGCAGCAGAGAGAACAAAGGGGACCCGTGTTCTGGCTCCCGCACGCCTCTCCCACGTCGGCCTCCCACAGGGCGGCCCGTTGGGAGGTTTCACAGAGGCAGCCGGGCCCACGTGCGCCCACCTCCACTCCGAGGTCTCGCTCCGGCCAGAGGGGGGCCCAGGCCGTCCCCGTCCAGCCAGGCCAGTGTGCCCCGGCCCCCGTCCGTCAGCCCCGCCCACGCTGCTCCCGGCACCCCAGTAGCTACCACCTGGAACCCCTTCTTCTGAGCAGACAGCAGCCGGCACTCGGGCCTGCCCTGTGCTGCTCATTCACAGAAACCCTAGAGGGGAAACTGAGGCAGAGGGCAGGGGTGTCAGCCCAGCACCTGAGGCGTGGCCCTGTGAGAACAGCGGGCTTTGGGGTGCTGGTGCTGTGGGGGGACTCCTATGGCAGTGCTGAGCCGGGCCCATTGGAGGCCCTGCCCGCCAGGCACCTGGAGGGCGGAACCTGGGGGACCCCCGCCCCCGGGATCTGTGCTTGTGTGGGAGGAACAGGGCAGGGAGGAGGCCAAGCCCCCATCCTGTCCGCAGTCCTGCAGGGCGAGCCCCGCCCGGGCTGGCCGCTGTAACAGGACAGGCCTCCGAGCCAGCCAGAGGCCAGGCCCCAGGGCCCCTGGGGCCGGGGAGGGGCGCGGGGTGGACAGTTTGAACCAGGGAGGCCCTGGGGCCAAGGGCACTGGCCTGGGGCTGGGCAGAGGCCAGGGGGCTGCTGTGTGGGGCGGGGGCCGTGGGGGGTGTCTGGCTACACGGCCGGTGCTGAGGGTGACCGAGCCCCAAGGTGGGGCGGCCCTGTGACCAGCTCCGGGGGCTGCAGCAGCCCTGGCCCCCCAGGCGGCGGGGGAAAGGGTGGTGTCTCCGGGCTGCCCCAGCGAGGGGAGGACGCGGGTCTGGGGTGGGAGTGGGGTTCCCCTCCCCCCCGGCCCCCGGGGGGACCCCCCAGCCCAGCCAGCAGGCTCAGTGCTGTGCTCAGGGAAATCATTTCCGAGTGTTTACGGAGCGCCTGTGCGTGTGCGTGAGAGGGGGGGAGGGAGAGAGAGGAGAGGGAGAGAGAGGAGAGAGAGAGAGCGAGCTTTGGCGCTGGTGGGCGGGGACGGGGAGGGCCCCACAGGTCCTATTTAAGCTCACAGCTCACAGGGCCCCGAGTCTCAGCGGCGAGGTGGCACGGGCAGTGCGGGCGGGCGGTGAGTGGCACGGGCACCTGGCGTCCTGCCTGGCTCCACGTGGCCAGCACCTGGGCCAGCACCTGGTGGACCCAGCGAGCTCCCGGCACCGTGTGAGTGGGGCCCTGACAGGTGGAGGGGGGCCTTCTGGTCGGGAGAAGCTGGGCCCCAGCAGAGCTATGGGGCGGGGGGCAGGTGGGCGTGCAGTCAGCCCTGGGGACTGGGTGACCGGTCACCCCAGGGCCCCGTGCCCAGTGAGTTAGGGTGCTCCCTGCCCCGCGGCCTCCCCCTGCCCTCCTCCTGCCCTGGGCTCTGGGCAGCACTGGGCTGTGGCATCACCCCAGGGCCTGGTGGGCAGGCTGGGAGGGGCGGCCAGGCCGGGGGGGCGGCTGTGCTCCCCATGGGGGCTGGCTGAGACCCAAAGGGGACGGAGCCCGAGTTTGGGGCAGAGGAGAGGTTGGGGCATGGGTAGCCCCGTCCCCTCTCGGTGGGAGCAGGTGGCCTGAGCGAGGGTGTGGGGCTCCCGGCTGTCCAGACCCTCCCGTGTGTGCCCTGGTCTCAGCCCCCACGTCACACGGGAAGCGTCAGCCCTTCCCAGATGCCCCTGAGGGTGGGGGCGCCCGGCCGGGGTGGGCTCTGCTGGGGGCTCAGAGCCACTGGCCCGCGGTGCAGGCCCACGCCGGCCCGCCTGGCCCCGACCCCGGTCCCGACGGGCTCGGAGGCCTTGGACACACCCTCTCCTGAGCGTCAGTCTGGGCGGCTGCAGAGGTTGGGGTCCTGGGAGAGGCCTGGCTCCCCTCACCTGGCCGTGTGGGTGCTGCTGTGCTCACCCACTCCGGCTGAGCCCGGGGCTCCTCGGCCCGGAGCAGAGCCCACAACCTACAGTGGAGGCGGCAGTCAGGGCCCCTCCTGCCCCTGTGAGGTTGGGGGACACAGGAGAGCGGGGACCTGCGGGGCTCTTAAGCTGTGCACCCTTGGCTGTGGGCCTGCCCAGGGGTGGGGGTGGGGGGTGGGGAGGAGGTCCTGCCTGGGTCTCTGACCCTGAGCTGCCACCCCCCAGAGGGAGGCCAGGCTGGGCTGCTCCGACTGCCGTGTGACCTGTGTGTGTGTGGGGGGGGGGGGGGTGACCTCTGCCTCAGTCTCCCCTGTGAGGTGTGGTGTCTGCACGCCCAGCTCAGGGTGAGCCGGAGGCCACGGCTGAGAGAGGGACGGTGGGCTGGGCAGGGGAGGTGACGGGTGCTGTTTGGCCAACAGCGTCATCTGTCATCCCTCAGGCCCAGACCAGGCCGGGCAGGGGCCTGGGGGGCTGGCCTGCTCTGGCTCTGCCCTTTGGGATGGCCCCACAGACCCCATCTTCCAGCCACCCACCTGTGGATGTGTAAACCGAGGCCCCAGGAGGGACTCCCCCAGGTCCGGGGACCGGCATCCTGTCCCTTCCCTCCAAGGACCCCTCACCCCGCCCTGGCCCCGCCGGGGGACTTGCCTGGCCCAGCCGGGTCACCCTGGGGTCAGGCTGCACGGACGGCGTCTCCCAGGGCCCGGGTGGTCCAGCTGCAACCCAGGGGCGGGCAAGGTCATGGCCGAGGGTGCACGGGCTGGACAGCGGTGCTGGGGGCAGGGCGGGGCCGCTGGGACCAGCAGAGGCCGAGGGGAGTGCTGCCCTGGCCCAGCAGCCCCCAGGCCGTGTTTGGGGGTCTGAGGGGCCCCTCTGTGCCCGGTGCCCATGGTCCCCCTTCCCGCCCCAGAGCCTCCCGAGGGTCCCGTCCTCCGACGAGGAGTGCTTCTTCGACCTGCTGAGCAAGTTCCAGAGCAGCCGCATGGACGACCAGCGCTGCCCGCTGGAGGAGGGCCAGCCCGGGGCCGCCGAGGCCATGGCCGCGCCCGCCCTGGAGGAGCGGCCGGGTGAGCGGGGGCTCCCTGACCTTGAAGGGGCGCGGGCGGCGCAGCCAGCTGCCAAGTGCCCTGTCATTCCCGCCCCCGCCGCCCAGAGCTGCCTCCGGGCGCGTCATCCCGCCCGCCGCCCGCCCGCCCTCCAGGCTGGTGCCAGGAGCGTGTCCGGGGGCGGGTGGGGAGATGCTCCGGAGGCAGGGGTGGGCCCCTCGGGCAGCTGTGGGCGGGCTGGCACCCTCCTCGGGACTGACTGGCCGCCCGCCCCGCAGCCCAGGCCCCGCTCACGGCCTCCCCGCAGACCGAGGAGCTCTTCGACCTCATCGCCAGCTCGCAGAGCCGCCGGCTGGACGACCAGCGCGCCAGCCTGGGCCGCCTCCCTGGGCTGCGCGTCACCCACAGCAACCTGGGCCACCTGCGGGGCGACCGGGACCCCCCGGCGCCCGGGGACGACTTCTTCAACATGCTCATCAAGTGCCAGGTGGGCGCGCGGGGGTGCCCCGGCTCTGCCCTCCTCTCGGCCGGTCTGGGGAAGCCGGGGGGGGGGGGGTGGCAGGGCGGCTCAGCAGGTGTCACCCAGCGGCCACAGGTGGTCACATGCCCTGAGGCCACCCTGTACGTCCTCCGGGCGACTGTGCGTACAGAGCTGGGGGGGCCCCAGGTCCCCAAGGCAGTGGCTTCGGGGACCCCTCAGCCCTCCACTCTGGACAGAGAGGCCAGATGGCGCCCGGAGCCTGCGCGCCCGGGGTCCAGGGCCAGGAGAGCCCGGCGGACAGGCGGGTGGGAGTGGGGGCGGGGCGGGCAGTGTGCAGACCTGACGCTCATTCCACAGACAGGAAAGCATGGGCCTCAGCGAGCCCGGGGAGCCCCCCGCGCCCCCCATCCACACACACGCAGGCTCCTGGCCCTTCTGCTCCAGACCCTGCGGAGAAGCCCTCGCGCCCGCTCGGCCCCCGCCTCCGGCCCGGCCCGAGGCCCCTGAGCAGCTCCCACCTCCCTCCCGCCCGCCCCAGGACTCCTGCCCCACACTCGGGGCGCTCAGGGGGCCCGAGCAGCTCCCCGTCCCTCCCGCCCGCCCCAGGACTCCTGCCCCACACTCGGGGCGTTCAGGGGGCCCGGGCAGCTCCCCCTCCCTCCCGCCCGCCCCAGGACTCCTGCCCCACACTCGGGGCGCTCAGGGGGCCCGAGCAGCTCCCCGTCCCTCCCGCCCGCCCCAGGACTCCTGCCCCACACTCGGGGCGCTCAGGGGGCCCGAGCAGCTCCCCGTCCCTCCCGCCCGCCCCAGGACTCCTGCCCCACACTCGGGGCGTTCAGGGGGCCCGGGCAGCTCCCCCTCCCTCCCGCCCGCCCCAGGACTCCTGCCCCACACTCGGGGCGCTCAGGGGGCCCGGGCAGCTCCCCGTCCCACCAGGCTCACCCCCCACCCACCGCTGTCCCCCCGGGGCCTGGCCTGGGCGCAGCCCTCGCCCGGGGCTGTCCACGGGCCTCTGCCGGGCCGGCCGGCCGCGGCCGGAGGGCCGGCCCGACGTGTGTCCGCCCTGCCCAGTCCTCCAGGATCGACGACCAGCGCTGCCCGCCGCCGGACGGGCTGCCCCGCGGGCCCACCATGCCCGACGAGGACTTCTTCAGCCTCATCCAGAGGGTGCAGGCCAAGCGCATGGACGAGCAGCGGGTGGACCTCGCCGGCAGCCCGGAGCAGGAGGCGGGCGGGCCCCCCGAGCCGCGGCAGCAGTGCCAGCCCGGCACCAGCTAAGGCCTCGGACCCACAGCCAGCACCCCCTCCCGGACGCCCGGGAGCGCCTCTGCCGTCCAGGCTGCCTGCAGCCTCTGAGAAGCTGATCCTCCCAGGCCGTGGCTGGAGCAGGCTGGGCGCCCGAACTTCCCACTGAGCCGCACTGGGCACCGCCCCCCGTCCCCCCCCCCCCCCGAGGGTCCCTCCCCGGGGCGGCAGGCGCCGACTGTGTGGGGGGAGGCCTTCTCTGTTCTGGCCCATTCCCCGCGGTACACGGCTCCCCACAGGCCTGCCCGGCCAGCCCTCCCTCGCCCCGGCCCTGCCCCTGCCCCCGGACCTGCAGCATGTCAGCCCCAGACCGGTGCTGTCCAGGCCCGGCCTCTCCCTGCCCACCGCTGTCCTGCGGCCAAATGTGAAAACCCTGCTGCCACCCCCCACCCCCCCAAGGTCTGTGCAGCCTCCTCGGGGCCGCCCATCGTCCTCCCAGCCCGGCCTCACCCCCAGGAGGGCCCCCCGCTGTCCCCCCCTCCTCCTCAGGCTGCGGCCGGGACAGGAAGCCACGGCGGAGGCAGGCTCACCTGCTCCTTCGGCCCTGGCCCTGAGCCCCAGCCCCATGCGGCCCGAGCAGGCAGCCCGAGGGGAGGGGGCTGGCCCTGAGGAGACCGGGGCCAGCCAGGCCTCCCCCTGCCCGTGCCGGACGGGCAATGGTCTGGAGACTGTCACACCACAGCCATGGGGTGGCAGCGGGTCAGCAGAGCTGGGAGGCCCGCCCCGCCCTCCCCCCACCAGCTAGGGCTACATCGTCCTGCCTCCTCCGTGTGTGGAGGGTTCTGCCCCTCCTGGTACCCAGGTTGGCCACGGGATGGGCAGGGGACAGCCCTCACCCTCACCCGTTCCTGGGCTCACTTACAGCCCCTCCCCCACCCCCAGGCCTGGGGTGGATTCTCTGCCCCAAGACACAGACGGCACCTCCTCTTCCAGATCCTGCTCCCGAGCCCAGCCTGGGCCCTGGGCGGAGGGGAGGGTCCGCTGAGGGGGGTGGGGCTGAGGGCGTGGCTGGCAGTGCCGTCAGGCGCCAGAGCTGGGCCCTCTGCTCGCCGCCCGGTACTTGAACGTCCGTGCGTATTTATTGCCCTCCGTGTCGGCCACGCTGTCCATGGTCCTTTCCAAGCCGAGGGTACGTTATCTTTCTGTTTTTCCGGAAAATAAAGTCGGCCAAGCGAATGCTGTCAGTGTGGGTTCTAGGGGGGTGGGGGGTCAGCTAGGTGGGGGGTAAGGAGGTGGCGGGCAGACGCCCCAGGCTCCCTCGTGCCCGCCCACCTGGAGTGCCTGCTCCACCCCCACCCTCACCCCTCGGCCCGGCCCTGCCAGGGGCAGCCGCTGTCCTAACTGGACTCACATTCCAGGAAGTGCTTGCCTTTCGGGCCTCAACGGCCTGTGAAGGTGCAGCTGAGAGAGCAGCCTGCGGGCGACGCCCCACAGATAGGGACCCCCCAAAACAGCAGCCATCATAAGGCACTGTGCCCAGGAGGGTCTGGGCACCGGGCGGGTCTGGGGAGGCCCCTTCTCACTCCCCGTGACCCACAGCTCCGTCCACACCCCACACCGACCACAGGGCCGGGACCGCCGAGGGGCGAGGGGGGCTCGGCAGGGGCCGCAGGCAGGAGCACACAGTGGCATCGCTCCTGAGATGGAGCCGGGCCTTCCCCTCTCAACAGTTCATGCTCCAGGACCCTGGGCCCGAAGGCTCGGCAGTAACACCGGCACCGTGTCCCTTCCCGCAGCTGCAGGAAGCCGTGGGCGCTGCCGAACCCTCCTGAATGTCCCAACACACTCCCTCTGGCCTCGGAGGGGGCTGGCCGGGGCCGGAGGGAGGAAGGGAATGAGGGGCCGGGGCCGGAGGGAGGAAGGGAATGAGGGGCCGGGGGCAGAAAGCTGAGAAGCCGGGCTGCAAAGGGCAGGGGCTGGAGACGGCCACTGCTCGGAAAGGCCAGGCCAGGCCACGGGGCCACAGAGGAGAGGCCGTGGATCCTGTGGCAGGTCCCACGGGAGGGGCCACGGGCCACACGGGAAATTGCAGGTGGCGGAGACAGGGAAGAGGACATGCACAGGCCGGCAGGCCCTGGACTGGCCGGCACCAACACCCAGTGGGGGTTGCCCTGGGCGTCTAGTGCCTGCCCGGTGCACGCAGACATCCGTCACCTCTCTGGGGGGGGGGGGGCGGGGGACAGTCCCTCCAGCGTCAGCAGGGCTTATAGGTCAAAGCACCAGAAAGTAAAAATCGACGCGGTCAACACACACATCTAAGCCGCAAGCCCCGCCGTGAAGGGAGGGTCCTGGGAGCCCTGCCAGGTCCAGCCAGCTTCCCAGGCCTCCCCGAATCCTGCCCCAACGCGGGGGGCAGCGAGGCAGCCAGGCCAAGGCCCGGCCCCGCTCCTGCCCCAGGGCAGCCAGGCCCCGCGTGGTCGGCGCTCCGTGGAGGGCAGGCGGGGGCGCTGAGGACACATCCCTGCGCTGGCAGGGAGGCGCTGGCGGGAATAATGAGGGGTGTGCCAGGGAGAGGACAGGGGGTAATCGAGGCAAAGCAGGAGCTGCCGGCGCGGAGAACAAAGCCGAGGCTCGGGGGCCGCACGCTCGGGGCGGGGATCGGGCTCAGATCCTGCCGGGATCTGTCGGCTGTGATTCATGCTGAAGGTCACACAGCCCAGAACACTGGGGAAGTAAACACACTTTCATAAACACAGGAACATCCTGGGGAGGCCGTCAAACACGGCTGCGAGACAAACTGCACGCCCCGGGGGGCGGGAGGGGGGAGAACGGACCATGAGGGGCACCCCTGCCCCCTCCCCCTCATGGCAGCCCAGCCCCCTCTGCAGCTGCAGCGAGCGGCCTGTGTCCAGGGGGTGGCAGGTGGCAGGGAGGGATCTGGGGCTGATCCTACCCCATGAAGGACACTGGCTCACGGCTGTCCCTCCCAGGCCTCTCCCCAGAAACACCCGGGTCCCGGCTGAGACCCCTGTGCCTGCACCCCGTCTGCTCTTCCCACCCGTCCCTGACGGGGACACAGCCTCCTCTGCAGAGGGGCAGGCAGAGGCTCCTCAGGGCAAAGGGACCGCCCCCCCCCCAAGGCCACACAGCCAGGCAGGAGGCCTCAGACTCCACGTCAGGCCCCGTCCGGTGAGCGGACGCCGGTGGTGGGCCATGGTCCGGTGGCTGCACCAGGCGGGGTTCCTGGGAGTTCCTGACTCAGCACCAGGGACGACAGCAGAGCCTGCAATGTCTGTTTATTGCCGAGGCGGCAGCCCTCCCCGGGGCAGCAGGCGGGGTCAGCGGGGCTCTGTCTTGCCAGGGGAGATGGGATCCTCGTCCGCACCCACTTCAGTCGCAGTGGTAGATTCGGGGGCCCCCGCAGCCTCTAGCACCAGCTCCAGAGCCCCATCACCGGCCACTCGGCGCACCTTCTCCCCTCTGGCCGCCAGGATCTCTTCAACGTTCCTGGGAGAGAGGGTGGCGCCATGACACCCTGGCCCTCACCGGTCCGGCACGCTGCCCTCGAGGCGAAGCGTGAGCCCGGAACATGGGTCCCTGCACTGGGTGGCACCGGGGCCTGCACGCTGCCCTCGGGGGCCTTCTCCACGGCCCCAGGGGGGGATGACCGCCCACTCCCAGGGAGAATGCCACTCGGACGCCAATCTGAACTGCGAGGGCCACTGGCTCGAGGCTCCCGACCGCGGCCGCCCCTGCTCTCCGAGCGCAGCCAACTGCAGGCCCATCCTCGTCCACACGCCACACACGCACCCGCCGGCGTGGCCACCAGCCGGCGTGGAGAGAGGACGGGCTTCCTGCCCCTCGCGGGCCCTCGGGAATCTTCGTAGGGGAAGGAAGGAGCCACGAAATGCAAGGAGCCAAGGACACGCCCCTATGGAATAGCCCCACCCTGCCTGACCCTTCCCTGTCGGCCAGCCTGTGGCCCTGCCAAGTGGTCCTGGGCTTATTTGTTCAGTCAGCGGCATTTCGCTGCTCCTCCGGTCAGTAGGATACGTCGGGAGAAGAGGGCTTGTGAGCCTCACTAGGGTGAGGGTGCCCCGGGGAGGCGGGTGGGGCTCTGACCGGCACTCTGTCCACACCCCTGCCCAGGTGGCCTCCTCACCTCTTCCCATCCAGGTCGGAGAACCAGCCCAGGTTGTCCGCGATGATGTGGTGGTTCTGGCAGCCAGGGCAGGTCACAATGACCACTCCCTGGTGATAAGCCAGCTTGGAGATCCGCTTGGAGGACCGGGTCCCACACACCTGGCGGAGACATGGAGACAGGGCAGGTGAGGCCATGGGCCCGTCCTAGGGATAGCTCCACCCCTCCATGCGGCCCCTGCCCTCCCAGAGGACACGCCCCCGAAGGGATAGCACCACCCCTCTCCCAGAAGGCCCCGCCCCTCCTAAAACACGCCAATGTGGGATAGCTCCACCCTCTCCCAGAAGGCCCCGCCCCTCTGGGATAGCTCCACCCCTCTCCCAGAAGGCCCGCCCTCATAGGACACGCCCCTAAGAGATAGCTCCACCCCTTTCCAGAAGCCCCTCCCCTCTCAGGACACGCCTCCTAAGGGATAGCTCCACCCCCCTAACAGAAGGCCCCGCCCTCCAAGGACATGCTCCTATGGAATAGCCCCACCCCTCTGCCAGAAGGCCTCGCCCCTCCCAGGACACGCCCCCTAAGGCATAGCCCCACCCCTCTCCCGGAAGGCCCCGGCCCCGGGGACAGCGCCATTTCCGCGTGGCCCGCCTCCCCCAAGGGCACGCCCCCTCCATGCGGTCGCCCCGCGCCGCCCCGCGCCCACCCCGCGCGCGCCCCGCGCCCACCTTGCAGGTGTAGACGAGCTGGTAGTGCGCCGCCCGGGGCCCCTGCTCGGAGCTCCAGCGCCGCCGGCCGCAGAGCCAGGGCCGGGCCCCCGCCGCGGCCCCCAGGCGGGCCCCGCGCCCCCACAGCCGCCTCACGCCGGGCCCCCGGGGCCGCGCGCGGCTCAGCAGCGACCACACGCGGCCCAGCGCCGCCCGCCACATGCCTCCCGCCCTACCCGCGCCGCCGCGCGCCCGCCATCTTGGCGGCGGCGGAAGGCCCTGCTGGCGCCGGGCGCGGCTGCCCCCTGGCGGCCGGCGGGGCGGGGCGGGGCGGCCCTGCCTTTGGGCCGGGCGGACCCTCTGCCCCCTGCGGCGGCGGCGGCTTAGGAGCTGCGCTGCTTTTCTCTTTTGAAACACATTTTTATTGATGTCCGGGGGGGCAGAGGAGCGACGGAAACATCCGGGAGGGGAGCGGCCCGGAGCGTGGCCGGTGCTCCGGGTCCGCGGGCCGCTCCCCGGCGGCGGGGAGGGGCCGGGGCCGGTCCGCGCCGCTAGGAGCCCTCGGTGTCCGTGTTGTCGCTGCCCGTCGTGTTCTCCCAGTCCACCTCCCCCTGCCGCGGGCCCGGCTGCAGCTTGCGGAGCGCGCGCTTCCTGCGGGGAGCGAGGCCGGTGAGGGTCCGAGGCCGCCCGCCCGCCCCCGCCCCCGCCCCCGCCCCGGGCCCGCCCCCGCCCGCCCCGCCCGCCCCGCGCGCCCGCCCCCGCCCCCGCCCCCGCCCCCGCCCCCGCCCCCGCCCGCCCCGCGCGCCCGCCCCGCCCGCCCCGCCGCGCCCCGCACCGGCGGTAGTTCTCGAAGCTCTCCTTGAGGCGCCGCCGCTCCTTCTCGGGGGGCTCCCCGCCGCCCAGCCCCGCGTCCTGCGGCAACGGGCTCGGCTGAGCTTGGGGGGCCGGGGAGCGGCACCAGCTCCGGGCGGGAGCGGGCCGGGGTCCCCTCTTGGAGGACAAGACAGACCGGGCGCCCCCGAGGGCTCCAGGCCGGATGCCTCCGGGCGGGGCGGGGGCCCGGGCAGCGGTTCCCGGCACAGAGGACAGCCCCCCTCCGCCCCCGGCCCTCCGCTCTGTGCAAGGAGGGGCGCGGCTTCAGGTTCCCAACGCTGCACCCCAAGAGCCATGGGCAGAGCCCCTGTGCCCCCTCCCCTCCCACCCAGGCCCCCTGGCAGCCTTACGTTGGGGGTCAGCAAGGGCCGCTGCCTCGGCAGAGCCTCCAAGGACTGCTCCGGGCTCTCGCCGTCAGCCTGGCCGCCTGCAAGGAGCGGGGTGCCTGCGGTGCCGCCCTGCCAGGACCCAGCGTGCCCGGCCCGCGGCACCCCTCCTCACCCCGGTGCTGCCCGCCCAGCCTGCGCTGTCTGCTGGGGACCCCCCCCCCCCCAAGGACCCCAATGTACAGCTGCCCGGGCGCTCCCACCTCCACCTCCGCTCCTCCCGCCAGCAGCCGCCCCTCCTCCGGGGCCAGAGGGTTCCCAGCTGCTGGGCCCGCCCCCGTGGGCCAGGGCCTGGGTGGCCCAGGGCTCAGGGAGCCCTGAGGGGCTGGCTCCCCTAAACTGGCCGTGCGGGGGAGCTCTGGGTTCCAGAGGCAGGGACACCAGTGCGAGCCCAGGTCCCTGCCTGGAGCTGACCCTCCCCCTGAGCCTAACCCTGAGCCCCCCTCCCCCCCAGGAGCCGCCTCCCTGGGTCAGGGCCCCCCGTGCGGCTCGGAGCCCCAGCTCAGACCAGCCCCCTCACTTCTCTATTCGGTGCCCCTTCTTCCGCTTTTGCCCCTCTGGAAGCGGGTCAGGCCTGACGCGGAGGAAGTGTTGCCTGGCTTCCCACACCAGCCTCTGCGGGGGGCTCAACCCCGCCCTGGCCCAGTGCCGGGCTCCTGAACGCGGACCCCACCTTCAGAGCCAGCCCTGCCCGTTACCGGAGCCCCAGCTCCCCCCCACCCGACAGCCCCTCCATCCCCGCTTCTAGCCCCCCTGCTCCCCGCTCAGTCCTGCGGCTGGAGCTGGACACAGCCGGCAGGCCGGCCCCAGGTTCGAGTGGGGCTCTCGTTGGCTCCTGGGGGACTCCAGGGCTCACTTCTCCCTCCCAGTGCCCCCAGGCGTGATGTGCACAGGACAGGCTGGAGGACACTCCAGGCGCCAGCCACGTGGGGGGCGTGGGCCGAGGGTCAGGACTGGCATCAGCTCGCCCTCCTCACCTCTGTCCGAGAGCCGGCCGTCCTCCTCCAGGTCCCGGGGGATGGAGAGCTTCCGGAGAGACGGGCGGCCGGTGAGGACACGGCCCCGCGGCCCCACCTCCCCGCCGGGCTGCTCCCCTCACTGCCCCCCACCCCCCGCAGGCCCAGCCGGGCTGGGCAGCGGGAAGGCCCCTGAGGGCACAGGCGCTGCCGGGTCCGTCCTGCCCCGAGCCTGCAGCGGCCCGCGGGCACCAGCTGCCCGTCCTCTGCCGGGCGGCGTGTTGGAGGAGAGGGGCCGGCCAGCTCCCGGAGCCGCTGGCAGGCGGCCGAGCTCCTGGGACCCCACAGGGCCGCGCACGGGTGCGGGCTAAGGCGGGAGCCCGCCGGGCACACTCACCTCCTGCGAGTTCCTGGGTGAGCTGTCCTCCAGGTCGGAGCTCTGCGGCACAGGAGAGGGGCGGTCAGCAGCCCGCGGGGAAGCTGAGCCGTCTGGGGGATGGGCTGGAGCGGGGGTGGGGGTGGGAGCGGGGAGGGGTCCCAGGCCAGTTCTTCAGGGAGTCCCCTCTGCCCTCACTGCACCCAGAGCCACCAGCCAGGGGGCTGAGGAGGGCCCGGGACCTGCCAGGCCACCAGGGGGCGGTGGCCGGGCCAGGCCAGCACTGAGGCTCTCCAGCGGGTTCTCCCTCTGGGCTCTGGGGTCCCTGGGGACATGCTTGCACCCGGGGCCGCCCCCCTGTCCGCTGCAGCCGGGCCCCCCGAGGGGCTCCCCGTGTCCCCGCCGCAGGGCCCCCCTAGCGCCCCCCACGCCCCCGTGCCCAGGAGGCGCACCAGGACCAGCATCTCCAGCTGCTGCCGCTTGAGCCGGCCCTCGGCCGCCAGCAGCTGGCCCTCGCGCTGGAACAGCTGCAGCTGCAGCTCGTCCGCCTTCTCGCCCAGCTCCCGGGCCTGCTTGCGCAGCACGTCCTTGTCCTGCAGGCTGCGGGCGTACTGCGCGTGCAGCTGCTCCCGGGACGCGATGGCCTGCGGGGAGAGCCTGGTGGGCACCGGGCGGCCGCCCGCCCGGCCGGCCTCCTCTGCCTGCCCAGGAGCGCCGTGTCCATGGAGGCTCCTGGCGGGAGGCGAGGGCAGTTCCGAGAAGAAAGGACAGGGAGGTCTCTGCCCCAGCCCGCCGGCCGGCGCCGCGGGACAGGTGCACTCGCCCCCCACGGGCTCAGGCATCTGCCGTGGTTCACATCAAACCACGGTGGTGCAGCACTAGCCGGTTTGGCTCAGTGGATAGAGTGTTGGCCGAAGGGTTCTGGGTTCGATTCCCAGCCAGGGCACAGGCCTGGGTTGTGGGCTCGATCCCCAGTGCGGGGTGTGCAGGAGGCAGCCGATCCATGATTCTCTCTCATCATGGGTGTTTCTGTCTCTCTCTCCCTCTCTCCCTCCCTCTCTGAAACCAATAAAATCGATTTAACCACGGTGATTGTGAACAGCCGAGGCACCTTCTTTAAAATGAGCCTGTCACGCTGTGCCACGCCCACCCCCACGGAGGCTGAGCGTGAGCCGAGCGGACAAATGCCCACAGCCAGACCACGTCCAGCTCGGCCCATGGCCCACGGCCACCAAGGGCAGTGCCGTCCGAGGGACCGCCCCGGCCACAGGGTGGCAGCCAACCCAGGTGCCCGCGTGTTTAGATTAAAAAGTTATTTGCAGAACAAGACAGATGCTTCCGATTTTGCAAAATGAAAACGAAGCTGTATGTAGTGGACAAAGTCTGGGAAGGCAGGCGGAGGTGGGTTTCCTGCAGGCGGGCGGAGGCGGCCGGCGGAACTAACTTCACACCCGTTCACATGGCTCCTGTCCTTTTGCAGCCACGTGGAGCCTGGCTGCTGTGGCTCAGTGGGTTGAGCATCGTCCCAGGGGTCAAGAGGTCCCAGGTTCGACTCCCAGTCAGGGCACAAGCCCGGGTTCCCAGCTCGCTGCCCAGGAGGCAGCTGATCCATGTGTCTCTCTCATCTCTCATCAATGTTTTTCTCTCCCTCTACCTCTCCCTTCCTCTCTGAAATCAATAAAAATCTATTTTTTTTTTAAAGCAAAAAAGGAATAAATAAAAACCACTCGGATAACGACCTCCCACCCCCTCGAGCTATCGCTGGGGCAGCCCCTGAGATGGGAGAACAGCCCTCGGTGCCCGCCCTCCGCGGTGCCCGCCCTCCGAGGTGTCCGCCCTCCACAGCGCCCGCCCTCCGCGGTGCCCGCCCTCCGAGGTGTCCGCCCTCCGCGGTGCCCGCCCTCCGCGGCGCCCGCCCTCTGAGGCGCCCGCCCTCCGCGGCTTCTACCTGGTCCCGCTCAATGGCCACCTCCTCCAGCTGCTGCAGGATGGCCTCGATGCGGTCCTTGTACATCTTGGAGTCCTTCCGCAGGGCCTGGCACTGCAGCTCAAACACCTCCTTCTCCTCCATGCACTGCCGGGCAGCGGGCCAGCGGTGGGGTGAGGAGCGGGCCCCTGTGCCTCCAGCAAGGGGCCTCGGGACGTGGGGCTGAGGGAGGGCCCGGGCAGACCCGCCGCCCACCCCCTGGCAGCCCCGGCCCGCGCCCTGCCCCGCGCGTACCCGGGCACGCAGCGCCTCGGCCTGGCGCAGGTCCTTGCGCAGGGCGAAGAGGGCGCTGGCCTGCTCCTGGTGCTCCCGCAGCGCCTGCCGCCAGTCCTCCTCCAGCACCTGGATGTAGGGGCTGCCCTTGTCCGGCCTCCCCTCCTGCGGGCGGCCCAGGGCGCCGGGCGGCAGGGCGGCGGCCGGGCGGGGGCAGGCGCCGGCCTCCAGCTCCTGCACCCGCGCCTGCAGCAGCGCCTTCTCCTGCTGCAGCTCCCACAGCAGCTCCTGGCTGGGCCGCTGCTCCATGGCGTGCCGCAGCTTCAGCGTGTGCTTGCGCTCCACCTTGCAGTCATCCTCCGCCTTCATCAGGCTGTGCTTGAGCCGGTCCACCTGCCCGGCCGCAGCGTCAGCCCCCGCCTCCCCTGGACAGGCCGCCACCGTGCCCGCCCCGTCCCTGCCCCTGCCCGCCCCCACCCACCGCCCTCCCCTGGACGGGCCGCCACCGTGCCCGCCCCGTCCCTGTCCCTGCCCGCCCCCACCCACCGCCCTCCCCTGGACGGGCCGCCACCGTGCCCGCCCCGTCCCTGTCCCTGCCCGTCCCCGCCCACTGCCCTCCCCTGGACGGGCCGCCACCGTGCCCGCCCCATCCCTGCCCCTGCCCGCCCCCACCCACCACCCTCCCCTGAACGGGCCGCCACCGTGCCCGCCCCGTCCCTGCCCCTGCCCGCCCCCGCCCGCCGCCCTCCGTGGACAGGCCGCCACCGTGCCCGCCCCGCCCGCCGCCCGGCCGGCCGGCCGCGCACCTCCAGCTGCAGGTCGCGGCTGCGCATGAGCGCGTTGCCCTTCTCCTCGCTCTGGCGCGCCAGCCGCATGGCCAGGTCGTAGTTCTCGTCCTTGCAGCGCTTGAGCTCGCGCCCGCAGGCCTCGCACTCCTCCTTGAGCCGCTGCACGCGCTCCTGGTGCTTGCGCAGGAGGCTGTCCTTGACGCGCAGCTCCTTGATGAAGTCGTCCTTGGAGCTCAGCAGGGCCGTCAGGTCCTGCACCTTCTTCTGCAGCTTCGTCACCTCGCTCATCAGCAGCTGTGTCAGGCCCGACTCCCCGGACGCGTCTGCAGGCCGGCGGGGGTCAGCGCTGCGTCCTCGGCCTGTCCCCCGCCGCCCCGCCCGGCCCCCGCCCGGCCCCCGCGCTCACCGATGATCATGGAGAAGACGCGGGCCGGCTCCTTGCCCGTGACCTTCCGGTAGAGCTGCGGGTAGTACAGCTCCAGGCTCTCCAGGAAGGCCACGTAGCCCTTGTGGCCGGTGCGCTGCAGGATGTCCAGGAGCACGCCTGCAACCACACAGGGAGCACCTGTCTGCAACCACCCAGCGGCTGGCGGGCGCCGGGCCGGCACTGCCCGCCCACAGGGGCCCCGCGCGCGGGACAGGGACGGGGTGGGAGGCCACGGCCGCCCTCCCGGGGAGCCCTGCGGCGGGCGGCGGGCGCGGGCACTGACCCGCTCTGCGCTTGCGGGTGACCAGGCTGGGGTCGCTGAGCACCTGCTCCTCGTCGTCGGGGCTCAGCACCTTGCACTGCCGCAGGTACGGCGTGATGCGCGCGGGGTCGATGGCCGAGATGAGCTTCACGCGGAAGCTCTCCAGGGCGCTCCAGCACTCGTCCTCGTTCTCGTAGTCCGACATGGCGGGGGCGGGGGCGGGGGCACGGCCGGGCGCTGGGAGCGACACCGGGCGCTGAGCTGGCCGTCCCCGCGGGGCCCGGGCCGCGCCCGGAACTGGCCCGCACCCGGCAGAGGCAGCCAGGAGCTCCCTGGCCCCGGCTGGCTAGGGAGCGTGCAGCCTCACCCACCTCCCGTCGTGGCGCCCAGGGGCATGCCTGCGGCACGGTGACCGGCTCTGTCAGTGCTCGGTGGGCGCCCAAAGCTGCCCCCGGGCCCTGTCCCCGCCTACTGGCCCCCTGGCCCCTCTACGTGGGGGAGGGAGCGGGGGAGGTGCTGTCAGAGGGGGAGTCTAAGGAACACTGGCCTCCTTCCCTGCCCTGCACCTGGGCACCCCGTGCCATGGAGCTAGGCAGCTGCCTCTGCCACGGAGCTGAGCGGCACAGGGAGCTGCTTGTGCTGGTGCCGCCCAGGCAGGTGAGGGCAGGGAGGCAGCCCGGCGGTGCCCAGGCTGGAGCCAGAGCGTGTGGGCCAGGGACCCTCCCACCTTCCCGGTCCCACAACTTCCTCATTCGCCCACTCAGCACCCGCACATCCCAGTCCCATCCCCTCCTTTCCTTCCGGGCCGACCCGACCGGCTGGTGATGCAACCGCCACCCGGCGGCTGCCCGGGCTGGCAGCTCCGGTCAGGCTCGGCGACCCTGCTGCTTGGGAGGGTGGCCGGACGCCCCTGGGGAGCCAGGGCCGCCCGAAAGGTGGCTCTGGCACCCGCCCCAGGCCTCTTCTGCCTCCAGGGCGCCTGCTCAGGCCTCTCAGGGCTGCCACCTTGGCTCTCGGACATGGGACCTCAGCCGGGAAAGGCCCAGGCGGGGGCGGCCGTGCGGTTGACCGCTGGCCAGTGGGGACAGAGGCCGCGACCCAGCCCCTGTGACAGAGCCGTGGGCCCACGTGGGAAAGGCCACGCCATCCTGGGAGCCCGCCCGCACCGGGAGGCCTGGTGGCGGAGCCTGGCGGTGGAGCCTGGGCAGTGGCTGCATTCCTGCCGCCTGCTGTGCCTGGAGGCGTGTCCCAGCCTGGAACAGCCGGCATCGGGCCCCGGCATCGGGCATGGGGCACAGAGGGGAACACAGCGCCCACGCCGCAGCCCCGCCCTGCCCTGCCGCCGCTGCTGGTTCCCAGACGCCCCTCAGGGCCGGCGGGGAGGGTCCAGGGCCTCGGGGACCTGCCCCTGCAGCGTCCAGAGCAGAGTCTGGCGCCCTCCCAGCGCCTTCAGAAGGGGGACCTACCTCAGGGTCCTGCAGGGGCGCCTGCCAGCTGGTGCCCTCAGCCAGCGCCGTGGATTCGTGGATTCGATGAAGGACAGGAGGTGCTGCCGGCAGGCAGCCCGGCCATCCGGGAGGGAGAGGGCCTGGAGGGAGGGAGCCTGAACTTCCTGACGGGGGACAGCCCCAGGTGGCTGCCTTCTGATTGGCCCGGCCAAGAGGCCCGGAGGCCGGTCCAGGGAAGTGGAAGTGGCCTGGGCTCTAGGAGAGCTGCTGGGGCCCGCCCCCAGGAGGCCACACAGGCTGCTGGGGGCTTCCGGGCAAGGGGTGCTCTGTGCCCAGCCGTCCACCTTCAGCAGCTCCGGGGTCCAGCAGCCAGGGGCCTGAGGGACCGGCCCGACTCTGGGCCCCCCCACAGCCTGGCCGGCACACGCATCCGTCACAGGGATGCAGCGTGGTGTCCGAGGGCAGGGCTGGGGCGGCTGCAGGCATGGGCCCAGCCACGCCCCACCCCGTGGCCACCAGCCAGCACCGCGCCAGCACCCCTTCCCCCTCCTGGAGCGCCCCCCTTTCCACCTGGAACCATGACACCTCCCCATGGCTGCCGTCTGGGGAGGTGACAGCTACAGGACCAGCAGGATGAGCAGGATGGGGCCCTGCTCCGGCCCCACCCCCAGGTGCCGCTCCCTCCCGGGGGAGGGGGACCCATCCTCAGCCCTGGCTAGTCTGCTCAGCCATGGCAGTCCAGCTGTGGGCTGACCTCGAGGGTTCTGGCACAGCTGGGGGCTGCCCAGTCTGAGTGCAGTGGCAGGTCCACCCAGGGGCCGGGGCCGCCGTCATGCTTGGGGGAGCTGACCTGGGGCACACCCAGGGGTACGGCTGGCATCCTGCAGGCGGCCAGCCTGGAGGTCCCCACCTTGTCTCCCCTTTGTAAAGGGAGGCTGTGCGGGGGCGTTAAATAGGCACATGGGGACTGAGCTAGGAACGGGAGCGGAAAATACCCAGCGACCTCTGCGTACTTGGAAAATGTGTTTTTTAAAAATATATTTGTATGGATTTCTGAGAGGAAGGGAGGGAGTGATAGGAACATCAACGATGAGAGAGAATCGCTGATCACTGCCTCCTGCACGGCCCGCAGGGATGGAGCCGGCCACCAGCGAGCCCGCCGGCCAGGCTGGAGTGGAATCAACTCGAGCTGTGGGCCCAGGAACCAGTGGAGTGCAAGCAGCGCCGTCCACGCACCAAGTGGCGTGGGCCCTGGCAGGGCTGACGTGACGTGTGGCAGGAGCGGGGAGCCGGGGCCAGGACACGGGCCAGGACGTGGTGGCGGCAGGCACGGCGCCCACAGGATGGAGCCGCACCACCAGCTCGGGTGCAGGCAGCCCTTGGACAGGCGGGGCCGGAGCCACGAACCGAACCGTCCTGCAGGGAACGCCGCACGGAGGAAGGAGGCCCGTGGGCCAGCGTGTGGTCTGGAAGGCAGGGGAAGTGGGTGCCCTGGTCCCTGAGGTGGCACCGAGGGCTGCCCGCCTCTGCTTCCCTGTTCGCGCCCGCAGAGGCCCGGGCAGGCTGACGCCCAGGGCCCAGCCTGCTGCTCCCAGCAGGTGCAGGAGGCCCAGCCCGCCACTCACCGCCCCGTATCTGACCCAGGAGCCTCTGGCTGCTTTTAATGAAAAAATAGAACCTTTATTAATTCCTTCAACATTCCGTTTGCACATGGGAAAGGCTGAGCCCCTGCCACCAGCGGTTACTCCTGGCAGCGCCTCCCAGGGACCAGCCACCGGCTCCTTCCGCCAGCGGGGCTGGTGGGCCCAGCTCCTGGGGGTGTGGCGTGGGCATGGGGCTGAGCAGTCCTGGAACACAAGGCCGCCGTGGTGGGGGCACCCGGAGGCACCACGCCTGGCAAGGGAAGGGCGGGGTCCATGGGCGTGGGGGGGAGAGGGGAGGGAGGCTCAATGGCTGGCTCCTCTGTGGTGCTCGTTCCCCGGAGCCGGGCCCCTGCTGCAGGAGCTGCTCCTGCCTCTGTGACGAGGCCCCTGGGCTGTGGTCTGGACGCGGGGACACAGCCAGAGGCCGCAGCCTGCCCTCGGCTCACGTTCACAGGGAAGAGGCGGGGCAACCACGGCCACAGCTGCGGAGGGCGAGTGCTCAGGACAGACGGACACGGGCAGATGGCTCCTAGGAGAGCCACCAGGGAGGGAGTCTCTGAGGAGCTGCACTGAGCAGACGGGGGAGGTTGCAGGACGGGGCACCTGCACTCGGGCTGAGGCAGCTGGGCCCCTGCAGACCCCGCCAGGCCACATGCGGCCACGGTGCCCGGCTCGCCGCTCACAGCAGCCGCTTCCTCTTCCGGGCGTGCCGGCCGCGCCGGGTCCGGAGCACATCCAGGTCATCGAGGTCGTCTGGGCCGGAGGGGGCAGCGCCCTGGCCAGGCTCTGGGGCTCCCTGAGGCAAGGGGACAGCAGTGCCGTCAGCCAGGACAGATGAAACGGGCAGCAGGAGCAGCGAGGGGTGGGCCGAGGGCGTGTGGACACCCCACCCGATGGGGCAGGAGCTTTCCCCTTAACGTCCGGGTCCAGCCAGGTGTCCAGGGCTGGTCAGCCCAGAACAGTCCTGGGACCCCTAGGCAGGGCCCTGGGAGGGAGGTGCGGTCCCTGCTATAGCCCAGGCTGGAGGGAGCTGGGGAGGGGGCCAGCCTGGCAGCCACAGGCACCCAGGGAGGCTGCGGGCCAAGGGCTCCCGGGTCAGAGGCTCCTTCCTCCCCTCACAGCCAGCGGGCCAAGGGGGGTGCCTCTGCACAGTCGGCACACAGCCATGGCCCCTCCCCACCAGCCTCCCCACCCACCACCCGGGGCAGCCACGTGGGCGGGCAGGGCAGTGTGGGGCGCAGCGCTGTGCCCGAAGCCACCCACCTGTGCCGGGGCCGTGGCTGCGGGCCCTGCCTGGGCACTGCCGCTCGCCTGGCCCGGCTGCCCACCGCCCTCGGAGTGCGCCAGCTCCTCCAGGTCCTCGTCCTCGCTCCCGGAGGCGGGCCTTGCAGCAGACAGGGTGGTGCGGACGCCGGGAGGGGGCAGGGTGGCCAGCAGAGCGGGCAGGGTGAAGGCGGCCAGGAAGCGGGCCTTCAGCAGCAGGTAGGCCGGGCTGTCCCGCAGCTGCTCCCGCACCCGCCGCCGGGCGGCCTGCAGGGCGTCCGCGGTCCGGCCAGGCGCCAGGGCTGCGGCCCGGTGCTCCAAGGTCGCCTTGTGCAGGAGGAGACCCGCCAGCGCCCGCAGGCCGCCCAGGGCGGGGGGCTGGTAGGGCAGCCTGCTCCCCAGCGGGGGCACACACACCCCCCGCGGCCCCCGGAGCCACTCCTGCACGGCCGGCTCGCTCTCCTGGGAGAGCAGGCTGAGGTCCAGGGCATCCTTCTCAGGCCCGCGCAGGGGCGGGGGCGGCCCCCCGGGCTCTGCCGGGGACAGCAGTGTCCTCCCCGGGCCAGCGGTCAGAGGCAGCACTTCGGCAGGGATCTGGGGGGGCGGAGCTGGCCGGAGGGACTCGAGGTCTGCCCTGGAGGCAGGGCCTGGCTCTCCGTCCCCATTGGCCGGGCCCTGGCCCCCTGGAGTCTCCGTCAATGAGGGCAACAGAGTCACTGCCAGCACTTGGGGGTCAGGGGCCGCAGCTGGCCTGGGGAGGCCCACCACGGCCGGCAACGGCACGGGGAGCAGCCCCGGGGCTGTGAGCACGCTGCTGGCCGGCAGAGGGGTGCTGGCCACCACGTGGGGCCCACCCGCAGGGGTGCCCGGAGCTGGCATCAGCCCGAGGGGCTGGACGAGCGGCTGAGCAGGGCTGGGGGCGGCAGGAAGAAAGGCTGGGGCCTGGGACTGTCCGAGACTGTCCAGCTGGCGGCTCACAGGGACCTGCAAGGCCACCGTGGAGACGGGAGCCAAGGCCAAGGCCTGCAGGGCTAGAGGCCTCGTGTTCGTGGTCAAGGCCCCGGAGCCTGGAGTGCTCGGACCGGCCGCTGCGGGGGCCCCCGGCCCAGCCGGTGCGGACTCGGAGACGCCGGGCCCGGTGGCTGGGGGGCCGTGGGAGGCCAGCGCCAGCGAGGGCTGGAGGATCAGGGGCGAGGGCACCAGCAGCTGGGGCGGGAGGACCACGGGGCCCGGGGCGGCCTTGCGGGCCTGGGCCTCCCGCAGCCTCTTCTCTCGCAGCAGCTGGAATACCGTCTTCAGTTTGTGCGGTGGGCGGCCGGGCGCCGGCGGGGGCGCCGGGGAGGCGGCCTGGGGAGGGCCGGCCTGCAGCCCCCTGCGCCCGGCGCCCCTGAGCCTCCTCACCGCAGCGCCTCGGGCTGGCACCTGGTCCAGGAGGTGGCCTGGGAGGAGAGACCACCACGGGGTCCAGGTGCCGTCCAGACCTGCCTCACCCACTCCGCAGGTCTCCTGGCAGCTGCTGGGAGCGGGAGCAGGAGCCCAGGGGCTGCTCGCCCTCACAGCTGGAACGTCTTTCCTGCCCCCCAGGCCGGCTAGGCTCACGCCCCTCAAACAAAACCCTCATCGGTCGTGGCCAGGCAGCTCCCGGGGGACAGAACAGCCAAGAGAAAGGGAGAGGCAGTACCTGGGGTGCTCTGGGCACTCGGCGCCTGGAAAACAGGAGGAGACTCAGCATGCGGGGAGTCCAGGCTGGATCCCTTTCCTTCTTTTCCATTTTCACGGGCCCCCCCCCCCTGCTCACCCGACTCCTCTCCCCAACCCGCTGTCCACCCCCCCCCCCCCCGCAGCGGAGCCTAGGGCCCGGCCGGCCCCTTCCCAGGCCCTGCCTCCCTCCTGATGCAGCTCCACCGCAGCCCTCGGCCGAGCTCATCTAGGCGGCTGGGCTGGGCTGCAGGGGGGCAGGCCTGGCTGGGGGACAGGAGGACACAGGGGCCTGCGGCTAGGATGGGGCCACGGCCACACTTGTCCTTGGACCCTTTTGTGGTCTCGTGGCCAGGCTCAGGGCACAACCTTTCCCTGACGGACCCTGTGGCCTTGGCCACCTGCACCAGGCAAGCCACCAGCAGGGTGTGGGGAGAGTGAAGCTGGGAGCCGGCGGGCCTGTGTGTGGGCCCTGTCTCCTCCCGGACGGTGGGGAATCTTTGGTGCTCCAGGCCCTCCCCGAGCCCAGCCCAGGGGACCCCAGACACCCTCGTCCCTAGAAAACGGTGGCATCCCTTCCTTCCTGCTGGGCCAATGCCATTTCCACGCAGCACTGCCTGGGGGGGACGAGGGGGCGGGGGGCAGGAGCCAGGGAGCCACACCGCACCTCCACTTCTCACCTGAGCCTCAGCCTGGGGCAGGGTGGGCGGCCGGGTCTTCCTCTCTCGAATGACCTCCATGCAGCCGGCAGTGTCGATGTGGAACAGCTGAGGACACGGGGCACATAGACCACACACGTGTGACACGTGTGGCAGGAGGCCCTGGCCTGCCCTGAGGGTCTGCAGCGGGACCCGATCCGAGCCCGGGGGACAGTGTTCCCATGCAGCCCCATCTGGGCCCGGCTGGAAGACATGGCAGGGCTGGCACTGCTGTCAGGACCCATGGTTTTAGGAAACTGCACCCCCACAGCCAGGCACACGGGGGCACTCTGCGGGGCTCACCTGCATGAAGAGGGTGAACACCGGGGTGCTGGCCAGGCGGGCGTCCTGCAGCTGCGCCCCGATGCTGTCGGCTGGGGGACATGGGCACTTGTGCAAAGTGGCCCCAGAGCCTGGATGCCAGGCAGGGAGCCCCGAGGAACCCCAAAGCCAGCTGCCACCCTTCCTGACCAGGGAGGGCAGGGGCCAGGCACTCCGAGCGTGAGTGTCACAGGAGAGACACTTAGACCGCAGCCAGCTCTGGGCCCACAGGCCATGCCCTCAGGCACAGCTCCTGCCGAGGCCTGAATGGCAGCCACTTCCAGGCCCTCGGCAGGACCAGAGGCTAAACCCCGCGCCCTCCACGGCCCCCCTCACCCTCCCCGCAGCCCAGCAGGCTCCCGGGGCCCCAGGGCAGTACCTCGTGTGGGTGCCGCAGTGCGCCTCCTGGGAGCACAGGGCACGGTGATGTCGCCCACCCACGGGCTCATGGCCATCAGCAGCTGGCGCCCGAGGCGCTTCTGCTGCAGGGCGTGCCTCCGGTGCTGCCGCCACAGCTGCCCCACGTGGGGCCTGGCCACCACGCTGCCGCCCGGCGTGGTCCCCTGGGCTGAGCGGAACAGGCATGGCCCCTGTGGGGGGAAGGCACCTGAGCGCTGCGCTCACTGCCCTCCAAAGCCCTGCACCCGAAGGGGGCGGGGCTGTGGTAACACGTACACAGAGGTACATGGCGGGGCGGGCTGTGGCAATGTGCACACACAGGTGCACGGTGGGGCGGGCTGTGGTAACGTGCACACACAGGTGCACGGCAGGCGGGCTGTGGTAATATGTGCTCACGCATGCGCTCAGCAGGCAGAGGGTGCAGTGGTGGATGAGGTGGGCAGGCCCTTACCCGAGCCCGACCCCGGTTGGCCATGTTGGTCTTGAGGATGCACCTCAGGGTCTCCAGAGACACCTTCAGCGGCTGTCTCGCGCCCTGACAGACAGAGAGCACACTAACTCCTCGCCCAGCCCCCAAGCGGCACCACTTCGGTGAGAAACATGCTGACGCCCGGGCGCCTGGGCAGGCCTCCCCCGAGACAGGCACACGCCAGGCAGCCATGGGACCGGGCTGTGCCATGGGACCGGGCAGCCACGGGACCAGAGCCCGGGCCAGGAGAAGGCGCCCCTCGCCACTGACGGTTCAGGAAGGGCTCTGGCTGCATGCCCCGAGCCTCCTGCGTGGCTGTCACAGCAAGAGAGCCGGGCCCAGTTCTGACACGGGGCAGGAGTAAACCTCGACAGAGCAAGGAGGGGTGCTGCGCATACTTGGGGGCACGGCTGACAGGAGATCTGGCTGGCCCACTGCCCTGAGCACCAGCCTCGTGGCAGCACCCAGGGCCATGCCCACCTTGTCGGCCGGCCCCTCGGAGCTCCTGGGATGAGTGTCGGCGCAGGGCGGGGACCTGATGCTTCCCCGGCTGGCGCTGTGTGTCCCGGAGGGGGCCCGTCCGCCCGCCTCCTCCGCGTCCCTGCTGCCTCCAGGAGTGGCACCGGAGGCCTGGGGCCGGCTGGGGGCGGCGGCTGAGCCTCCTGGGCAGCCCCCCGGCCCCAGTGTGTGGGCGCTCTGCCTGGCGGGAACCCACAGGTCCACGTCCGGCACGGTGTGCTGTGCTGGCGGCCGAGACTGGCCACCTTCCTGGAGGCCCCGGGCTGGCTCCGGCTCCGACTCCGGCTCCGACTCGGAGTCTCTGCTGTCCCCGCTGCCGCTGTCCCCGCTGCCGCTGGCCTCGCTGCTGGAGCTCCACCGCACGCTGGGAAGGTGCCGCCGCCGCCGCCGCCGCCGCCTGCCCCGGCTCCTCCTCTTCCGTGGGCAAAGGGCTGTGTGAGGCCTCGGCCCCCAGCGAGGGCGCTGCCACCAGGCCCGTCTCCCTGTGCCCTAGGCCACAACCAGAGCCCTCTCCGCTCCCCCTGCCCCTGCCCCCCCCTCTGCCCGGGCAGCCAGCCCGCAGCGCAGGGCGGCCGACGGGCAGCAGGAGCAGGACCCTCACCCGGACGATGATCTTCCACTTGCTCAGGCACTGGGGGCCTGTCCGGTGGGGCAGCTCCGAGGCAATTTTCTCCCAGCGACCTGCAAGGACGCGGCTGAGGACACGGCCCTCGGATGCGGCCGTCCTCGGAATGGGCTCCTGCTGCCCGTCCTGCTCAGAAGCCTCGCCGCCAGCCAAGCAGCCCGCACGGCCGGGGCGGAGCCGAGCGGCGGGAGACGGCCTTTCCCAGGAAAGCAGCTGCTCGGAGCGGCCCAGGAGTCAGAACCGCGAGGAGGCCCTCACTTCCCTTCCGGCTCACCTCCGCCTCAGTTTCCCCAGGACTGTGCCCCGCCTTGTCCACCCAGGGAGGGAGCCCAGCCTCACCCGCGCCGTGCTTCTCTATCAGCTGCAGCAGCTTCTCCTCCTCCTTGGGGCTCCAGCGCCCCTTTTTGACACTGAAGTGCAGCCTCCGGATGTACCTGGGCGATAAGAACATGCACGTTTGGGGCCAGGATGGCCGGCCCCGATGTCAAGTGGGCCACAGACCAGAGCCCGTGCCCGAACCACAGGGAACAGGCTGTCAGAGGGAGACGCCTCCCACGTGGCGATGTTTGCACGCCCACGGCGTGCCCTCGGAGAGGCTTCCTGGAGCTTACCCAGGCCTCTCCGCGCCGGTGACCCCAGACGGGACCGGGGGAACGTGGGGCGGGCACTCCCGGGGCAGCCACGGCACAGGCCAGCCCGCACCAGGGCACACAGCGGCACCAGGCAGAGATGCCCTCAGAAGAGCAGTGTGTGCTGCCAGGCCGTGGAGACTGGGCTCGGCAGGCAGCAGGGGGACAGAGTGTGGGGGCAGCCCCCGTGGAGGGTTGTCTGGCGGGTCCCCAGGTTAAGCCAGAGTCACCGTGGGACCAGGTGTGTCTGAGAAATGAGGACATTGAGTGCACAGCACCTTGCTCACCTGGTCCCCTCCCAGCTCAGGCACGCTGTGGCGCGAGGCACACCCGCCCCCCCCACCCCCATTTCTCAAACTAACAACGCCTAGCGCCCAGACATTGCCAACTGTCCTCCCATCCTCTGTCCAGGGAATTCTGTGTGCCCTCCCAGACACCAGGAACAAAACATGTCCCCGCTGATGCCTTGCACATGGCGTGTCCCCTTCTGGACACTGGATGGCGCTGCTGTGAGCACAGTGTACCAACCAGTGTCTGAGTCTGTGTTTACATCTTCTGGGTGTGCAGGGGGTTTGGGGCCACGTGGCAGCGGGTGTGCAGGGGGTGTGCGGGCCACGTGGCAGCGGGTGAGCAGGGGCATCTGTGGACCACGTGGCAGAGGGCGTGCAGGGGGTTTGGGGCCACGTGGCAGCGGGTGAGCAGGGGGTGTGCAGGGGGTTTGGGGCCACGTGGCAGCGGGTGAGCAGGGGCATCTGTGGGCCACGTGGCAGCAGGCGTGCAGGGGGTGTGCGGGCCACGTGGCAGCGGGTGAGCAGGGGCATCTGTGGACCACGTGGCAGAGGGCGTGCAGGGGGTGTGCGGGCCACGTGGCAGCGGGTGAGCAGGGGGTTTGGGGCCACGTGGCAGCGGGTGAGCAGGGGGTTTGGGGCCACGTGGCAGCAGGCGTGCAGGGGGTTTGGGGCCACGTGGCAGCGGGTGAGCAGGGGGTGTGTGGGCTACAAATCCCCGGCCGCCCGTCTCCTCACCCGCCAGGCCCTCCATGCCTGCGCCCGCAGGCCGCCCGCACCTTTCTCGGCACTGGGTGTCGCTCCTCCCGGGCACCTCCTCCCGGACTTTACACCAGTCGTGCTCCCCGTATTTGGCCACGGCTTGAAGCAGCTTCTGCAGGAAGGACACAGACAGACGGGCCTGTAATCACAACCGCCAGCCCGCCAGGGCCGCCACAGCGTCCGGGTGGCCTTGCGAGGAGACGGCCCCGCCCCACACCTACCGTGTCTTCCTCGGGGGTCCAGAGGCCCTTCCTGAGGCGGGGGTCCAGGTTCTTGGTCCACCGATAGATGAGCTGCACCGAGTCCCTCCCCTCCATGTAGTAGACAACTGGGGGCAGAGGGGCCTCTGAGCCTGCCCGCCATGGGGAGCAGCCCTCACCACGGAGCAGGGACCGGGACCTGGTGTGCAGGACCCTCCCCCCTCCCTCCAGGTGTCCTCCCCCCCCCCCCCTCGGCGGGCGGGCGGCGGGCGGCCGGCGGCGCACTCACTGCGACGGTAGGGGATGTGGTTGCCCACGCGCATCTCCTGCACCAGCTGGGTGAGCATGTGGTCCTCCGCCGCCGTCCAGGCCCTGCGCTTCAGGTCCTTGTTGTGCTGCTGGAACTGCTGCAGGCACTGGAAGGCGCTGCGCCGGGTCTGCACGGCCACACCAAGCAGGCGGTCACAGGCTCACGTGTGCACGGGCGTCCGGCACAGCCGGGCGGAGGCGCCCGTGGGTGAGGGCTCCTGGGCACCAACAACCCACTCTGCCCCCCACCCACCCCCACAGCCGACAGAGCAAGCAGACGTTCTCGGAGAGAAAACACCTCAGGAGAGTCACAGTGCCGCTGTGGGGGTGGCACCCAAACCACGCTCTGCGCCTCAGCTCGGTGCCTGCGCAGCCCCCTGGGCCCCCACCCCTGGGCCTGGGAGGTCCTCACCCCCAGCTCCTCGGCGATCTTCTGCCAATGCAGGTGGCCGTGCTTGGCTGCGACGGCCTTCAGCTGGTCCAGCTCCGGCCGGGTCCACTCCTGCTTGTTGATGCTCGGGTGCTCCCAGTTCTGCCAGAACTTCCGTATCTCCTCCGCGCTGCGGCTGCCTTCGAACTGCAGGCCCGCCGCGGAGTGTCACCGCGGCCGTGCGGGCAGCGCCTCCATCGGCGCCAGGCCAAGTGCAGCCACACCCGCAGACTGGGCGCTAAATGCAGCTCCTCCGCCCCCGCCCCTTCAGCAGAGCTCACAAGGGGAGGGCGTGGGGGCGAGAGCCGCCCCAGTGCTGGCCACGCACTGGCCACGGCTCCTGCTGGGTCTGGTGGCGGCCGTGGAGCATGCTCCAACTTACATTGATGTTGGAGATCTTCTCCCAGTCGTGGCTGTCCAGCCTGCTGCCCAGCAGGGCCTCCTCCGGGAGCTGTCTGCAGAAGCGAGGGCTCCGGTCAGGCCGGCCCCCGCCCGGCCCTCGCCGCCCAGCACCCACTCACTGGATGTCCTGGATCTCCCTCTCCGCCTTGCTGCTCTGCTTCTCCAGGGCCTGCCGCTCCTCCTCGCTCGTGGCCTTGCTCAGCTTCTGCTGCAGGTACTCGAGCCTGCGGGCGGGCAGAGGCGGGTCACTGGGCAGGGCGCCGCTACGAGCCTGGCCGGGGTTCGGACCGCTGGCTACTCCCCCTCCCCAAGCGGCACGGCTCCTGCCGCAGAGAACGCGGCGCCACCCTGGGCTGTCACATAAGCCGCGGGTGGTCACTGCGGCCGCCCCACCCCCAGGGCCCAGCGACAGCTTCTGGCCCTCGCCAGCACCCTGGGGTGGTCGCAGCCCGCACGCACAAGCCGCGCCAGGACAGCTCAGGGAGAAAGCCCCCTCCCGCAGACGTGACTGCCACACGGGTGACCCTGAGCCACGTCAAGGCGTGAGGCAACAGAGGCTCCTGGGACCCCCTGGCCGGACCACCGGTGCCGGGCTGTGGTCAGGTGACGCCCCCCATCAGCAAACAGGTAAAGCAGGTCTCGTGAACGGACCCACTTTCACAGGGGGAAACCGAGGCCCAGGCCAGAGACACTGCCTGAGTCAGCCAGGAGGCCTGGCAGAGGCGGAGACTCACTTCAGTGACTTGGGCTGGAGCAGGCGCTGCAGGCGGTCGCTCACCACCGCCTTCCTGAGCAGGGCCTTCTCCCAGCTCTTCCCTGCGGGGAGACGCAGCTCAGCGGCCGCCAGGGCGGCCTCCCAGGACATGACCCGTTAGCCCGACTCCCACGTACAGGCAGAGGAAACCGAGGACACCCCCCCCAACCTGGGCCCACTGTGAGGTGTCCCCACAAGGACCCCGCTCAGCGTGGCCCGGCCGTGTCTGGCCAGGAAAGAGGGAGGAGAGGGCGGGGGGCGCAGTGCTGAGCGCGGCCTCACACTTAGCCACCAGCAGCTCCTCGAAGGTCTTGATGCCCTGGCCGGCCTTCTCCCGCGTGTCCTCGTTGGCCGGGGGCCCCTGTCCGAGAGCAGGCTGTCAGGTGCGGGCGTCACGACCGGGTGTGCTCCCCACGGGGCCCAGTGCGGACTCCGGACCCTTCTGCTCCGCCTCCTCCAGCAGCCAGGCCTGGGCCCGGAGCAGCTGCCTCCCTGGGCACCGGCACCACCCGATGGGCAGAGGGTGGGCTTAGGGACTGCGGAAGGCGGCGGAGAGGGGAAGGCTGCCCCGAGCAATGCCGGGCCCAGCACCGCCAGGGCTGTTCCCGTCAGCCCTGGAGGCCAGGTCCTGGGCTGATCCGAGGAGCAGCTAGCCGGCCCCTCCCAGGAGGAGGCCCGGCCTTTCTGCCCTGGGCCGGAGGGTGCTAGGACATGGGAGACCATCACCCTGAAGACACGGGAACTCGGGACAGGCTGTGGGGTGCTGGGACTCACCACTCCAGTGACCTTGTCCTTGAAGTAGGGCTTCAGGAAGTGCCCGATGTACAGGTTCATGGGCAGGCTCTTGCCGTCCTTCACCCTGGGCCCTTTGGACCCTGCCAGGTCCCACATGACTTCCTCCTGCGGACACGAGGGGCCCGTGGGAGAACCGCCCGGTCCCCAGGCCTGGCGGGTGCGCGGTCCGGGCCGCCCCCTCCCTACCTGCTGCTCCCGGTTCTGGGCCAGCAGCTTGCGGACCTCCGACAGCTTCTCCTGGAGCACCAGCTGGTAGACCATGTTCAGCTGCAAGCAGGTCTCCGGGTCTTCCTCGTCGTTGCTGGCTCCATCCCACCTCTCTTCTTCCTGGTCACCACGGAAACCAGGTGAGGAAGCGGGGCCACCGGCGCCTGCCCTTGGGCCGAGACCCAGCCGCCGGACTGGCAGAGCCCCGCCCCCTGAAAACCCATCTCCGTCTGTAGGAAGGGGGTGTGAGAAGGGGTCAGTTCTACTGCGTTTCTGCTAACCGTGGCCCCGGTGACGCCCGTGTGAGGCCCATCACCGGCAGGTGGGAAGGCGGCGAGTCTGCCGGTGGCGGGGGCCCACTTGGGGCCTCAGGGGCCTGCCCGCCGGACGGACAGGCGGCCATGCCGCTCTGGAGGCGAAGAAACAAGCAAACGGCGAGAATTTCCCCAAATCACAGAAAACTCCCGAAGCAGAGCCAGCAGTGGCCAGGCTGAGGGAGTCCTTGTGGGCGCTCCCGACGGGCTGTGCTGCCCCCCCTGCACACACGGGGAGACCGAGGCCCGCGGCCCGCCCTCCGAGAGCCAGAGGGACACACGCCAGCCCGCTGACGAGTTCCGCGTGGCAGACACGGTGTCACAGGAACCCCTCCCTCCCAGCACCGCTCAGGGCGGAGTTACCGAGCTCGGGGGACCGGCGGAGGCAGAGTCCTCGTGGGTCAGCGAACCTGTGGGGACACAAGCAGCTGCTGTGGACACAGATGGGCTGGCAAGGGGCCCCCACAGGTGCCCACCTGCAGGAGTGGCACTGTCCCCCCCCCGTCCCTCCCATCCGGGGGGCTGCCGGCGACGAGGGCAGGGCTGAGGGACCTCAGGGTGAGACTTGGGCTGCTGGACCTTCCCTCCCCGACCGCACCCAGAGCTGCACCATGTTCGCTGGCTGGACCGGGCCGGTCAGTGACAGAGACAGAGGCCAGGGATACGGGGCCACAGGGAGCAGAGGCCCTGGGACGGGCGAACAAAGTGGGGCTGCGGAAGGCAGGCCTCTGGCAGGAGCCGTGAGGGCACCCGGCCCCAGGGCACCCATGGGATGGGGGGCCAGGGGACGGGTGCTCAGCTGCGGTGGCTGTTCAGACCCGGGTTCTCCCAGCACAGCCTGACTCAGGTGCCCACACGGGCGGGGGCCCAGGCAGGGCCAGGGGCTGGAGCACAGGGCCAGGGAGAGAGTCTGGTGATGGTGCGAGCAGAGTCCGGTGACGGTGAGGCCCGCTGGCCCCGGCAGAGGCGGCGCGTCCCCGGGGCGCACCTGTGTCGGAGTCCGGGTCGGACCCGAGGCTGGACTCGGAGGCCTCCTCGTCCAAACCCAACATCCGTTCCAGCGCCTGGATCTCCTGCGAGATCTTCTCTGTCTGGGCGTCCATGTCCACGGGGCCTGCCGCCAAAGGACGCGCCCACGTCAGAGGCGAGGAGTGGGGACCCGCTCCTCCGGGCGCGCTGCAGGGGCGGCGGGGTGGGCCCGGCCCCCTCCCGGCCCCCCTGCCGGCCCGCGGGCTCCGGGGCGGCAGCTGCACGTGGCGGGGCGGGGCGGGCACCACGGCGCCCAGGGCCCGCCGGTCCCCACAGCCGCCGCGGGCGCCGGGGCCGGGGGTCCCAGGGGGGAGGAGAGCAGGTGGCCGGCCGGGCCCGTCCCCGCAGCCGCAGCCCCGCGGGGCAGCACCGGCAGGAGCCGGAGCGGGAGGCGGCGGGGAGCCCGCACCGGCGGGGCGACGCCGAGGATGCGGCGCAGCCCGAGCGCCGGAAGCAGCGGGGCCGGCGCCCCGCCCGCCGGAGGCCGCCGCCGCACAGGGCGCCCGGCTCACCGTTACCCGCCGACACCCGGCGCTCCGCGCCCGCCCGGCCCGCACCCGCCGCCACGCTTCCGGCCGCTGCGCGACTCGGACACCGCGGGCCGGAAGTCCCGCCTCCGAGGCCTCGCTCCCGGCGCGCGGGACGCCGGGAGGGGCCCTGGGCGGCGGCGGGCCGGTGCTGCCCCCATGCGGCCGCCTCCGGCACTGCCCGCGTGCGCAGGCCGCCTAGCGGGGCGGTGGGCGGATGTGGAGGGGGACCGGGTCCAGCCCACAGGGGCTGCGCGGGACCCAGGCGGTACCCCCGGCTCCGTTCCTCTCTGTGGTTGGGCCTAGGATTCTGGATGAGCCACCAGTGACCAGTGAGGAAACCTGCCAAGTCTGGGGTGGCCCAGGCCAGGCTGGGTCTGCACACCTAGAGGTCAGAGGGCGTCAGGCCCAGGGCAGGGCAGGCTGCGTGGGCGGGGCAAGTCTTATTTCCTTTTTAATTAGGAATGCTTCACGGATTTTCGCGTTTTCCTTGTGCAGAGGCCATGCTAATCCCTATATGGGCTCATCTTAGTGTATGTGCTGGGGCAGCTAACTCTAGGGTCTTGGGAGAGTGGAACCCCCTCCCCTAAAAGGAGCCGGGCCAAAACCGGTTTGGCTCTGCAGACTGAAAGGTCCCAGGTTCGATTCCAGTCAAGGGCATGTACATTGGTTGCGGGCACATCCCCGGTAGGGGGTGTGCAAGAGGCAGCTGGTCAATGTTTCTCTCTCATCGACGTTTCTAGCTCTCTATCCCTCTTTCCTCCTCTCTGTAAAAAATCAATAAAAATATTAAAAAAATAATAATAAAATGAAAGGAGCCGGGCTCCCCATGAGGCAGCGGATCAGCCTGCGTTAAAGGTGAGCCCTGGAAGGGCAGAGCCACGAGCGGCTCCTACAGCACCAGACCTGCCGCCCAGGCAGCCCCCTGGCAGTGACCCAGCGGCTGAGGGTCAACACCTTGGTCATGTGACTGTATGTTCATGGCTTCTCCTGGGGAACACTTCACAGGATAGAGAGGACGGGGTAGGAGAGCCTGTGTTCATCCTGCCCTTTGCACTGCAGCATGCCGAGGGCAGGGGGCACCCGGCTAGTGTTCTGCTGTGTATCACCCGCCCCATAAAATGCTGTGCTTTTCCTGCGGGGCCCCCAGAGGCAGCCCTGCCTTTGTGGTTTCCCTCCGCCGCTGTGTGGACAGAGGACACTGCATGTCTGAGCCGGCAGCACCCGCTCTGCACCACCGGCTGCAGCCCGTGGTGGGTCAGTGAGCTGAGGTGGTTCACCCTGACTTCTGGAAGGCTCTTCCCTGCAGCCAAGATCAGAAGGTCTAGCAGTTTAATCATCTTTTGAAAATTCAACTACATGATCTCCAAGAAGGCTCCAATTCCAGACCCCCCAGAACAGGGACGCGATGCCCCCTGGGGTGCGGGAGGCACGGTTCTCAAGCATGAAGAGCTGACTGAGGCAGGAAAAAGGGCCGAAGCGTGTGCGTTTTAGAATTTATTAAGAAAGCTGTCAATCTTTCTTAATCAACAGGAGGGAACATTTATTTTAAAAAATAACATCTGCAGGAAACAGCCACAAGGCACTGAGCGCAGGCAGGGCGCGTCTCCCCAGTCAGAAGCGCCTGGAACGGCAGCGGGAGACTGTGCTACCAGGCGGCTCTGCACGTCCTCGGGATTCGACTTCATTACAAAAGGCCGCTTGGATCGTGTTATCAAAACCCTCCATCCACATTTTCCAGCCCGAGGCCCCTCTGAGGTGCGCTTTGATGGCTTCACAGTGTAGAATCCGTGCCAACTTGGTCCCTACAGGAAAGCAGCATCCAACCACAGGGGGTGCCCACACTCGGGCCGCCAGCCGCAGGGCCGCCTGAGGCTGCCGGCGTGGACCGAGCCAGAGCAGCACCGAGCGAAGGCGGAAAGGCACGAGGCCCTGTCCATGGCAATCATTTGAATTCGGCTCATTTAGTGTTTCGTTTACTGGTGAGATCAAGGACAATCGATCGAACTTATCTTAGAGTGTTCTGGAACAAGGATGGAAGACTCGCATCACAGAGCGCTGTCTCCGTGCTCAGCCCTGAGAACCAGCGGTGGCTTTTACAGACGCGTCTTCCAGGGGGTCACGTCTCACTGCAGGGACAGACCTCGGGGACACTCACCGCTCCACCGCTCCTCCCGCGGAGCTAATAATACTGTTCAGTCAGGAAAGGAGCATCTCACGATAAACAGCTTTACTGGGAAGACTGCGTGTTTAAGGACACAATGGCGTTTCACATCCAGGGAGCGGTGACTGCAGGATGTAAACAGAGCTGCGAGCTAGAAGCTTCTCAAGACTCCTCCTCCCCAACTTCCTTGATCTCAGAGATTCTGTCTATAGACTTAAGGATCTCAGCAACAAGGTTCAGCGTTTCGGCTCCGGAAACCAGCTGCCTGCAAGGAGAACACCGGCATCAGGGGCGGCCACACTCGGCAGCGGAAGGCGAGGGACCCAGCGGACAGCGGAGACCAGCGCAGGACGCCGAGGCGGAGGCCCTCCCCCAAGAGCACCAGGCGCCACCCACTGGAGCACCCGTGCTGTCACCCGGCTGCCAGCAGCTCAGCCAGTGGAGGAGAGTGAGGATGTTAGAGACCCCGCTGCTGTCTCCTGGGAGCGCACGGAGCAATTCGGGGGGAGGGGAGACACGGGGCGGGATTCGCCTTAACGCCCAAGCCTCTCGCATGGAACAGCCATCGCCACGCAGGACGGCGGAGCCTGCTGGCGCGCACACCGTGACCTGGGTCCACGGGCCGCCAAGCACACCCCATCCGAGCCCCGAGCCCCGAGCTGCACTGTGCGCGGTGGGCGCGCTCACGGTCTGAGATGGCAGATCCCCCTCCCCCGCCGCTCACTTGATGGAGGTGTGCGCGTTGCTCATGACCACGCGCAGGTTCTGCAGGGCCACGTCCGTGTTCTGCTTCACCACTGTCAGGCTGGCGCCCTGGCCCGAGCGCAGGGCCTCATTCTCCCTCCGGAAGTTGGAGACCTGCGCCTGGGCGGGAGCGGCGGGAGGTTGACGGTGAGCAGGGAGCAGCCCCGTGCTGTCCGCGCCTCGGGAGAGGGGGCCCCGCCCCCACAGCCCTTCCTGCTCCCACGTGCCCTCTGCCCCGCCTGTCCTGGCACCGAGCCGAGGCCTCCATCTGCACGGGGAGTCTGCCCGTCCGTGGGGAGGGAAGGGCCCACCAGAGGCTCTTTGGTGAACTCTCTGGAGTCGCTCGAACCCACACATGGACGCCGGGCCCCGGTTACCTGGAGCAAGCTTATGTCTTGTTTCAGTTTCATGACGTGAGCCTCCGCCTTCACCGCACGTTTCTGTGGCCAGGAGACAAGCAGCGCCTCAGCGGCAGGCGGAGTGCTCCGGCCTCGCCCAGCGCTCGGCCGATGCCTCGCAGCCACCGACGACCTCACAGAAGCCCGCCCCGCCCCGCTCCCTGCGGCTGCGGTGACGACACGCCGCCGCCTCACAGGCCTGCCCACCCGTGCGTACGGTCATCAGCTCCAGGTTCTGCTCCACCTGCTGGACCACGGACTCCAGGTCGTGGTAGTCACTCTCCTCCTTGATCATTTTGGCTTCCAACTTCCGCTCCAGCGTCCTCACCCTGTCAGAGAGCACCGCGTGGCCACTCAGCAATGGCACGAGTGCCCGCTGTTCGGAACGAGCCGTGTCAGCGAGGCGCAGGGCGGTGACACCCTCAGCGGGTCTGAGTGAGCACCAGCCATGGGCCCTCAGGGGTCCAACAGTCTGCCGCCTCACCAGGACGTTTAAAATACATGGACACAGCAGGGAAGCGTGTCTGTCGCCAAGGCCCAACAGAACAGGACCCAGACCCTCGCGGCTCCCGTCCACCACCTGGCCCGGCCCTAACCGAAGGCTTACATCTCGGTTTGCGTCTCCGAGAAGCTCTGCACCTCTGTCAGCTTCCTCCTGAGCTTCGAGTTCTCGTCCTTCAGCTGCGGAGAGAGGGAATCCCGTGAGGCCCTCGGCGTGTCTCCCTCACGGCGCGCGTGCTGCGGTATGGCCCGGGAACTGCTCGGGCATCAGGAATGCCCTGGAGCCGACCCCAGACACTGGCAGAGAAAGGGCACCACCAGGGCCAGGGTCAGACCCCTGCGCTACTCACACAGCCGGCTTTTAGGCTGTTTTAAAGTCTCTTAGACTTTCCTCAACTCAGAACACTCATCAAGACCGCTCAAGCCGACCCCTGTGGGCAGCCCCGAAGGTCCCAGCTCCGCTCGGTCCCGTCCTGTCAGCCGCACCCCGCTGTCCCGGGCACCGGCAGCGCGCTCCCTGGAGACGCCGGTACTGCGCCAGGCTGTCTTGTCCTGGAGCCAGAACCCGGGCCCGGGACGCCAGAGGCTCAGGTTTCCGCCGAGAGCGCGCAGACACGGCGGCTCCCGGGCCAGCCCGCAGCCTCACTTACTGCTTCGTAGCTCATCTGCAGCGTCCGAAGGTGCCTGTCCCCCAGGCACTCTCCGTGGCCGGCGAAGTCTGCCCCGGGGCTCGCCGCAGGGGAGAGGCGGGAGTCGGAGTCGCTCAGCGTCCACGGGGGCAGGGACTCGGGCCCGGCCAGCTCCGAGGGGCTGGAGAAGAAGGAGATGTACGTGCTGCTGGGCGACGCGCTGGCCGGGCCCCTCGCGTGGGTCTGCTCCATGGTGGACGGCAGGTAGGCGCCATGCCAGCCGTCCTCGTCCTCGTCCTCATCCTCGTCCAGGAGGTCGCCAGCCCCCGTCGGGTCCTCGAAGAACGGCTGCTGGAACTCCAGGCCGAAGCCCATGGCCTGGGCGGGCGGAGAGCCGCAGTCCAGGCCCAGCGAGTGCCTCGTGGCTTCCTGAGGGGCAGGCGGGGGGCTTCAGGCAGGAGTGGGCGCAGGCCCGACCGACGTCCACAGGTGCTCGGGGGGGCCATCGCCCAGCCAGGAAGGTGCCCCGCTTCCCGCTCCGCCCGCCGCCCGGCCTCTGCCAGGAGCACCCATCGCAGCCGGCCCGCGCTGCCGGGAAGGCGGGAGCCGGTACCTGCGCGTGGAGCCTGCTGTTGGCCGCGCCCTCCTTCAGCAGGCTGAGGTTCTTGGTTTTCAGGAACTCTTTAAAGGAGAACGGGTTTGCCTCCTCCAGGTCCGCAAGCTTCTCATCTGAAACCGGACAAACGCCTCATGTGAAGGCCCCCGAGCTGGTCCGAGGGGCCCCGTTCCCTTCTCTTCCCGGACACACGCCCCTGAAGTGGAGAAGCCCCAGTCGCTGCCCCAGAGCTCAGCGCCAGCCCAAGACACGGCTCTGCTTCCTCTCCTCCCCACCCCACCCGTGTTCGCACACCTCTGGCGCAGTGACCGCGTGGGTGAGGCTGTGCCCGCATTCCCACGGGCTGTCCCAGCTCCAAAGGCCACCCCCCCCCAAGCTGGGAATTCCCGCCCCCCTTCGCCCTTCCCCAACTCACCCATCCCTTTTCCTTCGCCTCTCCCTGCCCCACCACCTGGCCAGCCACACGGTGGCCCTTTCAGTCCACCCACCACCCAAGCCCCAGTGCCACCCTGTGTGGCGCTGGCACCCTGATTCCAGCCCCGGGGCCTCGGGCTTGCAGGAGTGACTCCCACCTGCCTGCCATCCCTCAGGCCTCGGGTGGTACCCTGCTTCCTTCTACCCCAGGGCCAGGATCCAACCCGTGGGCGCCACCCTGCCTGCTGTGGCCACTACCGGTGCACTAGGCAGGCCGGGGCTGCTGCCTGGACAGCCCTGCCCCTGGCGTGGACCTGGCCCTCCAGATTCTCTCTCGGGCAGAGAGAGGAAGGAGGGATTACCGAAGTACTCTACCTCCAAAGTGTATCTGCTGGGCTCCTGGTGGGCCTGGCTTAGTGCCCTTCCCCTTTCCGTAGATAAAATCTGCAGAGACACCCCGTCACCCTGTGGTCACTGGGACCCGAGGCGACCCCGCGTCCCCACACGGCCTCAGCGTGGCGCTCCTCACCCGGGGGAACCTGCCCGGGGTGCTGCGAAAGCTCCCCGAGGTCCTGGTGCAGCGGGGTGCACATGCCCTACTGCCTGCGCCCCGCCCCAGCCTCGCCGCCCCCTGACCGCCCGCCCGCCGCCGGGGGGCAGCTGCGGGGGACAATGGGGTGAACGAGTGCCGGCGGCGGCCGTTTCCAGGCGGGCCCGGGGCCGGAGGCTCCCCGCCCTCCTCCCTCCCCTCCTACATCGGAACTGTCTGTTTTTTGCGGGGAGGGTCTCCCCCAGACCAGACTGTGAGCTCCCAGCGGCAGGACTCTCCACCTTCGCCTCCCCGGTGCTCACCGCTGGGCCCGGGGAGAGTGCGGGCTCCGCAGGGCCGCCCAGCCCGGCGGGCCGTCTCTCACCTGTGTCTCCCACCGAGGCGAGCACCGGGCTGGGCACATAGCACATAAACGTCGGCCGAAAGCCGAAGAGGCGGGGGTCCGGGTCCCCGCCGCGGGGGCGCTCACAGTCGAGCTGGGGGAGCCCGGCCCGGCGCTCGGAGAACGCCGCCGCTGCAACAACAATGAGAGCGACGTGGCCGCGCCGCGCCCGCCCCGGGACCGGGACCTCGGCGGGGCCGGAGCCCGGGGCCCGCCCGGCCGTCCTCCCCGCCGGCCGCCCGCCGCTCACCGTCCGGAATGACGAGGCTGCGCGCCCGGGACAGCGGGGAGAGGCCCGGGCGGCGCGCATAGCCCGACATCGCCGCGGGCCCGGGGGCGCCGGCCCTCCCTAGCCCGGCAGCGGCGGCTCCATGGCTCCGGCTCCGCCCCGGCCGCGGCGCGAGTCCCCCGGCCCCGCCGCCCGCCGCTCGGCCGCCGCTCCCAGCCTCTCGCCGCGGCTTCCGCTCCGCGCACCGGAAGCGGGCGCCCGAACGGCAGCGGCCGGCGTCGGGGGGGCGGGGCGCGGCGGGCGGAGCCGGAAGTGACGCCAGAAGCGAGGGGCGGAGACCCAAGATGGCGGCGGTGGTGCTGGCGGCGACGCGGCTGCTGCAGGGCTCGCGCGCCTGGGGCCGCTCGCGGCTGCGGTGAGGCGAGGGCCGGCGGGGGCGGGCCGGGGGGCCCCTGGGGCTCGGCCGGGGCCCTCGGTGGCCGGCGTCCCTCGGGGCCCGCGGCCTCTGGTCCCCCGACGCCCAGACGCGGCGCCGGGCGGGCGGGCTCGGGTAGCGGGACGCCGGCCCGGCCCCGGGGGCGCCTCCCTGCCCCGCGCTGCGGGCCCGCACCCCGAGCTCCATCCGCCGCTCCGTCCCGGCGGCGGGGTCGGCTCCCGCCGTCCGCTCCCGGCCCGCGTCGTCTCCGCCGGCCCCTTCCTGCCGCGCGCGCCCCTCGGAGCCCGCGCCCGCGGCCGCCCGGCACGTCCCTTCGGCGGCCGCCCTGTCCCGCTCCCGGCGCGGCGGGCGCCTGCGGCCCGACGGCGCGGAGCCTGGCCCCGGGCGGAGGGCGGCCTCCCTCGGAGGGGACGTTTCAGCGGGGAGAGGGCGCGGACAGGGCGGACAGGGCGGACGGGCGGACGGGCTGGCGACCCGGGAGCTTTGGGGCTGCGGCCGCGTGTGCGCGGAGAGGCCAGGCCGCCGCTGTGACCGGCCGGGGCGTGAGGCGGTCAGCGGAGCCCGGGTCCTGCCAGGCCGGGCCGGCCGCGCTCCCGAGGGGCTGCCGTGACCCGCGCTGACCCTCACCGAGGCGCGGGGCGACCCTGGGAGGGAGGGGGACCTGCCCCGCCCCCGGGGCCCCCAGGCGGGCAGCACAGACCCTCCCACAGGGGGCGCTGCCGTTCAGAGCAGACACTACGCCGCCCACGTGGCCCCACGGGTTCCACCCCTCACTGGGCGACCTCTCCGTTTCAGGTTTGGGGCCCCTGGGTACAGACAGTTCAGCAGTGGGGGCGCCTACCCCAACATCCCGCTCTCTGCCCCCTTGCCCGGGGTGCCCACGCCCGTTTTTGCCACCGTCGACGGCCAGGAGAAGTTTGAGACCAAAGTCACCACGCTGGAGAACGGGCTGCGCGTGGCCTCCCAGAACAAGTTCGGGCAGTTCTGCACGGTGGGAAGTGAGTGCCCTGGGGGGGCGCAGGGTCCCTTCGGGGTCCTTCCGGGTCCTTTGGAGTGAAAGCCTGGAGAGTCAGGAGACCGGGCACCACCGTACCCGCCGGGCCCTTCGGGCAGCTCCCCCCCCCCCCTCCCGTTCCGTAACCGAAGTCAGCGGCTCGTAAGCGCACTCACCGGTGAGCTGAGAGCGGACCCTCACCCCCGGTGACCTCTGACAGTCACGTCCTGACCTGCCAACTTTCTCTCCAGTTCTTATTAATTCAGGATCAAGATATGAAGCAAAATACCTGAGTGGAATCGCTCACTTCTTGGAAAAGTTGGCATTTTCGGTCAGTGTCCAGTTTGTGAGTTTGAGTTGTGATTGGGGAGAACTTACGTAGTTTTGCCCTTTTACAACGGTTACACGTTAGTGGTTAAGTTGCTGAGTTCACGGGAATAAAGCGTCACTTGATCTCGTGTTGCTTTGAGAGCCGAAGTAAACGTTGCTAGGAGCTGTGTTGGAGGGTTGTCGGTCCTTCCCTGTCTCCCCAGTCCACGGCCCGCTTCGACAGCAAGGACGGCATCCTGCACACCCTGGAGAGGCACGGCGGCATCTGCGACTGCCAGGCGTCCAGGTACGGCTCCTGCACGGCCTCGGAGAGGCCGGCGGGCTGCGCTGAGTGACCGCCGGCTGGGCAGAGCGGGGGAAACACTCAGAGGGACACTTAGAGGGCAGGTGGTCCCCCAGGGCTGCGCCAGGGCACTTGAGCCGGCAGTCGCTGGGCACCCAGGAGCCCTGTCCCCGGAGGCTCGAGGCCATGGCACAGGAGCCAAGGGCGTGGGATAGGCCGGCAGCTGAGCGGGTCTGGCTGGGGAAGGAATGCCAGGAAGCCTGACACGGCTGGTTCCCACGTTGGCCAGTCGGTTCACGCGGGAAACGCAGACGGAAAGGGGCTCGGCGCGGCGCAGGCTGTGCACTGCCGCTGCCCGCGGGCTGCCCGCGACGGGAGGCCGGTGCCTCCTGCCCTCAGGGCCGGTGTTGGTGCTTCGCAGGGACACCACCATGTACGCGGTGTCTGCCGACTCCAAAGGCCTGGACACGGTGGTGGGCTTGCTGGCCGAAGTGGTGCTGCACCCCCGGCTCACAGGTGGGTGTCCGGCCGGGGGAGGGGCTGCGGGAGCCCTGCCCACGGGACGCGCATGTGTCGTCGCAGGTCTCTGCTCACCTGCCCTGAGGGCGCAGTGTCACTGGAAGTGACGCTGGCGCTGAGTTCAGTGCTGATGCTCCGAGACACCGGCCGGCACCCTTCACTGCTAGCAAACAGGCCCTTCGGGGCGCCTGGCGACTGCCTTTCAACGCCTGGCCCGGCCCCTTCCCCGGCCTGAGATGGCCGACTCGCTCCCTGCGGCCCAGGGCGGCACAGTGCTGTCGCAGCTGGTCTGACGGCTGCATTCCGCTGGGGGCTCTGGCCTGTCTCCTCAGCACCGTCACCCACTGTCCCCACCTCCTCACCCGCTGGGGCAGGTGCGGGGTCAGTGCCTCCCGCGGAGGGCGGCTCGGAGCAGGGCCAGGTGGCAGCTGGGGGCGCTCCTCGCGCATGTGCCCCCCCGGCCTGCCCCAGAGGCATGGGAGGGAGGACGCTGGCCCAGCGCTGCGGGCCGGGGGCTGAGCCTGGCCCCGTGCCTCCGCAGAGGAGGAGATCGAGATGGCGCGGCTGGCTGTCCAGTTTGAGCTGGAGGACCTCAACATGCGGCCGGACCCGGAGCCTCTCCTCACCGAGATGATCCACGAGGTGAGGGGGCTCGAGGGCGTCTTCACCTTTCCCGCCCCGCAGGGCCCGGCCTCCCTCCACCCGGGAGCCGTGTGGCCGGGGACTGCCCTGGAGGGCTCACTCGCAGGAGGCGGTCCTGCGGCCGGGGCGGCCTCGGAGCCGGCCCGCTTGCCACTCGTGCTCCCCGCTTCCGCAGGCCGCTTACAGGGAGAACACGGTCGGCCTCCACCGCTTCTGCCCCCCGGAGAACATCGCCAAGATGGACCGGGCCGTGCTGCACTCCTACCTGAGGAACTACTACACGCCCGACCGCATGGTGCTGGCGGGCGTGGGCATCGAACACGAGCACCTGGTAGAGTGCGCCCGCAAGCACCTCCTGGGCGCCCGGCCGGCCTGGGGGAGCGGGGCCGCCGTGGACGTGGACCGCTCCGTCGCACAGTACACCGGGGGCGTCGTCAAGGTGCGGGCAGGAGGCCGCGGCCTGGGCCGTGGTCTGTGACCTCGGGAGTTCAGGGAGCCGCCCTCGTGGCTGTGCCTCCACCCCGCCTTGGCCCACAGAGCGCCTGGGTGGTGGTCAGCTTTGGGGCGGGGGTGGGCTGAGGCGATGGCGAAGCCTGGGCCACTTGGTTCTTCCGGTCACAGCTGGAGAGAGACATGTCCAAGGTCAGCCTGGGCCCCGCCCCGTTCCCCGAGCTCACGCACATCATGATCGGGCTGGAGAGCTGCTCCTTCCTGGTGAGTCCGCAGGCCCCCGCTCCGCGCCTGGCCCAGCGCCGGTGCGCCCTGCGAGCTCCGCCTCCTCCCCGCAGGAGGCCGACTTCATCCCCTTCGCGGTGCTCAACATGATGATGGGCGGCGGCGGCTCCTTCTCGGCCGGCGGGCCCGGCAAGGGCATGTTCACGCGGCTCTACCTCAACGTGCTCAACCGGTGAGTGCCCCCGCCCCCGCCCCCGCCCCCAGGCCCGCTGAGCCACCTGCCACCTCCGGGCTCTCCCCCGTCCCCCAGGCACCACTGGATGTACAACGCCACCGCCTACCACCACAGCTATGAGGACACGGGGCTCCTGTGCATCCACGCCAGCGCCGACCCCAGACAGGTGAGCCCCCAGGCAGGTGCGCCCCCAGGCAGGTGCGCCCCCAGACAGGTGAGCCCCCAGACAGGTGAGCCCCCAGGCAGGTGCGCCCCCCGACAGGTGAGCCCCCCAGACAGGTAGGCCCCCTGACAGGTGAGCCCCCAGACAGGTGGGCCGGGCCGGTGAGGCCGGGCGCGGTGGGCCCAGGCGAGCTGTGAACAGCGCTCAGAGCCTCCCGCCTCCCGCGCAGGTGAAAGAAATGGTGGAGATCATCACCAAGGAGTTCATCTTAATGGGCGGGACCGTGGATGTGGTAAGTACGGCAAGGAGCCTTCCCCACCTCCCACCACGCCTCTGTGCCCAACACCGTGACCCCCGACACCGTGACCCCATCCAAGGCTGAGCTTGTCCCGCGGGACCCTGCTGGTCCTCACGGCACCTGGTCTGCTTACTCCTGGCTGACCCCGGGTGCCTCCTGGCTGCCTGCGGTCAGCTCTGCGGACAAATGCCGGGCACAGGCAGGCCCTCCCACCACCTGCAGCCAGGTCAGAGCAGCCCCGTGGGCAGCCCTGCAGGCCTCCCGGCTTTCTCCTCTCAGTTCCTCGGGCTCTAGCCTTGTTACTTCCCAGCCCCGAACTGGCACAAATAGCAGATTGTATATGCGCGCGCACACGTGCACACAAGTACCAGCCAAGCCCAGCCTTCAGGCCCCGTGCCTCGGGGGGGCTGCACATGCTGCACCTCAGAGCACACTTTCTGCAGTCCCGTGTTTACTGTAGCGTCACATGGTCCCTTGCCCTCAGCAGAGAAACAGAGGCCTCACTTCAAGCGAAAGGTGTGCAAGTCACTGCCCTGCTGGGCAGGCGGTCTTCCCCGCGGAGGCCGCTCAGGGTGGGCCCGCGTGCAGACGTGACGCGCCTTGTCTGAACTCACTAAACGCCCCGGCTTCCAGCCAGCCTGCCCTTGCTCGCTCTACGCAGTCTGTGGGGTCCCAGCGCCATCGGGCACCTGCCTCCCGCTGCCTCTGTCCTCGAGAGGGCTGGCTCCTGGTCGGGAGGGCTCCCGGAACAGAGCTGGTAGCTGAGCCGTCCCCTCGGCGTTGCCCGGGAGCGCGGTGGGCAGGGGAGGGCACGAGGGAGCCGTCTGCCTCAGCACTGAGCTGGGCCGGGCACGCTTCCCTGACCACTCGGTGGCTGAGTGCGCGGCTGACGCACGACGGCTTTGCCCTCAGGTGGAGCTGGAGCGGGCCAAGACGCAGCTCATGTCCATGCTCATGATGAACCTGGAGGCCCGGCCCGTGATCTTCGAGGACGTGGGCAGGCAGGTGCTGGCCACCCGCTCCAGGAAGCTGCCCCACGAGCTATGCGCGCTAATCCGTGAGTACCAGCACGGCCTGTGGCTCGCAGCTGGCGGGTGTCGTGGCCTCACGTGGTCTCCAGGGGCTTTGAACGTCCTCCGAGTGTCCGAGTCACTGCTGGTGCGGCTTTGGGGCCGTTTTCTCAGACTCCCAAGGGGTCTGTGGCCCGAGGGTCAGCACGCTGTCATGCGGGGAGCACCAGGTGTGGAGCTGGCGGTTTTGCAGTGCCCCTGGGTGGGAGTCCTGTGGGAGCCCCGCAGGCCCTCAAGAACAGTGCTCCGTCTTCCCGTGCCTTGTCTGCCTGCTGGTGCCTGGCCGGGGTGGCTCCCAGCCTCGGCCAGGTCCGTGTGCGGCCTCTGCCGCCGCCTCCCTCAGGCCCTCACTCGGGAGGGCTTCCTTCTGGCCGACCCACCGGCTCTTTCCTCCCCATCACGAAGCAGAGCAGAGCCCGCTGTCCTCGCCCTCCCTCACGGGCACTGACAGCGGCTCCGGGGCCTCCGGAATCCCCGCTCCTCCCCGGGCGGAGGCAGCAGGTTAGCGGCCTGGAGGCCTGGGGCCCACGGCCTTCCCCATCCCTGTCCCCTGTGCCAGGTGACGTGAGGCCGGAGGACATCAAGCGCGTGGCTTCCAAGATGCTGCGCGGGAAGCCGGCCGTGGCCGCCCTGGGGGACCTGAGCGACCTGCCCAGCTACGAGCACATCCAGGCGGCGCTGTCCAGCAGAGACGGGCGCCTGCCCCGGACCTACCGGCTCTTCCGGTAGAGGCTGCTCGCACCCGTTCCTCCGGAGCGGAACTCGGTGCGGAAACTCCGAGCGCTGCGAACTCAGGACTCTTCTCCGCGCTGTGAACCACCCCGACCGGCCGAGCTCGGCGCCCTCGGCACCGCGGTGCCGTCGGGACTACACGTGCCTCCAGCGCTCCATCCGGCCGGTGGCGTGCAGGAGGCGCCGCCGCCGCTTCCCCGCCAGTGCCGGCCACTAAGCGCCTCGTCAGTGCCAGGGCCCGGCCCGGCCGGCTGCCTCCTCGTGGGCGGCACACGCCTGGGCTGTCTGCGACGTGGTTACGTGGTCGGGTGCAGTGTCGTCCTCGCCTTGGCTGGGACCGGCCGTCGGAGGAGCAGGCCGGGCAGTGCCAGCCACCTCCTCGCGAGTCCCTGTTGGACCCGGCGTTGAGCAGCCGCGCACCCTTTCGTCGGAGGGGGTCTGATGCCAGGTGCCCGCGTGGGGGGGGGGGCGGCTTGGAATTGGTCGGCAGTTGCGTTTTAGAGGGTGGGAGACGAGCTGTAGGTTCAGGGGGGAAAGGTCACACGACTGACCGGAGAGTGTGCTTCTGAGACTCCAGCACCATAGAAGCCCAGGTTCCACAGGGGAAGCCCAGGTCGCCTGGGTAGCTCTAGGCCACCGCAGCGTAGAGGGCAGCCCCTGGCACGGCCATCGGGCACTGGAGGAACCAAATAAACGTGTACGTGTTACTTCTGTCTGCAAGCGACTGTTCTGCAGGCCCATCAGCTGCCTTCACAACACCCGAGTGCAGGCGCCGGGGGCGTCAGCCACAGCCCTCTGTCCACGGGGCGGGGGGCCGGGGCCGGGGCCTGCCGTGGACGGTGAGATGGGACAGGGCCCGCGGGGGGTGGCAGCTGGGCCTCGGCACCTGCCAGCTCCCGTGGGGCCGGATTGGGCTTTGAGACCTGGCAGTTTTGCACATGTTCTAGGAACTGCTGACTCCCCGACGTGTCTTAGAAGCTGGCCAGGAGTTTTCTCTGCCTGCTGGGTCCCCTGCCATCCTCAGGGCCTGGCACCGAGTCCCCTCAGCAGGGACCATCCTCTCCTGCTCCCTCCCCCACCTCTCCAGCCCCCAGGCCCTCCCTGCATTCCCAGGTGCCGCCCCCTCTGCTCGCCCGGGACAGCGACCTGCTGACGGGCAGCGCCCGGCCTGCGAGGGGAGCCGGCCTCAGACTGGCCACGTTCACTCACATTTTCCCTTTTTTTCCCATGAACTCCATCCACCTAGACCCTCACAGCTGGTGGTGAGTTCAATCATCTCTGACCCAGGGTCTTACCGGGCGTAATGGTCACCCCGGAGACAGAGCGAGATCTTGGGCCAAACTATTTTCAGAGTCACATTACAATCTTCCATGGTTTGGTCAGACCACGCCTGGAAAGAACATAAAACGGCTCATTTCCATCCCTGTTGCCACAGCCTTCGTAAGATTCTCAGTAACAGACCCAGCGGCACGTTCGCTCAGCTTTCTCACGCCCACACGGCTTCCCGCAGCCCGGGATTGCCGGCCGCCTCGGACAGCTCTGCTGGACGCTGCTGCGGGCGGCTGGTGCCGAGTGGCCACACGTGGGAACAGACTCCAGGACTCACCGAGTGTTCACTCCACTGACATGTGGCAAGGGCGGGTGGGGCGGGCACGGAGCAAGCCCAGGGGAGGTGGCAGGTGGCTGAGGGGCACCGTCAGCCACCAGCCCAGAGCACCCCTGCCTTTTCACACCAGCACCTGGTGAGGACGGGCTGTGTCTAGGACTCACACTTTGATCAGAATTAAAGACTCGATATGTGCATTTATTTAAAATATAAATATGGAAAATAAATAATTGAGACGACTAGACGTGATGCTCTGGGTTTCCCCACATCCAAGGCTTACGCCTTTCAAGAGATGGACCAGGCAGAAGGGATAATGGTCTCCACACACCATGAAACCCAGTCGTGGTGCCAGCCTGGGGGGCAAGGAGGGACAGCCTGAGCTTCCAGCAGCCTCTCTGACAGGCAGATGCACTGCTGCCACCGCCGCCACCACCACCGGTGAATCGGCCGCAGGATATGGCTGGAGGGCAGGGCCAGCCCTGAAACCTTGGCCATGCCCCCATCCGGCCACATCCTCATCCCAGCCCAGCAATGAGGACCACGCTCACTCCCTGGACGTGGTCTGGCTTCAGCCTGGTCCCAGCACGTGCCGTGGGACTGGGACCCAGGTCACCCCACTGAGCAGCTCCGTGGAGCCAGGCCAGGCGCGCGCAGAGGAGGGACCGGAGGATGGAGAGGCGGACGCTGCCAAGTGCAGCTCTGCTGCGGGGAGATGGTGGCGGAAGGCGGGTGCCCTCGGGCCTGAGCCCCAGCCGCCCAGGACTCCGTGTCTGTGGGGAGTCAGACGTGTGAGCGAGCAGTGGTCCGGTCCGGGGACGAGGTGAAGGCCGGCACCGCGGCACCCGGTTCCCTGGGTTCCTGCTGGGAAGGCGCAGGCCTGGCTGCGGAGCTCAGCGTCCCCGAGGCTGCACAGTGCCCACAGCATCTCCTCGTCCTTGCCAGGGGCCCGGCGGCGGTGCCAGTCCTCGTGGGCAGACGCTCAGGACACGGTGCAGATGGTGCTGGCGTGCTGCGTCTTCAGGGCCTGCTGCCTCTGCATCTCTTTAGAAATCCGCCGTTTGATCCCGATCAGGTACAGCTCGCGGTCAAACTTGCCGGCCGCAAGCGGGATGCTGTGGGGGAGAGGCCGTCAGGAGGGGGAGGGCCCGAGGGTGCCCCGCCCACAGCTCCAGGGTGGACGCCGAGACGAGAGCCAGGCTGTGCTGTGAGCCAGCCCGGAGATCAGCGGGCCTGGCCAGCCCATGGGCACGGGGGCCGGGCCAGGTCCCGACCCTGCGGTGGCCGCTCAGGTCCGCCACGCTGTGACTCCGCGTGGCCTACACCCGCCTCCTGTCAGGCAGGACTCTGAGCCGCGGCCCGCGCCAATGTCCAGAGCTGGCTCCCCACGGCGACAAGCCGTCTGCCCTGCCCCGGCCAGCCCCGCGCCCCGAGGGACAGGCCCGGCGGTACTGACTTGTCTCTGCCCGGCCTCACTCTGACCCGGAAGAGGCCGTACACGGGGCGGTGGTCGGAGGTCTTGATCCCGGGGCAGGAGGAGTATGTGAGCGGGCAGATGTCGTCCTGGTGGCGGCTCCGGAACATGACCCGGTCCTGCGGGGCAGCCCGAGGCGGGACGCATGACGCCCCGTCCGCCACCGGGTTCCCGTCACGTGGCAGGGTCCCCAGCCCGTCCCGGAGCCCCGCACCCCAAGCCCTTCATTGTCGGGCACCCGGCACTGGGAGCGGCAGCTGTACCACTTCCCCGCTGCCCCGAGGCAAAGTCCGTGCCCGCAAACCGTGCGGGGGAGGCAGCCGGGTTCCCGCCCGCCCGCCCGCCCGCCCTGCCGGCCAGAGCCACGCGGGGCTGCCGCAGCCCGGCCGGCCGCCTCCCGGCGCCCCACAGCCAGCGGTCCAGACGGGCACCGCGGCGCGCACGGAGCGCAGGGCCCGGGACCCGCCGGGGGACGCCCCTGGGAGGAGGGCGCGCGGGGCAGTCCCGGCCGGGCCCTGGGCGTGCGGCCCCCCGAGGCCCTGGCCCGGGGCACTGCTCGCACGCTCACCGTGTAGGACGGGGTCCTCTGCTTGGACGAGGTGTCGTAAGAGTCCTTCCCGATGTCGAACTTGTACGACGGCAGGAAGTGGATGTCTGGCTCCTGGAAGCCCTTGAAGATGGACCCTGGGGCGGGCACAGGCACGGCTCAGGCCTGGCGCAGAGCTCCGGCCGGCCCTCCCGTCCTCCCCATCCTGGTCACCCCCTCCCCCGCCCGGCCTCCCCTCCGGATCATCACCCCTCCCCGCTCCGGCCCACCCTCCCCCCTCCCGATCATCACCCCTCCCTGCTCCGGCCCACCCTCCCCCCTCCCGGTCACTCCCTCCCCGCTCCGGCCTCCCCTCCCGGTCACCACCCCTCCCCGCTCCGGCCCGCCCTCCCCCCTCCCGGTCACCACCCCTCCCCGCTCCGGCCTCCCCTCCCGATCATCACCCCTCCCCGCTCCGGCCCGCCCTCCCCCCTCCCGGTCACTCCCTGCCCCGCCCGGCCTCACCCCTCTGCCTCTCCCGGGCCAGCTGGTCCAGCCGCAGCAGGGCGGGCACGCGGGCGCCCGGGTCCTGCCTCAGGATGGCCTCCACGGGCGCGCGGCCGCCGCTCAGGCGGAAGTTGAAGTCGCCGAACCAGAAGACGCCGTCGAAGCGGGTGGTGACGTCCGCTGGGCAGAGGCCGGAGAGCCGTGAGCCAGCCCTCCCCACCAGGAGCCGCGCCGGGGACAGGCCTGTCCGCGTCCCGACCGTCCGGCCCGCCATCCGGCCCGTCCCTCCCCGGAGTGGCTGAGGCGCCGGGGACAGGCCTGTCCGCGTCCCGACCGTCCGGCCCGCCATCCGGCCCGTCCCTCCCCGGAGTGGCTGAGGCGCCGGGGGACAGGCCTGGTCCGCGTCCCGACCGCCATCCGGCCCGCCCCTCCCTGGAGTGGCTGAGGCGCTGGGGGACAGGCCTGGTCCGCGTCCCGACCGTCCGCCCCGCCATCCGCCCCGCCATCCGGCCCGTCCCTCCCCGGAGTGGCTGAGGCGCCGGGGGACAGGCCTGGTCCGTGTCCCAACCGTCCGGCCCGACCATCCGGCCCCGCCATCCGGCCCCGTCCCTCCCCAGAGTGGCTGAGGCGCCGGGGGACAGGCCTGGTCCGCGTCCCGACCGTCCGGCCCCGCCCTCCCTGGAGTGGCTGAGGCGCCCGAGGGGACAGGCCTGGTCCGCTCCCCGACCGTCCGGCCCGCCATCCGGCCCCGTCTCTCCCTGGAGTGGCTGAGGCGCCCGCGGGGAGGGAGCACGTGGGCCGCTCACCTGCGTCCGAGCGGTAGGGGCAGGTGTCCGGCACGTTCTTGGGCAGCGCCAGGCCCTGGATGGTCTTGCTATAGTCCAGCAGCCTCTCGCCGACCTTCCCGTCCCCGGCTGTGGGGACAGGGGGAGCCCAAGGGGCAGGGCTGGCTCAGGGCGGACTCGGGGCCTGACGGGCGGAGGCCGCAGTGGCCCCCGCGGGTGGGGGCACTGCCAGAGGCTGCAGGTCAGGGAGGCCGCACAGAGGGACCCGGCACCCCGCCTCCTGGGCCGGGGGCGACTCACAGGTGAAGTGGGACGTGATGAAGAGGAGGGAGGTGCCGAAGAAGGTGAAGCCGACGCCCAGCGCCCCCTTGGTCTTGATCTGGGACCCGATGCGGGTGGTCACCGTGGAGCTCTCCACCTCTGCGGGGGTGGGGGGAGCTCAGCGGCGCCCACGGCCCGGCGAGCCTGACCCCGGACGGGCGGGCGGGGCAGCGGGGACGGGGCGAGGGCGGCGGGGGCAGCGGGCGGTGTCAGGGTGGTGGGCAGCAGCGGGCTGGGGCGAGGGCAGCGGGCAGCGGGCGGCTACCTGAGCAGAACCAGATGAGGTCACGGCGGATGAGCACGGACAGGTGCAGTGCCCCGTGGGCCGCCGAGTGCAGCATCACGTAGTGTGGGCCCAGCGTCTCCTGCAGCCGCGTCTCCCACTCCCGCCTGCGGGGACAGCGCCCTGGGCAGCGGACGGCTCCCGACTCCACCCCCGGGCGCTGGAGGCGGGGCTCCTTGTCTTTTGAGGAACGTGGGGGGTGGGCAGCACAGGGGTCCGGGTCTGCCGGGCCAGAGGCGGGGGCTCCGGACCCCGAGGAGCTGATGCCTCTCGGGGCTCCGGGACATGGCCCGGGTCCCGATGTCCGCCCTCCTCATCCCCCCACCTCCTCCAGGGGACCGTGCGCGGCGTGAGGGTGGCGGCAGACAGAGGCCGGGGCGATGGGACGCCACGCGGGGCCTGCTCTCCGCCGCACTTACAGCCGGAGACCAGCCTGCGCTCAGAGAAGGAAAACGCCTTTAGCTCAGACAGGAGCCCGTTTCAGGGACCGTCTGTGCTCAGCGTGGGGAGGGGTCTCCAGTCACAGCACCTCTGCGCCCCCCGCCCATCTCGGCAGTGCTGTCACAGGGACAGAACGGGGGTGCCAGGCTCGGGGCACACGGGGCGGGGCCCTACCTGTCGGAGCAGCCCTCCTGCACCCCGACCACGTACAGGTCCTGGGCGTAGTCAGCCTCGGCGGGCAGCAGCAGCTCGTCCAGGTTCACGGGCAGCTCCTGAGGGGAGGCAGCGCCTAGCGAGGGGCCGGAGGGGCGGGGGCTCCCAGGGCTCCTGCTCCGCCCAGGACCCGCTTCCCCGCCAGCCTGTCATGGCCGCGGCCGGGTCTGCACCCGCTCGCTCCCGGGCTGTGCCCCCAGCCTGGCTGGCCCTGAGCCGGCCCCTCAGTGAGTGCCCCCCATGCACACCCAGGCGGGGGCGCTGGCAGGGAGGTGCAGCTCGGCTCAGCGGGCCACTCCACCCTGCGGCCGCCCCGCCCCTGGCTCTGCCCCTCAGGCCCAGGACGGGGGACCCCTGTGGACGGGAGGGGGCTCCTGAGGACAGCGGGGCTGCCAGCCTGGGCCCTGTGAGCCAACAGGAGTGCCCCCGAGGGAGGCCCGGGGCACCGGGTTCAACGTGGGAGGGGGAGGCCACCGGGGTCCCGTCACTAAAGCAGGGGGATGGGGGGGATAGGCGGGCGAGGGTCACTGGGTGTGGCTCAGCCGGGAAGAACAGGCAGGAACCCAGCTGCCTCCCGAGACGCGTGGGCGCCCGCTCACCTTCTGGCCCTGCATGTTCCACGTGGCCACGAAGAGGGCCACGGTGCGGTTGGGGAAGTACCGGGCCAGCTCCTCCGCCCCCATCAGGGCCCCGCTCCCCAGGAGGCTCCCCGCCAGGTAGCTCCTGCAGAGGACAGACTGAGCTCGGGTCCGAGCAGATGCCCCACTCCCCCCCTGGCCCCCCAGTCAGGGCCGTGCGGGATTGTGCTTCAAACAACCCGATTTAGGTCAAGGGCATGCACCCTGGCCTGGGCACATCCCCAGGTGGGGGTGAGCAGGAGGCAGCTGATCGATGTTTCTCTTTCACTGACGTTCCTAACTCTCTCTCTCTCCCCTCCTCTCTGTAAAACGTTAATAAAACATACGTGTCTTTTAAAACGTCGGCACGGGTTCCGGAGTTCCAGTCCTCTCCCCCGGACACCAGAGAAGCCAGGGCCCTGCCGGGAGCCCGGAGCAGGCCGCCGGCCGCCTGCCGCCCTCGCTGCCATGGCCCTGGGCCCCTCCCTCCGCCGCCGGGCCCTGGGCTGCCAGCCGGGAAGGACAGGGAGACCCGGCCGGTCCCCGTCTCTACGGCCGGACGCGCTTTAAGGGGAAGCCCCTGGCCCTCGCGGCGGGTGCCAGGCCCGCGCCCGGGCCCACCTGCTGCGCATGTCCTTGGTCCGGAGGGGCGCCAGGAGGCTGAAGGCAGACCTGGCGGAGCGCAGGGAGCCGTCCTCGGAGGCCAGGGGGCTGGGCGGCCGGCCGGGGCCCAGGCTGCTGTGGGCCCGGAGCAGCCGACTCTGCGTGCGGAGCTTGTAGTCCGTGTGGTCCGCGTCCACCTTGTGGGCCGTCCGCAGGGCGTCCGAGGCCACGCTCCACTCCATGGCGGGCAGCGGGCGCGAGGGGAGCCCGCCGGCCAGCGGGGGCAGGAGGTCCCGGGAGGCGCCCCAGGAGGAGGGGCCCCCGCCGCCATTGCCCGGCGCCCGGGGGGCCCGGGGGATCTCCTGCAGGGAGGTGCTCAGGCCGGGCGGGCGGCCGGCACGGGCGGGCGGCCCGGGGACGGGGTCCTGCGAGGAGCCCCCGGGGGGGCTGGCCCCGGTGCCCGAGGCCAGGTCCTCCTGGCTGCTGGGGAGCCGCCGCCGCCGCCAGCCCTTCTCGTCCAGGGACAGGGCGCGCTCCAGCCGCGGCCTCAGAGGCGGCCTCGGGGTGAAGGCTTTGGCCTTGGCCTGGGGGTCTTCGGGGCCGCCTCTGGCTGGCACGTCCACAGGGACCGCCGGGCTCTTCTCGGGGCCAGCACGGTCAGCGGCCGGGGAGCCAGGGAAGGGGGCCAGGCCCCCCTCCGAGTCCACAAGGTGCCCCTTGAGCATCCCGCCGTCCGGCTGGGGGGGGCCCGCCTCTGAGCGCCCCAGGCAGGCCGCCTTGGAGGGCATAGTCCAGGGCCAGCCCTCAGCACGATGGCGGCCACGCCGATCCGGAGCACTCTCCCGGCTGCCGGGTCAGGGATGCGGTGCCGGGTCAGGGGTGCGGTGCCGGGTCAGGGGCGCGGTGCGGGGTCAGGGGCGCGGTGCCGGGTCAGGGGCGCGGTGCGGGGTCAGGGGCGCGGTGCGGGGTCAGGGATGCGGTGCGGGGTCAGGGGCGCGGTGCGGGGTCAGGGGCGCGGTGCGGGGTCAGGGATGCGGTGCGGGGTCAGGGATGCGGTGCGGGGTCAGGGGCGCGGTGCGGGGTCAGGGGCGCGGTGCCGGGTCAGGGGCGCGGTGCCGGGTCAGGGGCGCGGTGCGGGGTCAGGGGCGCGGTGCGCGGTGCCGGGTCAGGGGCGCGGTGCGGGGTCAGGGATGCGGTGCCGGGTCAGAGATGCGGTGCGGGGTCAGGGATGCGCAGGCGGAGGTCCTGGGAGAGGTGCGGCGCGGGGCGAGGGCGGGGCCCGGGGCGGCGGGGCCTCGGGCCCCGGAGGCCCGCACCCCGCGGGGACCTGAGGGAAGACGCTCCTGCAGCGGGAAGGGAGGTTCGGGGCTCAGCCGGGGGGCGGGGGGGGGGACAGGCCGGCGGCGGCCTCCTGGGGGGCGGACTGCCCGCTGGGCTGCTCCTCACGCGGCCCCGGGGGCGCCGCCGGGAAGAACGCCCACGGCCAAGGCCCAGGCCGCCGCGCAGCCCGGAGAGGGGCCGCCCGCCGCGCAGACCCGCCCCGAGCGCCCGCGACCCAGCAGCTCTGCGGGCGCCGCCGCCAAAGGCGCGGCCTCGATCCGCCTGCGGCTCCCGGCAACGACCGCGGGGCTGGGGGCGGGGCTGGGGCGGGGCCGGGAGGCGGGGCCGGGGGCGGAGCCGGGGCGGGGCTGGGGCGCGCGCCGGCCGCTCCGCGCAGGACCCTCCCACCGGCCCCTCGCGCCGAGGCTGCTCCGCCCGGACCGTGACCCGCCGGGACCCCGCGCCCCACCCCCGCCCGGAGCCCCGCGCCCCAGTCGGGGTCGCCCCACCCCCCCCACCCGTGCGGGACCTGCGCCCCGGCCGCAGCGCCGCCCGGTGAGCCCGCGCCCGGACTCCGCGCCCACCTCTCGGCGCCGCCCGCTCCAGCCGCAGCCTCGGCAGCTCGCCGCCACCCGCGGGCAGAGCGCCCCGAGCCGAGCCGGCGCCTGCAGCGGCCCCTGGCGGCCGGAGGACGCCCACCCGCGGCTTTCCTCCCTCCGGGGGAAGGGCCTGCTCCCTCCGCCTGCCGTCCACTCCCCCTGGTGGCGGAATGGGGTCAGAGCAACCTGCCCACCCACTGGGGTCACCGCCACACGGGTGGGTGGAGGCGCCCCGGCACCATGGCCGCGGCAGGACCAAAGGGGAACAGTTACACCCAGGCCAGGACGACTCCACCAGCGACAGCAGCAGGTGCGCGCTCCGAGCGCAAAATACTTTATTAACAATCTGCAGTGTAACAATGTGCATTTAGGAAAAATAACGGCCCCTGGGGCTTCCTGAATTAAGTCACTAACAGAACAGGGGCTGGAGCGGCCCCAGGAGCCCACCCCCTTGACAGGGACAGCGGGACCCTAGCGAGGGGGGCCTTTCCCAGCGGAAGGACACGGGTCCCATCACACAGGTCTGTGGGCTCCCAGGTGGTCACGTGGCCCGGAAGAGGAGGAGGACCTGTGCCCAGGCCACATCCCATGGCCCTCCACTGAGATTAAAATACCAAGCAGAACCACAGAAACTAGTTCCTAGTGATTTTATAAATAGCCTGTCCTCAGTCCCTTTGGGCCTCACGAGACGGGATGGTCTGAGAACCGCTGGCGAAGGTGAAGCTGGAGGCAGTGGAGGTCCCCGTGCAGGCCCGTACGGAGTCAGCCGTGGGCTGTGGGAAAAACCAGGGCACAAACAGCAGCTTCAGGAGCTTCTGTCAAGAAATTATTCAAAGCCACTTTCTTCAAGATGTCGCCTGCACGCCAGCCAGGTGAGCAGCCGGTGGATGGCGAGTGTGGCACCACACGCTGCTCTGCTGGAGCCCGGCAGGTGCTCACGGAGCCAGCAGATCCAGTCACGGTTTCAACATCGGCTGATGGGTGAGGGCCAGCCACACGGAACACAGGCCATGCGTGGCTGTCTCCCTCGTGGGCAGGAACCCTCATGGTCCTGACGGGCCACACACAGGCCCTGGCTGCGGGGGAGAGCACCACGCTACCCACGCGTCTCGGCCTGCTGGCACAGCCGCGGGTGCCGCCGCCTCCCTCCGAGGCCGGGGAAGAACAGGCCCGCCAGCGGCTGCTGTTGGGGCTGGGGCGCCGGGGCCGGGGCCGGCATCGGAGTTACTCAGGCCGATCCACTCTCCTCCTGCGTCTCAGGAGCCGGGGACGGACTGGCAGCCACTCCCATCAGGCCACTGCAGCTCAGCTCCCGGCAGCAAAGGGCGTCCCGGCCGCTCAGCGCGACCTTCCTGTGACAAGGCTCATCCCGAGCCTGTTCTTGGGTGAGGAGTGGAGCCAAAGGCCCTCCTGCCCTCGGATCTTGGAGCTGTGGTGATGGCAGCTCTGCCCACAGGAGGTGTGAGCACGTGGCTCTGTGGCGTGTCCATCGGGCACCGAGGGAGGCCAGGGCGGTCAGCGAGGGTCAGTGGAGAGCCGTCTCAGGTGCCAGGTGCCGACGGCAGGGTCCGGTCTACCTCAGCACTGGGTACTTCCTCTGGCCAATCCTCCCTGGCCTGGCGCTTCCCGAGGTGGCTGAGGCCTGAAATGACGGGAGCAGCACTGACTCCGCCCGCCCCGCCCCCGCCCCCAGGGGTGACCCTCTGAGGGCTCAGCTGCGACGTGGGCCTGTTACCCAGGCCAGACACGGCACTGACAAAGGGCAGGTCTGCTCTGTCCCTTTTCGCAGCCACGACCACTGCCACATCAATGTCAGGTTCTGGGATTCTGTTTAAGGTGCGGGAACTGGTTAGAGCTCAGAGGGAGCCAATACCACAGGCTGAGCATCTGCAGAAAAGGGCAGGCACCGACATGCTCCCTCACAAACCTGCCCATGAGCTGCAAGGTTAAGGTCACGGGGAGGAGGGGGAACCTACCACCCAATCCTGAAGTGAAAACAGACGGTCCCCGGCGGGGACAGGCCTTGGCCCGGGAGGGGGAGGGGAACAGAGGCCAGGAAAGGGCCTCGCGGGCAGCTGCCCAATGCAGAGGGCAGCAGGGCGGGGGAAGCTGGGCAGCGGCCGGGCTCAGAGCACGGAGGAGGGTGTGCACCAGGCGCAGGTAAGTTTCCCTTCTCAATGCCCAGAGCGTTGCCCCCCCAGCTCTCCTGCCCCGCAGCCAGCCTGTGCTGCAGAGACAAGAGCCAGGGAGGGAGGGAAGCAGGAGAGTCACGAACTCCCTTCCTCTCTGAAGTCAAAGCAACGTGTTAAAAAGGAGAAAGAACACCCGGTGGGAGGGCACGCCAGCAGGTGGCGGAGCTTGGCCCGCCAGGCCGGCAGCGGGCAGGCGGCAGGAGCGAGGCCGTGGCTGAGCCGGCGCCCGGCTCCCACTCCGCCCAGGAGGCCGCGCAGCTTACCTGTGCGAACTGCGCCGGGTTGTAGAAGGGCACGGGTGCGGTGGGGGGCGCCTCTGCCGGGGGGTGGTCGCTGGGAGTCTGAGAACCACAGAGAGCGCAGCTCAACAAGAGACGCCTCAGCCACAGACAGCCTGCTTGTGGGTGAGCCACCAAGCGCATGCAGAGGGCACCGCGCAGGTTAGAGCGGTGAGCAGCCAGCAGGCACGCAGCTACTGCAGGTCTATGACCAGCGCGGAGCCAGTGGGTGACACACAAACTGAAGGCCACATGATGCCTCTGACCAGTCCCAGGGAAAAGCCTGGTCCACGCGACACGGAAGATGCAGCGCTCCTTTCCTGCCAGCAATGGCCACGGGACCGCTGCTGCCAGCACACTAGCCGGCTGAGCGAGGGCCTGCCTGTGCTGGAGCAGAAAGGATTCTTCCTTCCAGATGAGAGCGCCTACCCTGGCTTACCGACCGCTCACAGCGAGGCCACGCCCAAGGCCAACCGTTTGGGAAAAGCCAATTCAGAGAGGACAGTTACAAGCCCCACCAGCGCTGGGTCACTCGCGGAGACGCTGTGAGAAAGGAACGCTGCACCGCCGCAGGAGCTGCCAGCACAGCGCCCGAAGGAGCAGGGGACTGGGAGGCCTGTGGGCGGGACCGCCGCTCGGTACCTGCTGGAAGTGCTGGCTCACTTCACGGGACAGGGAGCTCAGGGAGCTACAGCGCGAAAGCTACAAAACCGAGCACACACGGTCACGGGAGCTGCAGCGGGAAGGGCGGTGAGCCTCGCAGCCGTTAACGCCCGGTCTGGCTACGGAGCGTTAGGGGGGCTGTCCGGCCGCCGCCTGCAGGGCCTGAGGAATGCAGGGCGGCATGCCGGGCTGCGGGCAGAGCGTGGGGCGTGACCTCAACCCCCAGGACTCCGCTCACTGCAGTGCGGCTGCTGAAGGACACAGCACCTCTTTGAGCCGGGAAAGCGCTCAGCCTCCTGTCCTGCCGCTAGCGCCCATCTTACAGGAGGAAGCACTGCGTGAGAGCGCGCTGCCTGGCCCGGCCGGGCGGCCCTGGGCGCCCCTTACCTCTCCCCCCTGGGGACCATCCAGTGGGCAGGGGGCCAGTTCAGAAGCAGGGAGCGAGGCTGCCGAGCTCACAACCTGACGGGAAGGACAGGAGATGCAGCAGCTCCCAGCGCCCGGCGGGCGAGCCTCCCCGGCGAAGCGGAGCGGAGGACCGCGGTGTGTGCACCAGGCACCACGCCCCGCCCCGCCGCGCCTGTGACCGGTGATCTGTGCCCCGTTTCTCAGAGCGGCAGCGGAGGCCTGGGAAGGTGGTCCACCTCACACAGCCGACTGAGGGGACCCGGGCTGCACCGGCTGGTCCGACCTCAGAGCGCAGCCGGAGCCACTCGGCTCGCTTCACGTCCAGTTCTAACCGCTAACCCCCTCTCCCGCCGGGCCTCAGAGACACACCACACGTGGGCGACAGTGAGTGAGCCCCTGAGCGGTCGCCACCGACACGGCCCACAGAAGATCGAGAGCCGTTGCTGGCTGGGGAGGAGGCAAACCCCCATGGTGCCCGCCCTGTCCCACTGTGCCTGCTGACCTGGGGTTCCGAGGAAGGTTCTGGAAGGGCTGAACCCCCAGCTAGCGCCTGCCCTTCCCTGCCAGACCCTTCTGCGGGCAGGACGCCCTCTGCATCTGTGCAAGAGACAGCAGGGAGGGGCTGACACATCCCAGCGGCCGGCCGTGTCCGCCCACCCGCACGCATGCACTCTCGGAGGGAAGGAACGTGAGGAGGGAGGGCAGGCACGGGGGAAGGGAGGGCAGGTGAGGAAGGAGGGGGGGCAGGGGTGGAGGGAGGGAGGGCAGGGGCAGAGGGAGGGAGGGCAGGGGTGGAGGGGGGGCAGGTGAGGAAGGAGGGGAGGCAGGGATGGGGGGGGCAGGGGTGGAGGGAGGGCAGGTGAAGAGGGAGGGAGAGCAGGGGCGGAGGGAGGGAGGGCAGGTGAGGAGGGAGGGGGGCAGGTGAGGAGGGAGGGTGGGCAGGGGCGGAGGGAGGGCAGGGGCGGAGGGAGGGCAGGTGAGGAAGGAGGGGGGCAAGGGTGGAGGGAGGGGGGACAGGGGTGGAGGGAGGGCAGGTGAGGAGGGAGGGAGAGCAGGGGCGGAGGGAGGGAGGGCAGGTGAGGAGGGAGGGGGGGCAGGGGTGGAAGGAGGGAGGGCAGGGCGGAGGGAGGGAGGGCAGTAGCGGAGGGGGGGCAGGGACAGAGGGAGGGCAGGTGAGGAGGGAGGGGGGCAGGGGTGGAGGGAGGGGGGCAAAGGCGGAGGGGGGGCAGGGACAGAGGGAGGGCAAGTGAGGAGGGAGGGGGGGCAGGGGCAGAGGGAGGGAGGGCAGGGGTGGAGGGAGGGGGCAGGGGCAGAGGGAGGGCAGGTGAGGAGGGAGGGGGGGCAGGGGTAGAGGGAGGGAAGTGAGGAGGGAGGGGGGGCAGGGGTGGAGGGAAGGCAGGTGAGGAGGGAGGGGGGGCAGGGGCGGAGGGAGAGAGGGCAGGGGCGGAGGGAGGGAGGGCAGGTGAGGAGGGAGGGGGGGCAGGGGCAGAGGGAGGGCAGGTGAGGAGGGAGGGGGGGCAGGGGTGGAGGGAGGGGGGCAAAGGCGGAGGGAGGGGGGGCAGGTGAGGAGGGAGGGGGGGCAGGGGCAGAGGGAGGGGACGAGGCCCTCTGCACCCGCGGGCTCTCCTCTCCGGGACAGGAAGGCCAGCGGCTCTCAGGGAGTCAGAGGTCAGCGGTGGCCGAGCAGACGTGCCGCCGCACTGCCTACCTGGGTTTGGTGTGAACAGCTGTGCCGGGATCGGGAGTGGGGCAAGTGGGGCAAAAAGGTCCGCGGGAGCAAGAGCCGGGTCCGTGCGCTGGGCCCCGCCCGGGTTTAGGACGTCCACGTAGCGCGCTCGGCTTCCCGCTGCAGGGGAGGCGCCGGTCAGGGGGTGCCGCCGGCAGGAACCCTCCCGTCCCACCGAGCAGCTGCGGGACGCTCCGCGGCCGGCCTCTGCTGGGCACCTCCCGGGCGGGGCCGTCCGCAGGCTGTGCCCCGCACACGGGGAGGGCGGGCGCCCTCAGTCCCGCAGTCAGGCCCCGCAGGACACACGGTTACTTCTGGCTGGACCGTTACCTGCTTTTCTGGAAAACATGTTCACCGAGGCTCGGGGGGCGCCAGGCCCGGGGGCGGCAGCGTGCGGAGCCTTGGGGAGCGCCACGGGGGGCGGGGGCGGGGCCTTCCTCTGTGGAGGGACAGCGGCCTCAGAGCCTGCTCAGGGCCCCAGGCCCGGACGTGCACAACGCCCTCCGCCCCCACAAACCTCCTCCTCTGGCTCGTTGGTGTCCACCCAGCGGTTCTTCTTCTCGTCCCACACGATCTGGCGGGGAAGCGAAGAGCGGGGTCAGCGCAGAGACCCCGCGACAGAGCCCGAGGGGCGTGCGCGTGCGGAGCGAAGCCGGACGCCACCGCGACACCCACCGACTTGTTCTTGTCGTCCGGCAAGTACGCCTCGGTCCTCTTCTTCCCGGTCAGCCAGCGCGAGAACCAGGACTCGGCATTCTGCACCAAACCACAGCCACCCCGTGAGGCCGCGCCAAGCAGAACGGCACGGGACGAGCCTGTGACCCCTCGGGACCCCCAGCCAGGAGCCCGCGGGCTCGTCCACGCGTGGGGAGACCTCCTGCAGGTCTGACAATGGGGGGTGAGGACGGAGAGGCACCAGCGAGCACCACCCTCACCGGAAACGCCAGGAAGCACAGGCCAGAGTCACGTCCGGCAGAAGGAGCCTGGATGCTGGTGCCACTGCGGGCGGCTGCCAGGAGGGTGGCCTGCACCACCTTCAGCGCCTTTGAAAGCTGGGCCGGCTGCCCGTGCCCTGGGCCACCCAGCCAGGCAGAGTGGGTGCTTAGGGGGGGCTCAGCGGCCCGCCGGGGGGAAGGGCAGAAGGATGGGGCAGCCACAGCGGATCGCCCCCCACGGGGACCAAGACCTCCTCAGAGGGACAGGCGGGGCCGCCCACCCGGGTGGAGGGAACAGTCCTGGACACGCAGGCCCAGGACCTCTGGGAGCAGGAACGGCCCTGGCTGAGCGGGCAGTGTGACGTGTGGGCACCACAGAACGCCCGCCGCCGCGCCCCTTCACACCGTGGCTCGTGTGCCGCGCCTGGCTCAGTGGGGAAAGACGCTGCCCGCCCCGCCCTGGTGCCTGGCTGCCGGGGAACCGGCCGGCCCAGCCGGAGGCGCCGGTTACCTTCTTAGGCTCCTTGGGCTCCTTCTTGGCTGCTGTCCCCGTGCTCTTCCCTTCGGGAGCGGGCGTCGGAGACGGAGGCTGCAGCGCCCCCAGGCTGGCAGCCCCCCAGGCTGGGGGCGCCCCGGAGTCTGGTGGCATCCTTGGGGAGCCCTGGCCAAGGCAACGTGGGAACCGGCTCACCTGGGGCACCGCCCAGGAGCCCAGAACATCCCCGAGAGGCCGGAGGGCGAGAGCGAGGGCGAGGAGAGGGAAGGAGGCGGGACGAGGGCAGCCCTGGCTCCTGGGCCCCGTGAGCCAGCCCACAAAGCAAGCGGCTTATCAAGGGGCACCGGGAGCCAGGAGGCCGGCTCTGGCGGGAGGAACGGACTCCGTGCCCCGAGCGTCCACACTGGTCAGCGGAGCATGGGCGTTTTAACGCAAGCTGTCCCTGGTTAGTCTGCTCTCAATACAGCCAACTCTCATTTTCACTTTTCTGGACAGAATGTCTCAACGATAGTCCACACAGTGTGCTCTAAATGACAGCAATCGCCTGCTGACGGTGTCCATGCTGAGCTGGGCACCCTAAAGAAGGTTCCAGAAAGCGGCCGTGTAAAGCATTTGTTGCTCCGCTGGGCATCAGAGCAAACAGGTGGCATTTGAACCGAACAGGTCTGATCAGATGAATCTGTTTCCAGGAACCCAGTGGACTGCAGGGACCCCGTGCAGAGCAGGTGCAGGGTGGAGGTGGAGGTGGAGGTGGGGGGAGCCCCAGGGGCCCCCTAGAAAAGGTGCAGGTGGTTGTTCTCCTTAAAGCGGCGGCTCCCGCACCACCACATGACCCTGCCCACTCCCGAGAAAGCCTGCGGGAGGGCTTCCTGTCTGCAGCTCGAATGGCCTGCAGGTGCCGCCCGGGACTCCCGGCCCCTGGCCCTCAGGAAAGGTGGGCAGAGCAAGTACCACGTTGTCGGATTTGCCGCCCAGATCCTCTTCTCTCCACTCTGCCAGCGAGCCTCTCCCTCGGGGGTCCTGGGCCAGCGCTCCTGTCAGTGGCAGAGGGGGTCTCTGTGACCTCGGAGCCGCCAGGCCCAGGACAGAGGGAGCCGGACTGGGGGGCGCGGAGGGGGTATGTGAAGGCCGCACTCTCCCCGTGCGCCGTGAGAGCCAGGCCCGAGCACCCTGACTGCGGCCTCTTCCACCCCCCCTCCCGGGTCAGTAGGCCCATTTGGCTCTGCTCCCGGTGAGCCCTCGCAGACAGACCCACCTGGGTCCTGGGCCCGGAGCAGGTGTGCGCCCTCCGGCAGGGACGATGCGCTGGGCGGCAGGCCAGGCCCTGGGTACCGGGCCGCGGGGTCCGGCCCTGAGGGCTCTGCAAAGCCTGGGGCTGCAAAGCCAGGCGCTGGCTCCCCGGGGCCCGGGGGCGGCACGGGGAACATGGGCACCGCGGCAGGCAGGGCGGGTGGGCCCTCGGGCAGCGTCGGCGGAGCTGTGTGGGGACAGTGGAGGAGAGTCAAAGGTGCGAAGCCACGTCTGTCCTGGCAGCAGCCCGGTGCGAGCGGCTGTGGTGTGGTCTCGGCACGGCCCACTCCCACGGAGCCAGGACCCGCCACCGAGCAGGAAGTGCCCAGACAGGAGGGCACTGCAGAGCAATGGACAGATACCTGCCAGCGCCGAGGGAGGCACGTGAATGCAGGACCCAACCTTGCTTCTGGAGCTCCTCCGGCCACCGCCCGCCCCGGCGCCCAGCGCCGTGAGACAGACCTCCGAGCTTGGCAAGGTTATGAATAAGCACGAGGGAGGGAGAGAAGGGAGGGGGGAGGGGAGGGGGAGGAGGAGCGGGAGGAGGAACAAGCGCCCCTGGTTGCCCAGTCTGGAAGCTGCAGTCTGGAGAGAGGGGCTCACCTGACGGCAGCAGCCACACGCCCTGGCCCGAGTGCTCGCCGCTGGGTGCAGGTGGCATCAGCAGCGGGTTCTCAGAGCCCGGGTGCGAGGGTTGCTCGGGTCCTGGCCCGTCATACTGTCCCACCTCGGAGCTGGGGCTGCTGGCACAGCGCTGGGGGAAGGCTGGGTCCTGACGCCACACCACAGCGCCCTCCTGTGGAGAAGCGCCTCAGGCCTCAGTGGGAGCCGACCCACCTTCCCCCCCACCCCATGCTCACTGGGCTCCTGGAGAGGCCCTCCCTCAGCCTGCACACCTCCCGTCCGTCCGGCCCAGCACCCAGGTGGACACCAGGGCCCGCCCGAGAAGTGCCAGCGTGGCTAGGCCGCGCTCACCTTGACCTGCCTCTCCACACGCTGCAGCTGCACCAGCCAGGCGGGCTCCACGGAGGACTCCTCCTCCGGCCTCTCCCTCAGCTGCGGGTCGAAGAGGCGCAGCTGGGAAGCCATCTGGGCACAGGAGAAAGGCAGGCCCGTCACACAGTGTCTCCACCCGTCCCACCGGGAGCGGCGCCCCGGGGCCGAGCTGGCCTCTGCGCAGGTCCCCGACTCACGGTGCCGCGGGCCACAGGGCAAGCCTGGACACCACGGGAGCCGACCTCTGGGCGGCTGCATGGGGTCAGCAGGGCCCAGACCCCGGAGCTGAACTTCCTGCCACCATCACCTGGCGACAGGCTAGGCGTGGCCGAGCCAAGGGCGGAGCTGACCTAGACATAGCTGCACTGATCGGGTGCGGGAGGTGGGCCAGGGGCGGAGGGAAGCTGGGGGGCCTGGCGGGGCCAGATGAAGCCAGCTTGCCTCAAACTGTCTAAAAATCTCCCCAGTGAAAAACCTCGCAGGTGTCCGTGACTCTCCCGGGAGGGGAGACACAGTGCTGGGGCCTGTGGGCGCTGTCCCATCCCGTTATGACCCCACAGTTCTGAGGCCAGTCGTGGACACCAGGCGCGTGGGCAGCAGGACCCAAACCCAGGCTGTTGGACCCACCGGCTCCACTAACAGCTAGACTGGCCGCCTCTGCTCCTGGCCTCGGAGCTCACGGCGGTCTCTGTACGGCCGACGGACAAACTCGCCTGCTAACATGGCAGGGACCAGCGCCGCCCGAGGGCATCAGTGCTGTGACTCGCCCCGAGGCCGGCCGAGCGCCCGCCAGTCCCGACCGCTCCCCCGAGTCTGCTCCCCGGCCCCGGCTGGGGGACGGCTCGGACCGCACCTGGACCAGCTGGCTGATGAGCACGGGCGAGTGCGAGTGCGGCTGCAGCAGGATGCCCTTGGCGATGACCTCGCAGTAGTGGAAGGCCTGTGTGGCCAGCCCCATGTCGGCCAGGCGGCAGGAGTAGATGAACTTGAACACCTGGAGCGAACACACACACAGCTCAGCCGCCCGGTCCTCCCAGTCTGCAGCCCCCGCAGCCGCGTAGGCTGGGAATGTTCTGGACGATTCGCGTGCCGCGCATCTTCCCCGCGGCTCTCGTCCCCACTCCCGGAGGTCAGAGCAGAGGACACGGCTGAGCTTCGGAAACCACGCTCTTCGGCCCCTCAGAGCTGCAGGGCCAGTAGAGGCCACAGCTCAGCACACGCTGCACAGCCCTGCACCCACACGGACTGTCCCACAGCCGTCTCCTGGCTCAGAGTCAGGCAAGTGCTACACACACGTGCACACACATGCTCACACACACTCACTCCTGGGTCAGATGACACTCCCCATCACACTAAAAATAGCCAAATAGAAACAAAATATGTGAGGTTTATAGTATTTTAAATATTAAGACACAAAATACAACAAAATCCTCAAATCAACCAGGTTTAGTCTCAAACATTACAGATCAACATCTCCCCAAGATTTCCAAAAACACTAAGTTTTCCAGCCCGGAGCCCGCAGCCCGCAGCCTTGCCAGCCCTGTGGGTGGGCTCACCTGGAAGTTGGGCATGGGGCAGGACTGCGTGCCCAGCCTGTGGGTGGGCTCACCTGGAAGTTGGGCATGGGGCTGGACTGCGTGCCCAGCGACTGCGCGTACTCATAGGCCTCTGTCCTCTGGATGGCTTCGTTGGTGGCAAACTTTGAGAATGGCAAACTGGGGAGGAGAGGAGGGCACGTGACTGAGCCGGTCCCCCAGGAGCCTCGTGTCCCCAGGAGGGGTCAGGCCACACGAGGACGTTCTGGGCTGGCAGGGGGTGGGCAGTTGTGCGATCCCTCACCTGTGGTTCGCTCCGATTAAGACGAGTTTCGTGGCTTTCTTTGTGTAAACCCCGAACCCCACTTCGGCCATGAGGTAGCAGAAGTGCGCAGCGTCCAGGAGGCCTCTCGAGGCTGAGGAGACACAGCGGCCACGCCTCGGTCAGGGCTCTCCCGCGACCGGATGGCGAACAGGAAGCGGCAGTGCCGCCGGAGGAACGGGGTCCGGCCCTTCCACCCGACACCGCGCACCGCCGCCTCCGTGCCGCACGCACGGCCGCTGTCCACACAGACCCACCTAGCGTATCGCCCATCGTGGCCATCGTCCGGGACTCCACGTCCATGTTGTTGTTCAGGTTGGACAGGACCATGGCGAGGTGCGGCCGCCAGTCTCCCCACTTCTCGTCGCCGCAGCACTAGGAACGGAAAGCGGGGGCACGCCTTACCCGGGTGGCCCGGGCGATGTCCAGCCTGCAGGGGCGGCTCATCCTGCGATGAAACCGCCAGGCGCAGGGCCCACGCTCGGGGCCTGAGTGACGGGAGCCACTGACCGTGGACGCGGCAGGCATCCGCCCGGACATGAGCTGGTAGACCGTCTGCAGAGGGTCGTTGATCGGGAGACTGTTGGCGAATCTGGGGAGACACCACACAAAAGCTCGAACCCGGCCCAGCTTATCAACAAGACCGGCCCTCTCAGCCCTTCACCGACCAGCCTGATCCTCCCAACCCCCACAGTGCACGCCGTTGGGGATCACAGACGCCCAAAGAGAAAGACAAGACACTCACTGGTTGGACAGAGCTCAGCACTGCCCTGCACAGCCCCGCAGCACAGGGAGGCCCGCTTCCTCTGCCGAGAGCCGGACCCTATGCCTCAGAAAGCCGCCACGGGCTGCCGGGCCAGCTGTCCACCCTCAGCACTGTACCTGGTCATGACTCTGGCGTGTGTCCGGCTGTCCATCTTGCTGGCGAGGAGCAGAGCATGGCCCCACAGGCCGTTCTTCATCGCGGACTCCAAGGCGTCCTGCAGAGCAGCCAGGGTGAGCGGGTGGCAGTGGCTCACGTGACGCCACGAACACTCCCGGGCCCCGGCCGTCCCTCTCCCCGGCAGAGTGCCTGTGCCGTAGGTCCTGCTTCCACAAACTGGGAAAGCAGCCCCGGCCGGGGGCATGGTTGGTTAGAGCACCGTCCCAAGGCACGGAGGCTGTAGGTTCGATCCCCAGTCGGGGACGTGAACAAGGGGAACACACCCACGTTCTGTTTCTCTCCTCTATTTTAAAAAAATATATATATTTTATTGATTTTGTACAGAGAGGAAGGGAGAGAGATAGAGAGTTAGAAACATCGATGAGAGTCAAAACCAGTTTGGCTCCGTGGATAGAGCATCGGCCTGCGGACTGAAAGGACCCGGGTTCGATTCCAGTCCAGGGCATGTACATTGGTTCAGGGCACATCCCTGGTAGGGGGTGTGCAGGAGGCAGCTGGTCGATGTTTCTCTCTCATCGACGTTTCTAGCTCTCTATCTATCTCCTTTTCTCTCTGTAAAAAAATCAATAAAATATATATTTATTTTTTTTAAAAAGAAACATCGATGAGAGATAGACATCGATCAGCTGCCTCTTGCACACCCCCTACTGCGAATATGCCCGCAACCAAGGTACATGCCCTTGACTGGAATCGAACCTGGGACCTTTCGGTCCCCAAGCCGACGCTCTATCTATTGAGCCAAACCGGTCTTGGCTCTCTTCTCTATTAATAAATGGAACAAGGAGGCCAGCAGACACGGGGCAATGGGGAGGCGGCACTGCCTCCCCCGAAGGGTCCTTCCCACCGGGGCCCCTGTGCACGTCACTCCCATGGCGGACAATGCCTCTCCATGTGGGCAGAGCATCTCCTGAACCATGTGACCTGGTACATTCAGAGAACCTATGCCCGTTACCTGAGCTTATAATGACATACAAGCACCAAGGACTTGAGGCTGTCAGACCCCTGCCACCAGGCCATGCTGAGCTGGGCATGTGCCCACAGGGCCCCCCCACCCTAGACCCGCCCTCCACTCGGCATGAGAGAGAACACCAGCTCCCCCCAGCCCGCAGCCTCTGCACACGCCGTGCCTGCCCCATTCCCGCTGGGCACCGCCCCCACACCCAGCTACCTCAGAAGCCAAGCGCAGCCCTAACCGACAACGGGCAGCACGTCTGTCCGTGCACGTGTTCCCCCGACAGCACTGCGCAGGCGGGCACAGCGTGAGGGAACTGTGTGAGGAAACCACGCCGACGCCTGCAGAGACGACGGGCAGACGCCTGTTGGCGAGTTGCCGCCGCGGCCGGTGCTCTGGAGGCAGGCCTGGCCTCCTCAGCTTCCTCACGGAAGCCCACGGGTGGACGAGGACACGCCCGCCCGCGAGCGGGAACGCACCTTCTTGCGGCCATAGAGCAGCAGCTCCCGGAACCGCTCCGTCTCCTTCTCCAGCGCGCTGGGGGCGGCCTGGCTGTCCGTGAGGAAGGAGAGCTGGGCCTCCACCGACTCCTCCTCCTCGGCCTGATCCAAGGCCTCGTTGGTGAAGTCGATCAGGTTGGCCTCGTTGGGCGACTTCCCAGGAAGCCACACCGTCCTGTGGTCTTGTAGCAACAGCTCGGCAATGTCCGTGCCCACCACGGTCTGCAGGCGGCAGGGCAGAGGATCAAGGCCTTCACTACGTCAGCACTCCCTCAGGGCCTGCTGGGGAAGCCCCCCCCCCCCCCCCGAGCCTGACAGACGGACCACAGACCCCACAGACCGGCACGGTGGGCCCTCCCCTCCCCTCGCCCCGGCTGCACACCCGCGTGCCCCCTTCCCCACGGCACGGGAGACGGCTGTTGTGCTCGGCCCAGCGGAGACCCTCCCACACCTCGGGGACCAGTTCCCTGAGACGCGAGGCCGAGAGGCGTTTCGGAGGGAAGACGACGCACCCCGTTCTGCCTGCACAACAGGATGATGAAGTTCCACAGCAGGCTGGCAGACTCTTTGTCGATCAGGCTCTCGTTCTGCAGACACCTGGTGGCTTTGCTCTGCGCAAAGTTGATGACGTCCACTTTGTGGGTGTCATCCCTGAAACAAGAGCAGCGCTCAGTGCCACGCCGAGCACGGCCCCCCCGCTGGCCGTGCCCGGGGGACGTACTTGCCCAGCGGCCCGGGGAAGGTGCGCATCTCCTCCTGCTCCGGCAGGTGCTGCAGCAGCGTCTGTGGACAGGGGGGGAGGGCAGCTCAGGGCAGGGCCCGCACTGCCTGTGTCTGCCGACCCGAGGAAGGCCCGCCCCACGGGGGGCGGACGTGCTCCACCGGGACGTGGCGTTGACTTCCACCTAAAGAAGCAGTGAGGCCTCCCCGAGCTCGGGCCAATGCACGTGCCAGAGGCCGGCGGCCCACAACAGCGACCACCACCCAGGGCGCCCGCCCCCTGACCACCTCCCCAGTCGTCCCTGAAATCACCAGTAATGGACACCAACAGGCCTCCCCTCAAACCAGAAACACAACGGAAGATACAAGACATACAACTGAACGAGCAAACAAAACGCCATCCCTGAGGAGAAACACCGTGCGCGGCGCTGCCACAGGACGAGGCCGGGCCGCCCGCTCACCTCCATGCTGTGCACCTCCACCAAGGCGGGCTGTCCTTCCGAGGGCAGGTTGGGGATCACTCGGATGAGCTGGCCCCCAGGCCCAAACCTGGCACAGACGTGCGGCACGGAGAACTTCTCCGGGGAAGTGGGTCTCGACGGAGCTGCAGGCAGGACGCGGACAGCAAACAGCGGGTGTCAGCTCTGGGGCCTCGGAGCCAGACCAACAGCTCGGAGGTCGAGGTGCCCACGTTAACGGGCTTTTAGCTAGAAGTCAGTAATGGCTAAAGACCCCATTAAAACAGAACTTCAGGAAACTGGTTTGGCTCAGTGGTAGAGCATCGGTCTGCGGACTGAAAGGTCCCAGGTTCGATTCCGATCAAGGACATGTACCTGGGTTGCAGGCACATCCCCAGTGGGGGGTGTGCAAGAGGCAGCTGGTCAATGTTTCTCTCTCATCGATGTTTCTAGCTCTCTATCTCTCTCCCTTCTTCTCTGTAAAAAATCAATAAAATATATTAAAAAAAAAAATAGAACATGGCTTAGGAAAACGTTTCAATCGTTAAAAACGAGACCATCTCCTCTAAACCTAAAAAGCTCCTTTAAAAACCCGCCCGAAGCACCTGCCACAGGAAGCAGCGCCCTCGGGCCCTCGGGCCTTCGCCGTCGTTCTCAGCGGCGCGCCCAGTGAGCCTCATCTCAAGTCAAAAAGGAGGGCTGCTGCCCAGCTGTGTCTCTCCCTTCCTCTCTGAGCATGTCCTCGGGCGAGGATTCCAATGGAAATACTATCTCAAGAGCTTTACAGTTTGCAAGACCCCGCATTTAACCAGCCTCTCCGAGGCCTGAGAACTGGGGATGGGGCAGGTCTCTGGCAGCTTTTCTAGGGGAATTCAAGTTCCCTCCGAAGGCTGCTTCCCCGCGTGGTCGGCCTGGGCACGCGAGGCCCCCACCGAGAGCCTGGCGGTGAGCCCGCACAGCCACATGCGTGCACGTGACAGAGGCGAGGCAGCTCTCAGGCCTGGGACAGGCCTGGCCCTCAGAGGATGGGCGTGCTGTGACACAGCGTCCATCCTCCGGGGAGGACCGGGCCAGCCATCACGAGTTCCCCACAGTTACTACTCGCTCCTGCTTCTTGCCCCAGGCTTGTGGAGCTACGGAGGGGTGACTCAGCGCCACCCCGCACCTGTGGGCACCCAGAGCCTTGATCACACACCTTGCTCCACGGCAGGCCAGCTGGCGTCAGCAGGGTAGCCGTACTCCGGGAAGCCCTGGGCACCGCCGAAATTGCTCATGTAGGCGTCGTAGGCATAGTCCCCGTGGAAGGAGCCTGGCGGCGGGGGCGCCTCGTAGGGCCCCATGGTCACGTTGCAGCTTCTGTAAACCTGACTCTAGGGACACAAAGCCGCAGGTAGTGAGCTCCCAGGAGCACTGCCAGGCCTGGAGCTGCTGCAGAGCAGGGGCCTGGGTGGACAGAGCTGCGGACCCGCGCACCTGCTGCGAGTGGGCGCTGAAGCTGCTGTGGCGGCTGTGCACGCTGGGCGCGCTGCGCAGGCTCTGCCCCGAGTGCTCGCTGTGCACGCTGTGCCGGTCCACGTCGTCCCCGTAGGGGTCCCTGTGGGGCTCAGGGTCGTCGTCAAAACTCCCTGTGAAGCGAGGGTCGTACCTCCAGGGGTCCTCATACCTCTCGGGCCTGGAGGGCCAATGGGGCAGAGGCAAGAGCGGACACTGAGGCTGCTGGCACGACGCACTGCTACTCAGCACTCAGCGCTATAGGTCCTCAGCGCCCGCGGCCCGCACATCAGGTCGGGGCCTGCCTCGCGGACGCCATCAGATCCCGCCCCCGGGGGATGCCTGGGACCCAGGGGCAAGGTCAGAACCCGGTGACGGTTCGGAGGAGCAGGCTGCAAGGTCACAGCCAGCCGTCACGCTGCTCAGACACGAGGAGACAAGGGCAAGCCGGCCCCAGGCGCTTGTTCTGCGCCCACAGTGAGCAGCGCCATCAGGCCGTCTGCCCGCCCTTTCCGACAGTGGCCGTGACGCCAGCGGCTGCCCGGGACCCCAAGCCGCAGCTGGTGGGCATTACAAGGCGCAGCTCTGGTTCCGTCCCCCCCAGCGAAGTGCGTCTGACCCACCTGTCAGCGTAGGCGTAGCTGTCTTTCCTGTATGGCTCGTACTCCGCGTCATACCAATACCTGCGGTCGTAGGAGCGGGGATCCCTGAACCCAGACCCATAGGAGTACCGATCCCAGCGGCCCGGATCTGCAAGCAACGGGGGAACGAGCTAATACAACACACGCAGAGACACCGCCGCCTCCAGGAGACACTGCCCCCAGCACAGAGCCTCGCTTTCCTGCCAATAGGCAGCATGCCCCTGGACGCTGAGAGGCCCCTGGACGCCGAGAGGCCCCGGACGCTGAGAGGCCAGAGGTTTTGGCCGGTCCTGTCCCCGTGTGTGATGCCCAATGGCGGCTGGCTTTTCCCCAATACACACGAGTGAGAAGATAAACCAGCTGCCGACATCTTGGTTAAATTCTTGCCCACAGCTACTGCCTTTTCCCAGCTCATCCCATACCTCTACTTTCACTCCATCTCTGCTCACGTGGTCTGGAGAGGCTAAGAAACACTCTCAGAACCAGAGGGGGAGAAGCTAAAATACACTCTCAGAACCAGAGGGCCTTTCCAAAGGTCGTCCATTAGAACCGCCAGGTGTGCGCCCCGGCAAGCGTGTGCAGACGTCATGTTGAAGGGGTGCAGGGAGGCAGAGGCCTGTGAGCGGAAGGCGGCGGGGCAGGAGGGCCGTGTTGGGAGAAGCGAGGGCTGCACTGAGCAGGACAGTCTGGCAGAGGGAGGAGCAGGGTCCCGGGACACGCCTGCCCCTCCAGTGCGGAGCCACAAGCCCGTGGCCACAGCCGGCACACTGGTGCCCAGGAGCTGCTCCTGCTCCTCCGACTGATGTGAACAGTCACAGGGACGGGAAAGGCAGCCGGGCCTGGCAACTGCTCGTGTGGCCACGTCACACGCGTGCTGTGACTAAGACACGGCTTATAGGGGAAGAGCAGCAACAGAAGCCCTTCCAGGAGCAGTGCCAGTGGCTTTGGCTGGAGACAGAGACTAGCAGGAGGGGCTCTGCCTCAGGCCCCAGGGCGCCGCATGCCGGCTGCTGTGTCCTGCGAGCTGCGGCGCCAGGCTGCCGACCTACCTCCATAGTCGTACTGGCCGCTGTAGTAGCCGGCGTAGTCGCTCTGGCTGCTCCATCCACGCTTGGAGCCGTAGTAGCCCTCAGGAGGCCCCTGCCTGAAACCACACGGGGGTTACCAACAAACCACCTGCTTCTGCAAAGGGCGGCGGTGGTCAGTACGGCTGGACCCGGCGACAGGCACTCGTCCAAGCACTTGGTCGTGGAGAGTCCCGGTCGGAAGCCCAAAGGCAGGCGTAAGGGTCTGCAGTGCCGCCGCGGGGCACGGGAGCGCCGGCAGCGGCGTTCTCAGTGCCCGCGGAGCAGGGCCGCACAGGCTGAGTGTGGACGCCACACTTCACAGACGCCGAGGGGCCCAGGCCTGGAGGAGCCGGATCTGACAGGCCCGCCGCACAGACCGTGCCAGTGTGCTCCGGGGGGGTCACAGTGCACCCGGGCTGGTGCCCTCAGAGCGGACCGGCGTGGGCCTGCCGTGCCCCGGCCAGGCTGGCCTCACAGAGCAGGCCTGGCTGTGACCTGCTTTACAGAAAAGCGGGAATTTAGCGGGAAGATCAGCTATCTGACCCGGGCAACAGGGTTCTTGAAAGGGCTTAATGACATTTTTGCTTTTTAATAGCAAGTTTTAGGTAAAGTTCATTAAAAAAACCCCACATTTTTATTGATTTCAGAGAGGAAGGGAGGGGGGAAAGAGTCATTGATCGGCTGCCTCTGCACACCATCTACTGGGATTGAGCCTGTAACCTGGACATGTGCCCTAGACCGGAACCAAACCCAGGACCCTTCAGTCCCCAGGCTGGGGCTCTATCCACTGAGCCACACCAGCGAGGGCTCTACTACTTGACTTTTGCGTCTCACTCAGCTGGGCCTGCTCTGTGAGGCAGGGTGGGCGCAGCCCTGGGGAAGGAGTGCAGGGCCTCAGCCCAGCACCTGCTCTCACCGGCCCAGGGTGAGAGCACCTATCTGCACATGCGGGGAGGGTTCTGTAAAATGACCCAACGCAGCACAAAACCAGGAGCACGCACCTCCTCGCCCCACGAACCCTGCACTCTCGGGAAAGACCATCACAGAAACCACAGCCCAAGGCACCTCGAGCAGCGCCCCCAGGGACGCGATCCCGCGGCCGGAGAAGACTGACCAACGCTCCCCGTCGCTTGGAAACACGCACGCACCCAGCCAGGGCGGGGGGAGGGGGCTACTCCCCAGTGCTGCCAGAGCGGTGCTGGCGTGGCAGACCAGGGGACACCCCTCCCACCACCCGCCCGCCTCTGATGGGCGCCTCTGCACAGAGGCAGTGCGGGCCTCGGAGATGTCGCCACACTGATCTGCAGGTGGTGAGCAAGGGAAACCGGAACAGCCAGATGCACCCTGGCTCCACCCGCCTCCGCGATCCCTGGCCTCCCAGGGCTTCTAGAAAACACCGGCCCATTGCTCTCACTGAGTCAGAACGCTCCCCAGGGGACAGGGTGTCCTCGGGTGCTAGGACCCGGAACCTCTGTACATCAAGCTCCTGGTCTGCTGGCCACACGCAGGTCAGCGCGCCCCTCTGTGGGCCTGGACAGAGTCCAGCTGCTGGCACAGACTCAAACCAGCCTCAGAACCACGGTTCTGGAAGGCAGTGCGTGAACCAAGCCTGCGTCGGCGGCCACCCCTCTCTGTTCCGCATCTAAGGAACCGCAAACCCTGGCAGCTCCGACACCTGCGAGGCGGCACTTCGCCAGGTGAAGGCTTTGGGAGGCGGCAGAGGGGGACACACTGACAGCAGCCTCCCTCGTCCCTCCGCCCCAGCCACCGAGCGGGAGGCCTCTCAGCTCCGGCTCTCGTGGCTGGAGGTGCGGCCAGGACTCTTTCAACATCCTTGTTTGTGGCCACAAAACCCTGGGCCTCGCCCTGGAGGTTTTGTTTTGCACGGGGAAGTCCAGCCTGGCTGGGGAACCCCGCCTGAGGACAGGGGTGCCTCTGGGGCCCGCCCTGGGTCTGGCTGACCGTGGCCATGGCTGCGTCGCGTGTGCTGGCCTCCACTTAACGCATCTTGCAGCCTGTCCACAAGGACAAGATGGCAGCACAGCAGGGCTGCACAAATCCTGCCAGTCTTCCCAACCAGGACACCACCACCACAGCCAGCAGCACCCGTCAATCACCTGGCAGACGGCCGATCTGAGCAGTGGCTCGCCCGGGAGCTGGGCCGCTCCGGCTCGGGGTAGCGGTAGTTCTCGGCATAGGCAGGCGCGGGGCCATCGTAGGGCCTGTACCTCGGATCGTACAGGCCGTAGGCGTCCTGCGGGAAGACAGCGTATGCAGCGTTAGGCCCCGAGCAAGAGCACCAGCTCTGAGCTCAAGGACCACGCTCCCCACGGCCTGGACCCGGGACTGTCCGGGCACAGCAGGACCTCCCGGAGGAGGCCCAGGCGGCAGGCTGTCCTGCAGCCCCAGCCGGCCCTGCTCTGGAGAGGCCAGCAGGCAGCAGGCACCCGGAGCCACGGCAACTCCTGAGGGCTGCCTGCCTCCTGAGGTCTCTAATGCGGAGGTGCCGGGATCCAGCTGTGCCTGCTTCAGACCATCCCAGGTGGCAAGCCAAGGAGCTCCCTCTGAATGGCCCTGAAGCCGCAGGCAGCCTCAGAGGGGGGGACTTGATTCGTAGCGGCGTCCAGATTGTCACAAATCTGACCACCACGGCTCGGTCTCTAAGGGGCGGCCGGGTGAGGACCTGAAGCAGAAGGAGGTGGCCAGGCATCAGCCAGGACCAGTTCTCCGTGTCTGAGAGCCGGCTCTCTGCCACTCCCTGGCACAGGCTCCCTGGCTGGTGCGGGAGCTGGGGTGGCAGAGAGAAAGGCAGAAGGGCTCCGGCTCCCGCAGACGTGCTACAGCCGGGCCAACCTCCCGGGCGCCGCAGGAGCGCTCACAAGGACTGGAGCGGCGTGTGCTCGCTGGCCTCCGGGGCTCCCAGCAGCGGGAATCAAGTCCCTGGGAAATCTACACTCGCAGGGTCACACACACTCACACACACGCGCGCGCGCGCGCTGAGGGCCCACAACAGGGCACAGGCCTCCCATCAGCCGACCCGGCCCAGCCCCGATCCAACCTCTTTTGAACACAAGGTTCCCAGCTCAGCCGCTTGCCCTGGGCCTGCGCTGCCTGCTGCCGGCCAGTGCTTTCCGCCTCCCTGGCCACGACCTGCTGCCTTGGCTGACCTTGAATGACCCTGGCCTGGATTAGAGGTGAGAAAAACCAGGCACGGGAACGTGTCCACCGGAACTCCCTTCTCAAGCAAACGCAGGACTAACCAGAGCCCAATAAACCGCGCCCTGAGCGGCAGCTCTGTCGCTGAGGCGCAGGACTGCTGGGCAGCGGGCCTCTGTGCTGGCCTCCGGGCTGGGCGGAGCTGGACTCTCACCCTCCACACTGCTTCCCTTGGGTTACAGGCCAAACCTAACTTCTCCCCAATAGGTTTATTCCGACGGAGGCTTTGAAAGGCTGGTTTTCCTGCTGTCCTCGGGGAGGCTCCTGCCGTCACCACACACACCAGCTCCAGGCGGCTCTGGTTCCCCCTGTGGCGCTGAGCACGGCACTAGGACAGCCCACAGGCGCCACCCAAGCAAAGGGCTTTCCTGCCCCACAGGGGGTGTGCTGCGTCACACCAACAGTAAGACCATCTCCGCAATTCAATGCACGAACACGCAGTGTGTGACCACGCGGTGCCTCATGGCAGAGCGGCGGCGGCCAGAGCCCTTTCCTCGCGCACAGTGCGCAGACCGGCGTCCCACCGGCAGTGCCCACCGAACGTGCCCGGGAGCTCGCAAGGAGAGACCGCTGGTCAAAGGGTTCAGCCGCCTGAGTCAAGCCTACCTGGTAGAGCGGGGCTGTGCCCGGGTCCGGCGGGTACAGAGAGGGGTACTGGGCCGGGTAGCCGTCGTACGGGGGTCTGTAATAGTAGTAGGACGCCAAGTCCAGGGGCTGCGGCTGCATCCACTGCGGGCCCGGCGGCACGGCTGCCTGGCTCGAGCTGCTGGACATGGCCGATGCGCTGGAGGACGGAGGGGGCCGAGGCGGCGGCTGACCCAGGTCAGCGGCAGCCGCACCGGCAGGGGGCTGGGCTGCGTTCTGGGGCTGTCCCGGTGCTGGGCTTTCTGGGTCTGAGGGTTCTAAAGGCGCCGCTGTGGGCCCTGGCGGGGGAGGAGCTGGCTCCTGCTGGGCTCTCTCGGGGCCACGCTGGTGAGGAGCACCTTTTGCCACCTGTTGGTAGAAATGGTCTGGGTTACGTACCCCAGGCCCAGGCTGACTAGGGTGACTGGGGGCGGGTTGCTGAGAAGCAGCTGGGCCATCAGAATGGGACAGGCTACCCATTCTCAGAGGACTGTCCACGGTCCTAGTTAAGGTGAAGTCTAGGGCCCCCGAAGTCTCTTCCCAATTACCGGGGTGATTTGCCTTATTACTGTGAGGCCCCAAGGCGTCGCTGGAGGGCGCCACCAGCAGGACGCCCGTGCTCCCAGCAGGGCTGTGGGCCAGCTCCGGCAGAGCGCCCTCGGCACTGTGACTCCTCTGACCTGGAAGCAAGTTCTTTGGAGCCGGAGGAGACGGAGGTTGAACCAGCACATTAGCAGGCGGAGCGGAAACCATTTCAGAAAGAGCAGAAACGTGTGGGGAGTGACTTTGGGCAAGGCTGTTAGACAGAGGCGAGCAGGTGAGAGAGCTGGCTGGAACCCCGGGCAGAGGAGCGGCTTCTCCAGAGTCAGCCCCCACGGCCCGGCTGCTCACGGCAGGTCTGTCCCCAGCCCGAGCATCTCTCCAGGACGGAGTCCTCTCCGTGGGATGGGGCAAGGACCCGGGAAAAGGAATGGGCTGAGCCAGATGAGCGCTCTGATCAGGCTGAGCGACCAAGACAGGTTGGCTGTGCAAAGACTCAGTGGGCGGTGAGGACAACAGACTGGCATAACCAGAACTTGCCTGTGACAGAAGGGCCTCCTCTTCTCCCATCTTGGGAGGGTTCTCGAGGTTCTCAGAAGCACCAATGCCCTCACCGCCTTGCAAAGGGGGGAGGCAGCCCGGCGGCCGGGCCCGCTGGCCGGACACACCCTTGTCTGGAGGTTGAACCACGTCGGATGGCTGAGGTTTCCCGGGCACGTGAAGCGCAGGAGCGGCAGGGGCCAGCAGGACGTTGCCCCCAAAGTCCGGCAGCTCGTTCTGCGCCCACAGAGTCGTGGCAGGGCTCTCGCACTTCATGGCTCCCTGGGCCCGGGTCGAGGGCCTCTTCTCGGGTGTCGCGAGAACCGTCTCCACGGGCGGGCCCCCGGGGTGCGGGAGCCAGTGGCTGGCTTCTGCGGGCGAGGGAAGAGGCAGAGGACAGACCTGAGGCGGCAGGAGGGTCTCCATGTTGTCTGGTGGCTGCTCCAGGTTGCCAGGGCCGACGCCGGGCGGGGCAGCGGCTGCTGTGTGCTTCTGGTGGGCATGGGGCCCCCTCACTTCACCCACCACATTGGCACGATCTGCCTCGATTGGTTTTATTCCAACTAAGTGGGACTTCACCGGTTCAAAGGAGCTGTGTGCACTTGTCTGAAAGAGCCCTGTGGGTTTGGGAGGGCTGGGAGTCAAGGGCTGGAACAGGCTGTGGTGGTAATTCTGGCTCATGCCGGGCACATCCGTCTCGCCTCCCACAGGAGAAGAGTCGATCTGCTTAAAAAAGCTCCCTGGGGCCTCCTCCTCGGGTTTGCCGACCTCCTGCTGGATGAAGGTGCCCAGGTCCTGGGGCCTGGCTGCGCCGGAAGCGCTCCTGTGGCTCTTGCTGCTGTAACTGGACGACACGCTATCGGACCGCACAGGGTGCAGCGGCGTGTCCAGGGCCTCGAGGTTTGAGCCCCCACCTCCTACGTGGCCTGTGGCACTGAGCCTGGGGCCCGGGGGCCCAGGAAGAGGTGTGTACCTGGGCTGCTCGCCCGGGGAGGAGGCATCCACATTCGGGGGCTCACTGGGCAGCACCTCCTGGTTCTGAGCGAACTCCAAGTTCTCCACATTCTCACAGTGCGAGCCGCCAGCGCCAGGAGTCCCTGCGCCCGCCGTGTCACCCCACACGTCAGCACCGGCACCCTTCGCGGCGGGCTGGCCGAGCTGCGGGCCTGCAGACTGAGGGCAGTAAGGCTGCGTGTCTCCTGGCTGGGCGGTCTCGCTGCGGGAGGCTCTGCGGAAGGCTTGGTAGACACCCCCTGCGCCCCCGGAGGCCGAAGGGCCCAGGCCAGGGCTTGGGGAGAAACCGTCAAAGTAAGACTGAGCCGTGGGGACTGTGTTTTCAGAGGAAAGGGTCTCCTCATTCTCCATCTCCCCGCCTCGGAAAAACATGGAGAGCGTGCCCGAGTCTGCTTCTGGCAGGGCGCGGCTGGCCCTGGCCCCCCGAGGGCCGTGCAAATGGCTTTCCGGGCTGCTGCCCTGAGCGGAGGGGCTCACGAGAGCAGGGTGTGGCCCCTGCTCGTGACCGGCTCCAGGCCCCGGCCTGACCTCCTGGCCTGCGCCAGCACTCCCCGCTCTGAAACTCTGTCTGGATGCGCCTTCAGGATCAAAGGGACTCGCCGAGTGGTTTCCACTCTGCAGAGAGGCCGCCCCGTCTCTCCCGTCGGCCGAAGGTCCTGGGGCGGGAGGGCGGTGCTGCTCGTGGGCAGGCCCTTGAGGCGGGCCGGACAGAGCGGGGACACGGGAGATGCTGCAGGCCTGCGGTGCTGCAATGGCAACAGGGCCTTCTGGGCGGGGCCAGTAGTGACCTGAGGGCTGCGGGCCGCCCTGGGCCGGCCCCCACGGCCCGGGCATCTGCGGCAGAGGCTGCGGGAAGAAAGGGGGCGCCACAGCGCCGTCATGAGGATGCTGGCCACTCGAGGGCCGGTCTGGCCCAGGCAGGCTCCCAGGGGGCAGGCCGCCATGAACACCACTGGAGCCCCCTCCTGGCAGGCCCTGAGCCTGGATCTCATGGTCAGAGCTGGAAGGGGTTGCCACACTGGAAAACGGACTTGCCGCCGGCCGGGGCTGCGACAGGGGTCTCGGCAGCGGCTCGCGGAGTCCCTGGGAGCTGTCCCCGGCATTGGTGTGCGGCACAGGCAGCCCCGGGTGCTGAAGAAACGCTGGCGGGGCCGCGCCCAGCAAGACGGGAGGGCTGCTCTTGGACGAACTGCCCAGCGAGGGGTTCTGCAGCGCCTGTCTACTGAAAGCAAACGGATCCGTTACCGGCTGCAGCGGGCAAGTTACCGCAGCCCCCGGTGCACTCGCGGCCGCCTGTCTCCTGTACGAACTGCCGGACCAGAACATGCTGGGAGGGCTCCCGGCGGGAGGCGGCCCCACCACGCTGGGCGGGACAGCCTGCGGCGGCGGCTGCATGGCGGAGCTCCTCACGACCAGATGCCGCTTCAGAGGGAGCAGGATCTAGGCTTTCCCTAATTGGACCTGAAAAAGAAAAAGAGAAAGTGGCATAAAGTTCATGTATTCAAAGCCCTGGTTACAATCAGGAAAACTAAGAAAAAAGGACGTGACGGGCAGTGACTTCAGGTAGCTAAGCCCTGAGGGTGTCCTCTCCACCTCCACTCCCGCCTGGAACTGCGCCCGACCTGCTGCGAGGGGAGCACCCTGGACGGAAGGCTGCTGGCTGCGCCCGACCTGCTGCGAGGGGAGCACCCTGGACGGAGGGCTGCTGGCTGCGCCCGACCTGCTACGAGGGGAGCACCCTGGACGGAGGGCTGCTGGCTGCGCCCGACCTGCTGCGAGGGGAGCACCCTGGACGGAGGGCTGCTGGCTGCGCCCGACGTGCTGCGAGGGGAGCACCCTGGACGGAGGGCTGCTGGCTGCGCCCGACCTGCTGCGAGGGGAGCACCCTGGACGGAGGGCTGCTGGCTGCGCCCGACCTGTTGAGGGACTTCGGCCAAGTCACTGTCTCTTCTGGGACTCAGTTCTGTAACAACTAAGGTCCCGTTGATGCCCTCGCCAGGCGGGCAGGGCGAGCAGAGCCGTCACCAGGTCCAGCGTCAGCCTCTCCACCAGACCGCACACACTTGCCAGAAGGTTCCTTTGATCTCGAAGGAGCACCAGAGCTGAGAGTGGGCTCCTCCACGCTCTCCCAGGAGGGCGCTAGCTAGTACAGTAACACCAGCAGCAAAGCCAATCTCTAGGCGAGACAGGCACTCACCCGAGGCTTCACCCGCCTCGTACACACACGTGTTTGCCCGGGCCTGGCTGCGCACCGACAGGAGGCAGGTCCTCCGAGTGGGGGCCGCAGCGGCCAGAGCAGCTGTGTGACCAGTGACAGGCCCCAACCCTTCTCAATAACAGGCTGAGTGTCCACAAAACTCCCACAGAAAGCATCCTCTGAACAGCGTCTCCCGCTGTCTATTTTTAAGAAGACACACTAAGTGCAATCTTGAACCGTTAACTTGTATTTTTCAGACAAAAATCCAATTCTGTCTCTTTAGGAAGCCCGTCCTGCGAGTCAATCCCTCTCGCCCTTTCCAGCAGACTGAGCTGAGCAATCAGAGAAAACAAACAAGAGGAATGCACAGCGTTGGGGTTTCCCCACATTTTTGCAGACACACAATATTCTTGTTCTGGGCATCGTTCTGACACTCAGGTAAAAGGAAATACTGTGAGTGTGCTTTAAGGAAAGCCATTCACAAATAACGTCCCTGTCCCTCCTAAAAACAAGCCCCTGAATCTATCGGCTCACCACCCCGCTGCCCACACACGCTGTCCGAGGCCACGGGAGCCCTACACTCAGAGTTAACGGACTGACATTGGACGGCACCGGAGACTTCGTCTGGTTCTAAGCTGTCATCTTTAAAGTACATATTTTTATTGACTTCAGAGAGACAGGAGAGGGAGAGGCAGAAACATCCAGGATGAGAGAGAATCACTGATCAGCAGCCTCCTGCACACCCCGCACTGGGATCAAGCCCGCAGGTGCCCTGTGCAGGTGCCCTGACCAGGAATCGAACCCTGACTCTTGGTTCATAGTTCAATACTCAGCCACTGAGCCACGTCACCTGGGCTAAGCTGTCGTTGTAAAAGTATCTGCAGCTCGGCTTCGGCTGAGGGTGGAACCCTCAGAGCTGCTTCCTGTGTCTGTGGAACAAGCACCCGGGATGCCTCCCCGCGAGGCTCCGTGGAAGAGCCTCCGCCCGCCTCAGCAGCATCAGGGCAAAGGGCGCGAGGCCAGGATCCGGGGAGAGGCTCAGGCCACTCTCTGCACCGCAGCCTCCTCATCAGCACCGTGAGAGCGATGAGGGCGATTCCTCAGGTCCCCTCGGGGTGCACTCTTATGAAATGATCCTTGATCCTCGCAGGGGATTCTGGGATGCTCCAACACCTACCGAGTTTAGCAGGGAAATCTTATCGCAATCTAAATCTCACAGGTTTATACTTAAAGGCTTTCCTTGCTGAGACACTTACAATTATCTTCAACTCTTGGGCTCAGCCCTGCTTTAGAGGCCAACACTATCACTTCCCTGCAAAGTAGCATCGCCCACCCCCACCCCACGCCCAGCTGAGAACTTTCTAGCAATGCACCAATTTCACTTGAAACAACCTCCGAGAACCTTATGCTTTGGACCCTTTTTCTCTCTTCACCAGCAGAAAGCGGCACACTGCGCATCGCTCCTCTCCGGCCTCGGGGAACGCACTCCGTCCGCGGGCACTGTAGCCCAGCGACCGAGCTTTAAGCGTTTCAGACACCGGTGGGTCTCTGGGCACTAGCACATCCTCTGCACACCCAGCTCGGCCTTCCCGCTGCCTCCACGAGGTGAAAAGCACAACCCACTTTCAAGGGCCCGACTGAGCGGGTCACAGCCACGAGGCCCCTCCGTGAGCCGAACCAGCAAGCCGGCCAGCGCCCGCCTCTGCCTCGGCCCCCTGCTTCCCCCCGGCGTCCCTGCCGGCGGCCCGGCCCCGGCCCCGGCCCCAGAGACGGGCAAACCCAGCCTCTCCACAGCGTCAGAGAAGGCGGGACCGAACACGCCTGAAAACAGGGAAGACCCAGGGCGCTCGGGGCCACTGCGGAGCGGCAGGGCCGGGCTGAGCCCACACCGGGAGGCCTCCCGGCGGCCCGAGGCCCGCATCCCGCGGCTCCAGGTGAATGAGTCACAGGAACAGGCTTATCGTTGGCGATAACGGCGCTCGGGTCGCTAAGAAAGGGCTGGGGAGGGGGCTGCGCCCAAACCCGCACCGGGAAGGGGAACTAACGCTGCCGTCGGGCAGGAAGACACTCTGAAAGCGGCTCCCGACCCCGGGCCGTTCAAAGCGGAGCAGCAAACCGGACTTTCAAGGCTGCGCGTCCAGACTCTGGACTGTCATCCCGCACCGCGGGGAGGGCGAAGCTGCACCGTAACCTCTGGCCCGGGCGGGACCGCGTTGCAACATCTCGGTCACCTGGCCGCGAAGTCACCGGCTGCTCCGCGGGTCCGAGGGCCCCGTCCCACCGCGAGGACCCGGCGGGCGGCGCGGGCGCCTCGGGAGCAAAGGGCGCGCTGAGGAGCCTCCGAGTGTCCGCGCCCCCCGACCCGGCCGAGCCGTGTCCACCCGGCTGAGCCGCCGGCGCTGGCCCCGGGCCCGGCCGGCCGGCCGTGCGGGGTCCGCGCCAGTCTGACCGGCGGGCAGTGGGGGGCGGAGGGCGGCAGGCGCGCGGCTCCCGGGCCCCGCGGGCGCCCACCCGCCCCGGCGCCCCGCCGGCAGCTCCGGAGACGCACCGCCCGCTCGGGGCTGGGCCCGGTCCGCCCGCCCGCCCGCCGCTCTCCGCCCCGACCCCGGCCCTCACCGGCGCGCCTCAGGGCGGCGGGGGCCCGCGCCGGCCCCCGCCCGGCTGCTCCGCAATCCCGGGTGCCAGCCCCTCAGGAGCCGCGGGCGGAAGCCGGCCCGGCGGTTAAGACGAGCGTCGGTGCGGCAGCCGCTGCAGCCATCTTGGCACATCCGGCTCCGGTCGCCCGGGCCGCCGCGCCGCCGACGTGTCCGGCCTCGACGTCAACGCACGCCACGCCCGCCCGCCACGCCGCCAGCCCCGCCCCTCGCAGCTGGTCCAACGCCCCGCCCCGCCTCTCCCGGTGGGCACGCCCCAGGTGGCGCGACGCTCCGCCCCTTGGCCCGCCCCTCCCCGGCGTAGGGCCCTTTAACGCGTATCCCTTAATTCACCCCTTCGCCACGCCCTCCACTAAGCCCGCCCCTCGCCCTCCACCTTCCTTGGCCCATCCTTGGCCCCGCCCCAGCCTGCGTCCAATCCTTCACTGCCGCATCCCTATGCCCCGCCCCCGACGGCGTCCAATCCTCCAACGCCCCATTCTTTAGTTCCGGCCTTAGCCCCGCCCTCCGCCTCCTCCAGTTCTCCAACGCCCATCTTTGCGCCCCGCCTCTAGCCCACCTGCCTGGGACGGCGCGCGGGGGGCCGCCCCTAAACGTCGCCCCGGTTACGCTGACTCCGTCTCGCAGCCGCTTCTCGTTGTAAGATGGGTGGACAGTAGGGATTCTCCAATCGGACTCGAAGGAAAGATCAGTCCTGAACCACTGCTGCCGGCAGGTGCACCTGCCGAGAACTGCTTTCGGCTGAGCGAACGAGCGGTGCTCTGGCGCAGGCGCGTTCTTCCAATTCGGTCGTTGGCTTCGAAGGCTGGGAGACTGGCGGGAGGCGAGGGCGCATGCGCCGACCCGCGGCGGAGTGCGCGTGCGCACCTCGAGCCGCCGGCCGGTTGCCTGGTTACGGCCATCGCGTCTCCTGTTTCCAGTTCTGCCGGCGAAGCTGGTTTCCGTCCGCACCTAGTTCTCTTGAAGCAAAGCCCGTCCGCTCCACAGAGCCCTAAAACGGGCAGGCGCCGCCGGCCCCTGACCCACAGGCTGCGTCGGAGCCCCACTGCCCACCTGTGCGCGCCTCGGGGATCGGTCGTCCTGTCGGCTCCCCGCCCCGCCGTCCGCCTAGCCCAGGCCCCATCCTCCCTGGCCCGGCGGCCACCTCCACCGGCCCCTGTGCGCGTGCCCCCATGCACACACTCCATCCTGTCCCGGCGTTGGCCGCGCAGTCCCCAGGTCCTCCCTTGGCGGCCTAATGAGAGCCCAGCCGGGTCCCCTAAACAGCGGAACCCCGTGGACGAAGGCTCCAGCGGCTGAGTGGACGTTTGTGTTGAATGAGCGCGAACCCCGAGGTACCGAACGATAGATTGAGCTGCTGGGCCTCGATCTCCTGCTCTCCCCACCCCGCCCGCGGCTGCTGCCTTGTCCTGGCACCATCTGAGCACCATGGAGGATATTAGGGGAAAAGGGGTGCTGCCATTTGTATCTTCCTTTTCCCGATGAGAAAGGGCGGCCGGACCCACTCACCTGCACTCCTGCGGGGCAGGGACAGGCAAGGGCAG